GCCATAACAAAAAGTAACGTCGCAGACACCGTTTACACTTTGAAAGTGAACGTTTTAATATGCTGGTACGTACAATACGTGCCATTTACGGTCTGTCAAAAGCGCCCCCCCCCCCAATCACGGCGTATGCGCTTGTTTCAGTGAGCAGTTTGCCCTGAGAATATATATATTTTTACGCGAGTGGGGTCACGTTTTGCGTGCGAAAAATGCCAAAATCTTGCCGGAAAAAAGAGCGACCTGGCGTTTTTAACGGTCAGAACGTATACAGTACAAACACACACACGTGTGTGTGTGTGACGTGTGTGTGTGTGACAATATCTGAGTTGCTGCTGCTGCGTCCGACCCTTCTCACTTTACCTTCCTTCACCTTGACAAGCGGGGCAGACCGCAACGCTGTTGTGTACCCACGGGTCTCATTGTTTTGTGGATTTTGAGGCAGTTGGCTGTTTGTCGCTGTGTGGTGTGTGTGGTGTGGGGGGGAGATCCCCCTCGAGCCGAGAGTTTTATGCTACGTGACCGTCAGTTGCTTACCAACCCCCATCTGTAACGTCTACGGTTGTGCTTGACGCAGGGTTTTATTAATTGTGTCTGTGTGTTGTTAAAGAGCGTATGGGGCGGGGCGAGGGGTATTGGTTGCATCCGCCGGTCGGTTAAAGCTGTTAAGAAATATCGCGGCTTGAATTTACAGTTCGTTAATTGTGTTTTATTATACTCGAGGGTATTCTTTCTCCATTGCATAACGAGGATTTTTAAATGTTTAAATGAAAAGGATTTTCTTTTTTCCGAATGAACCTCTTACACAAGTGTGTGTGTGTATATATAGTTTTTTGTCAAATCTCGTTTACTCCAACAATATCCTCTTGCTGAAATACTGACTTTTTTGGCATCTTGTGAATTTATATTGGGTTTATATAACTATGTTTTTGTAATATTCCCCCCCTCCCCGTTGGTTTAGTCTTACTGCTGTTGTGGGATTTTGATTGCATTGTAAAAGTGGTAGTGTAGCAGTTAGCGCGCTGCGCTAAGAACCCGACGAACCGAGTTCGTTTCCCGCTCGCGGCCAGCACCGCTGACGATTATCTGAACCGGTCCTGGACCTCTCCTAGGTCGACTCGGCCTTAAATAGTGTACCCGGTGCGGTGTTCGACGGCTTGTGCACCAGATCTTATTCATTCACGATGTACTTACAAAAAAATCCGCAGACTACCTGCTGGATCTCCTCTCTGTTTTAAAGAACAAATTCGACCTCAGGTCTTCGCTCATTTACCAGCTTCACATTCGCTATTGCCGTACAAAAACTGGAGGAAGGGCCTTTGCTATTGATGCCCCCAGGGTCTGGAATGCTATTACCAATAAACTGCAACTTGAATCGCTACCAATGAGATCTTTCAAAACTGCTCTAGAGGAGTTGTACACCTCTAGCTGCCACTGCTATTCATTGGCGTAAAATAAAATAAAATGTTTCGCTCCGGATGACGCTGCAAAGTATTATCTGTATTTTGCTTTAGCGTGCTGATCTTAAAGGTGCATTGAAAAATGTGATACTCCGACTAATGCTTGTTGTTGTGGAGTAACTCATGCAGCCAGCTATGGCTCTAGGATTTGGTGTTACATGTTATGTATGTAGTTTATTGTACAAATTCGGTCACAGTCTCTATGATCACTGTTACGTTGCAATTATGGCTTTATTTTTTGGTGATTTTCGAAAAGTTTTTTTGGTTTGGACATGTTTGTTTTGTTGTAGTACGGAGTTAGACTGATGGCCTTAATCTAAGTTTTCTTGTGGTTGTTGTTGTTGATTGACTTGCATCCCACTGGGATTTTTTTGCACACAGCGTTGGTGTACGGTGCTTTTTTCAGGAATATTTTGATGTTTTTTCGTGGATTTTCTGTTTGCACAGTCACTTTAAGATGTTTTCTTGTTCGTGTTTTTTGTTTGTTGTGGTTGCACCCGATTCAAGAGCCGAATGGCTCACAGGGCTATACCAAAATAAATAAACTGAAAAAAACTGTGTAAACATCTCCACTGGGGAGACAAAGGCGGTTGGGCGTAGTGCTGGCCACCCAACCCCCTCGTGTGCCGTGCCAGTCTTTATAGGTGCTCGTTAACAGCCCCAACAGTCTGCGAAGGCTATCCGGGGGGATCTTTGTCTTTGCATTGGAAATACGAGTAGGATTTTTACGGTGAACTTGCAGTGCTTGCAGCTTGTTATTGGCTGTTCGTTCGCACATTGTTCACGGCAACATGACCGCAATGTAATTACAGGGCATTTGATTACTTCTTGTTCACATTTGTTATGTTTTCCTGGTTCATTTGTAATCCATAAGTTTGCTTGTGTGACTTTCAGAAATTTTTTTCAGGTAAACCAATGCTCCTCATCTATTAACTGCTTCTAACTTTCTTTTTAAACACTTTTTAAACACTTTTTAGTTACGTTTAAATGCATTAACACTTTGTCTGAACATTGGGGGAGGGTCACGATAACCATTTCAGAGATAATGTTAGATAAATTGAATGCTTATAAAATTGTATTGCCATGACGAACTTGTAAACTGTAGACAACTGCACAAATGTATAAATGGGTTGACCAAAACTCTGCAAAAAAAAACCACCTCATCACGAATTACATCCACTCCTTGACCTATTACGATGATGTTTCATGCCATAGCTGATGATGATGATCGTTGACTTGGGCTCAAGCTGGTCTTACCCTAGATTCCCTTTCCTGGGGAGGCGTTGGGACCCGGGGAGTGAAACCAGGCAAGGCATGCTTTGCATCTGGCCCAGGGTTGCGTGGCCTCAACTGCGCTTATATTTTAAAATTAATAGATCAATTATTAATGACATCACTCAATGTTCCACCTCCCTGGTGGTGCCATTGCATGAGACATCTTGTTTGAATTTGCATTGTAATTTTTCTACGTAAATGCAGTTAACCTTATTCTCCTGGAAACGGATATACTTCACCTGGGTTCCTTGTTCACATCCCCATGCCTTCCCTGGTGCAAAGAATCTAGGTAGGCCCAAATCACTCATCACGAGCAATAATCTAAGATGACAGCGATGTCTCCTCGTTGTTGTTGTTGACAGATCCGTGTGTACTGCATTCTGTCTTGGTGTAATTCCAATATTGCACCTCTCCATACCTTTGGAACATTTTCCATTATTTGCACGCTCTCTGTTTTCTTCTTCACCTCTCCACGTCCGTTTTTGTGATCAATGTCATGCAGTCATATTTTTTTGATAATGACTGAGCACAAGGGAATTTTGGAAAGCGTTAAAGAATTCACGCTCGCGCGTGCTTTTTCTTGTTTTTACCTTGCATTTTCTGTAATTTAACATAAGCAACTTTTTAACATTACATTGCCTGTAAGACATTCCAGAAATAATGCAATACCATTTGAATTTCTATAGTGTCTATAAATGCAACCACGTTTCAAGATTCTGCATGGAAACGGTTGGCATATTTATTTTATCGAGACATTTCGGTTGTATGCAGAGAAGAGAAAAACGAGGGTCTCAAGTCTTGATTTGAACAGGGGGAAGGGAATTGGCAGTACGGATGGCTGAGGAAAGGTTGTTACAGATCACTGTGGTGAGAAGAGTTAGAGACCTATCACCAAGTGACAGTTGACCGGGGGCTTCAGTGGCAAGTGTTGGTTGCTGGAGTGGAATGTGTGTTTTCAGGGGATGGAGTAAGATGAGAGGGGGTAAAAAGGGTAGGTAAGGTGCCAGTCTGGGAAGGATCTTGAGGACGGCAAGTGTGATCTTGAAATTAATCCAGGATTGTATTGGGGTATTATGCCGATGTTAGGCCTGTTTACGGGTGCAAGTTAGGACTCTGGCAGTGGCATTTTGAATCGTCTTGAGTTTTGAGATAAGGCATTGGGGAGGCCAAATAGGAGAGATGATAATCAAGTCACGATGTGATAAAAGGCATGGATAAGGGTCTGCGCAGTAGCTGTGGAAAGGAAATGGCAGATGCGGAAGATGTTACGCAAATGCAGGTATCAGCTCCTGTAGGGTTGATGTGTCAGGAAATAATGATAGCTCGTCACCAAAGAAACTGAAGGTGGTTGCACACTCTCCAGTGGTGAGGGACACAATTTGAGGTGCACACTCAAGCGAAAGTGTGTATTGAGAGTTGTCTTTGCCGATGTGTAGTGCTTCACGTATGGAAGGAAAAACATTGCTTGGAGGATGGAACTAACCCAATATGACACCTCTCCTCCAGGCATAATGCAAGCGAAAATGGTGAGGTTTGGTTCATGGTCATTCGTGATGCAGAGCTGGGTGTCATTGGCACGGAAATAATGATCGAAATAAACACTGGAGATGATTTTTCCAAGAAGGAGGGGAGATTGAGAAGAATATAGGGGCCAATGATTGAAGATTGTAGGACAACATAACTCGGGGGTTTCTGATGGGAAGACCGTTCTTCTATGCAAATAGAGGGATTTGAGAGGTAAGATCAGAATCGGCAGGTAATATTTTGTAGAATCTTTACGCACCACTTTTATTCGTAACCGGTCACTGTATTATTAAGACATGGGATAGATAGTACTGTTATTATACACATCGACTGAATTGTAATCGACTGCCGTTTTGTGCTCGATTACTCTCTAAAATGGCCGCTGCGTCCACATCCTCCATCCTGAAGGCAGGAAACCCCGTACAATATACACCTAGCGTAATGTTGCTGACGACGTCCCTAAACCCTGCCCATCACCTCCTGTCTCACGGTTCACGTGGGCACAGAGGTGAGACTGGTTTCCGATTGTTTTTTTGATATCCAACTGAGTCTTTGAACCGAGAATCTGTAGAGTAATGGATTACTTAATTGGATAACCCAGCTTGTGGTGTTTTTTGAATGCGAAAGTTGTCTATTTCACATCATTATTTGTCTGCGCTGTATGAAATGTTGGAATTTTTCGGGAAATATATTGTTTTTTTCCATTGATTGCACAGGTACCTGAGCGGTGTACGCTTTTTGTTGCAGGAGAATTGAGGGGGGAGAAGAAGCCCAGCCCCATGCTGGAGGAGCATCACCACCACCACCACAAGAAGGCCAAGAAAAAAAAGAAAAAGAAGCACCGTGATGGTCAAGAAGATGAGGAGGAGCGTCGCAAACACAAGCGGCCCAAGCGCTACCACCGCGGCGTGCAGACCATGTGCTCGGGCCTAGAGTTCCGGGAAGCGCTGATCAACAACAGCAACAACAACAGCAGCAGCAGCATTGTTCCCCAGATCCCAGAAGCCGATGTGCGCACGCTCCCAGATCGGCAAGGACCCCAACCCACGGTGCCCGTAAAAGAGGAGCCGAAGGGCGTGCCAGGCCAATGCTCGACGCCGGTGAAGAAAGAGAACTGTCCCAACGAGGGCAAGCCTGCCCGAGCGGGCGAGCTCCTCAACAGCTTCCCACCATTCTGCACCAACAGGGACCAGCTGATCCGCAAGCAGCAGCAGCAGCAGCACCGTGTACCGGACACGTCGCCCGAGTTTGCGCGCTTCGTGTACAGCGAGTCGCAGCCCAATGGTGGCGCGAGCGTGCTGCACGCGTACTGGCACGAGCTGGAGCGGCTGTCGCCAGCGGCGCTGGAGAGGTTTGCGCGCGAGTTTACCTCGTTGGCGTTCAAGGAGGAGAAGCAGGGCTGCGCGCGCTACGCCATCGCCATCGTGCACGGCGCCGCGGCGTACCTGCCCGACTTCCTCGACTACTTTGCCTTCAGCTTCCCGAGCACTTCCGTCAAGGTGGAGGTGCTAGGCAAGAAGGACATTGAGACGACCACCATGGAGAGCTTCAGCACGCAGGTGGGTGTGTGGGACGTTTTATATTTGTTATTACAGCACTCCCTAGTTGTAACGCCGTGACTTACACCGTGCATTCAGATGTACCGTAGTTCTTCCTCCCCCCTACATTCTACATTGGATGTGCCCAGCGTGGAACCTTCCCCTCTTCCCTTCCCCCTCCCACTGTAGTCTGCTTTGTCTTTCTCGACTCTTTAGTGGCATCCTTAGTGTTATGATTATCTAAAGACTGCGAGGTTTACAGGCACAGAATTGGTTATATTGGATGGTTTTTGTTTATGGTTAATGGCGAAAGTTAAAAAGAGAAGTCTCGTACTGTGAAGGAAAAACTAATCATTATTGAAAGAGTAAAAAGTGGGGTTTCAAAAGCCCAAGTTAAAAGGGAGTTCATTATCTCGGAGGGTACGATATGCGGATGGACAGCAGAAGGACGTTCGTTCTTTGACAAGTTGGATGAAACTCCAGGACTTGACAGGAAGACAACCTAGGCTCTGCAGGAACGAGATGGTGGATGACAACTACGCACATGGTTTGTTCAGATGCGTTCTGTACATACTTTATTTGGTAATACGACCTTGTCCTCGGCTATACTGTGGGGGGAGGTCTTATAACGCGAGTCTCCACTTCCACCCCCCCCCCCCCGAAACCCACGTAACCGGGGATCCACAGTACGAGGAACGAGCTTGGCGCTGTCGTGTACGCCTGTGGTCTGGCACTTTGGATGGTGAAGGTTTGCTGGTATCTCCTATTGAAAAGCTCCCATTGCTGCTGGGCTGTATTATATTTTTTTAATGAAATTAGTGGCGAAAATATGAAAGTTTTTTTTATGTTGGCCAATGATTGTTATGAGTGGATGATAATCCTCCAGCATGACTATGACTTGTCACCGAAGAGTTAAGTGTGACCGACTGATGAGATAAATTGAAATGGTATGAATTAAGACCAGACCGAGATAATTTAGGGAGCATTATTAGAGACTGTAGTGCACTGCGGAAGATCAAAAATGGTAATTGGATATATATGCTATTGAAATAGTCTGTGCCTCGAGTTTTCTGGCTGGCTGCTAGCTGGGCTCTTCTCCACCCCAACAATAACTCTATTGTTAGTGGCTGTGGGCTGTTGCCACCAAAACTAGCTGGGTAACAGACTAGAAACGGGGTTTTCTGAATAACAAACATTGAATTGAATTGGAACGGCTAAATAAGTTCAAAAGGCCTAATAGATAACAATATCGAAGAAGCTGGAGTAACGAATACAGACGCCTGGCTTGGTTAATTTAAAAGTGCTTGAACTTTTCAATTTGTGCTCCTATTAATGTCATTCTTTTACCAGAATATTCTGTATATCCTAGAGAATATAAATCACCCCCGATACACGTGTATATTTGCATTTTATTCTATTAATAGCATATTACTTTGAGTGCTCCGAGTATAGGAGGATTGTGAGGAGTGTGAAAAAGACAGCTGTCTCTTATTTTCCATTGCAGAGCAAAGGTTCTCTCCTGGTGTATGTAAATAAATAAGGTCACTAAATTTTATTCACATTTATTCATCCGACGGCCACTGCTCCACTCCAATTATTTCCCTTTGAGCCTTTTCTCACAACAGCACCTCCAAATCTACAAATATTTCTCTTGTTTTTCAATTTCTTGGCTTGTGTCCAGAGCTCCGTTTGGCTCCCGCACTTTAGTGTAAATTAGCGGTGTTGGTGTTTGGAGGTTCTAGCTTGTGGCGAGGGTAGGCTCTTCCCAAGATGGTTGTGGATTTCTCTGCAGCACACCAGCCATACTAGAAATGGGCAAGGTGAGCTTGTGGTATATGCTCATCGATTAAGGTATGGCCTCGACCATGTAGTTCTTTGCAACAAAGTTTGGGGTCGAGCTCAAGATGACTGACTCGCACTCGTCGTGCTATTCCTGTTTTAGCCACACCAGTACCTTCACGGTGAATTGGAGTTCTTCCTCAGGTATAGCATTGCTGTTGTCAAACAAGTGACCCCAAATCTCGATGTGTTGGTGGAGGCTATCGTCGAGAAAATGGATAGGGACAAGAAGCCTTCCCCTTTCAAAAGTTTCAAGCCTTCGGCGTCGGCAGAATCACCCCACGACCAGTCAATACCACGAGTGGGCCAAGCCAGTTAAAGGCTTCCGGGTGCCCAAAACGTTGGATTGCCGTTGCTCGGTCCCAGAGGATCAGCGGGAAAAGCTCCGATTGCCACTTGTGGACTTGCCTACGGCTTGGCGTATTATCCCTCGCCAATGGACCGTAGCTGAAGATCCGTCACTGGTTTTGCCTTATCCCTTCGACAGGACTGCTAATCGGGAGGCGAGAAAGACCTTTGCGGCAAAGCCTCTGTCCTTGCAGACCAGTGCCTGCGTGGACGATGTGGGAAAGCTGGGTCACAATGCTCTGGGTAAATTCGATTACAAGGCACATGACCGCACAGCTCTGCAGACAGCTTATGAATATTTATGCTTTTTGGTGGCCTTTGTCACAGACACGAGCCTCGACTTCTTCGTGGCTATGAGGGCCCTTTTTGACAGCAAAAGCCTTGCACCCCGGAAACAATAACGTCATTAACCCAGTTTGCCTTTTGAGGTGCGTTTTTGAAGTTTTTGAGCAGGAGCAGAAGGACGAGAGATTTTTCTCAATGGCCCTTTTTGGTCTCATCGTAAGGGCCAGGTTATCTCCAAAAAACAGCTTTCTCTTCTCGGTAATGTAGACCGACTTCCCTCAGTCTCGTCCCTTCACCTGATGAAGGCCGCTTGTGTTGTGGCCGAAACGTCATGAGAATATTATTGTGTTATTTTATTTTATCAATTTATTATTTTATTCTCATTCTACGTGACTTTACCGAAAGAACCAAAGAAGGTTCCCTCAGGGAGTGGAGGTTTTTCTTTTTAGGTATCAATACAAGGGATGAGGAAAGTCTACGAGAGGTGACGGGCACCCACCCATTTTTCCACCTGCAAAGCAGTGCGAGGAGGTTGGGCACCAGGGTCACAGCAGTTCCCGTGCCAGCCCGGTTGGCGAGTCGATTGCCCCACTTCATCAGGTGTTTTGAGGGTAATGAGCCAGAATCATAGGGCCTCATACAGAGTGGCACACGTATACATGCCAGAATTTGTGGGCCAGGACCCCGACGGTTTGTGGGTAGACTCTCAAGCTTCTCAAGATCCTTTAGCGATGCAATGGCAAGACCAGCAGATGTAAATGCTATTCTGCGAGTTCCCTGGAATGAAAGGCACTAGGGTTTCTACGCCAGTTCTTTACGGTCACCAAGGATACGGTGACCATAATTAGCACCTCCGATTAGCACGGTTGGCTACGCGTGGTGCGAAAAAAGTTATATGTATATATACCTACATATCGAGGATTTACCAGACCATGTTTGATCTGCAAGGGCTGAAGAAGCACATTTGCTCCCGTGAATTAAAAATTGAGTCACTGGCATCCATGGCCAAGGTATTGCATTTGGGTCACCTACATTGGCCTCAAGGATACATTCTTGCACTTCCCAATTGTGCTGTGGCACCTTTGCTGCCTGCTGTTTTGCGTGATTGGCTAGCACTGAAAGTTTACTCTTTCCTTTTGGCCTCCCTTATCTCCTTGCGTCTTTTTCAAGTGCTCATGGTGTGATCATGTCCCCTGGGTGATCCGCGCAACATCTGAGCAATATTTGGAAGTCATTTTGATACAGGCAGACACAAAAGGAGCATTGCATCAGTTGGTGGGGATCCTGGTGGACGTGCGTCTCTACGCCGGTTTGTACTCGCCCATGCTCAACGTCTTAACACATTTGGGGCAGTGCTCACACAGTTGTGGTTTGGACATCCACGACTAGAGGTAAAATCGTCTACATGCATTTCGAGGCTACCAAGCTGGCTGGCTGGCAGCAGCAGGTTAGCAAAGGATTTTCTCGTTGCCCTCGGTCACATGGCCTCTGTAGAAGTTGCGGTGGCCCTTCGGTGGTATCTCTTAGGCAGTACAATCCAGTTCCAGTCAGTGGCCGCATGGGTCGGTTCGTGATTCTTTCGTCCCAATGCTTCAAGGGACCTCCGTTTGTGGACCCAGGCAGCCAATTTGTCAGTGGGGAAACCTGGGGTTCTTTAAGGAAGACCTGATAGTCAAAGTCGATGCCAGCCTGCTCGGCTGGGGGGCAATGTTCTGGCAGGGTAGCAGTTCAGGGTTTGCCGGTTGCCAAAGAATCGCAGCTCCAGCATCAACGCAATGGAATTGCGGCTCGAGCCATTTGGCTCTGGCTCAGTTGGTGGATGTCGTCGCAGGCAAAGACGTGGCCCTTTATTGTGACCAACACCACCTCTAATAGTGATGGTGAACATTCTTCGTCTAAACATGCCTAGATGATGGGAACGCCCTCTACGCAGGGCTACCACTTGGATTGGTGTAGAGGCTCCAGAACGCAGCTGCCTGGATGATCCGGCGGATTATCCGTTTTAAACACATTACACCTACTCTCCACAGCTTGTACTGGCTACCGGTTCGCGTCCGCATCCAATTCAAGGTTTCTCTTCTAACCTACAAAGCACTGCATGGCTTGGCCCCCATCTACCTGCAAAGCCGTATCTCCCTCCAATCCTCGGGCACATACACACTCCGTTCCACTGGAATGGCAAGACTTGCCTAGCTCGGGATTGTTCACTCGGCACTGGGGGGATCGATTCTTCTCGAGTGCAGTCCAAAAAACGTGGAACACCGCGCTGCCTTGCAAGTGGACATCCGAAATGCACCGAGTGCCTCTCAATTCCGTGGTCTGTACAAGACGCACCTAACTCAGACTTGCTTTCCCACAAAATCGAAAATGTTACATAAAAACTGTCTCTTTACTCTTCAATTCTTTTATTTATGAATTACCTTTCTTATGTTGTTCATTGCGCACTGTTGCGCTTTATTTTGCGTGCGGTTGCAATTGATATCATGGGACCTTTTTTGCCAGTATCAATGTATGAAAAAAAAGAATAGGTTGCAATTTACTTTGCTCGGTTATTGTCAGCCGCTGAGGGCTTGGCGAATTTCTTTTCTCATTCCAGTTTTTTTGTAAGCCCCCTGTAAACCGTTCCATTGTAACTTGCAGCGATGCCTACTTTGAGGGCGATGTATGACACGTAAAATAAAAATGGATTGATTGATTGGTGGCTTGGTTTCTGGCTGGCAATGCACTGTAATCAACGAGGAGATCTGGGCGATTTTGAGGTTTGCATAAAATTTTGGTCAAGTCCTTGCCAGGGTTCATCGCACCATCAACAGATTGGTTCGCACCACCAGGAAATGCCAAGGTGTGCCCCGCTTTGTCCCCGTTCTGGCAAGCCGGTGCACTGACAGCCGCAAACTCGGACATGCTGCAAGTTGGACTATGTGTTCTGCCCCCCCCCCCACCACCTTTTTCCCATTATTCCAAAGGATCTTGAGAACGTGGCCAGGGAGAATGCTCGGGTTATCTTGATTGCCTCCCAACTGGTTGTCCTGACCCCTGGCCAGCACCTACCTGTGGCTGCTCTAATTGCAGCCTAACCTGTTGTCCCGGTGGTGTATTTGGTGCCAAGGCATACAGACACTCGGGGCGCAATGTGCATTGCTGTTGAGCGGTGGTAGTTCAATGACTTAGGTTTTTGATATCGTGGTCCAAGATTTACTTCTGAGGTCTTGCCGGACCTCCGTCTAGCTGTTTTTATCACTCCGAGTGACATTTTGGTCATTGGTGTGCTGGCTTTCGCTAGTTTTCTTGTGAACAATTAAGTTTGGTTAGGTTGCAACCCAAAAACATAAACGGCTGTTATAGATACGTACCTTTCTACCTTGGTCTTGGCCCATCATTTACAACCAGTGCAGCATGTCCACCTCATGATTCTTGTTGCCAGTTAACTTGTTGCACGTCAGGAGGCTGAGATGTGGCAGATGTGAGAGCTTTATTTAAAGAGAAAGTAGACTATCACAGTCGGGCACGGCATCATAGCACCATTAGGGGTATTGCTGAATTGACTTACTGAAACAGTGATGTTAATTGTAACTCGAAAGGCTGTTTTCTTATTCATGAAGATAAACTTGTGTTGGACAGCCCTGGATACTCAGCTTAAAATTCTGTATCCATATACAGCCCTTTTGTCAATCCACTGCTGGATGAAGGCCTTCCCGTGCCGTGCGGGTCTGAGTTATTTTGTTATGCTTCACGCTACTCCAGGATTGTCAAGTAGAACCGTAGCGTATAGAAGTATATAGTATAGTACGGCAATGGACTTTGGCACACGACCTTCTGCTGCTTAATAAAGCGCGCCACGAACCCTATGGCAACCGGTCTGTCCATAGTGGTCACCCATCCCTGGCACTGTGCAGACGCCTGTCGTGCACTTGGCTGTTGAGATCCATCTTTAAAAAAAATACTTGCTCAGTCTACAGTATTTCAGCATTCATGTTGTCTATTGGAGCAGAGCATTTACAGCAGACATTTTGAAAAAACATTAAAAGTAAAATGCCTGGTGCAACTGCCCGTAATTGTTCCGAACGATTGTGCAGCGTGCGGATCCACGTGGGTGCCGCCGCACACCTGCCTTGCCATTCCCCCGTGGAATTGCGTAATGCCATGCATGTCGCCGAAACTGGCGTAGTTTGTCATTGTATAATAGTCTTCCGTTAATTTGATTATGTTTTAATTAACTACCTTCACCACGTGCCCAGATCTACATAAACTAGCAACCGTTAAGCACGCGCCATCAGCTGTGTGTGTGCATTCATTGGTAATAATGTGGCAGTGTGGAAAAACAAACCTATTAGGTCACTGTACCAGGAGTACATTTGTTTCTTCATGCTCTGCACACCAAAACTGCATTCAGAAAGCAACCTTTTTATGGCCATCGTTGAGGATGCATGGAGTCTGCAGACTTTGACCGTGGCTTCTGTTCTGCACCACTTTTTTTCCCAGCCATTTTCACAGACCTTGTGCAAATGTGCGTTTGGCTTAAGCGACAGATGCTCTATCGTAGGCCACGCGTAATAATGCTTTCCAGTTTTTCCCTGACGTTCAAGAGGCCAATGAACAAATGCAGCAACACCCGCTTTTTAAGGAGCTTTCCTGCAAGGAGACCGTGTATCCCGTGACGACCGCTGATTTTGCAAACAGAACGGTTTTTCACAATTGTGTCAAGCCGTGTAGAAGGAGAACCCATGCTAATGAGGGCCACTTGATGCGTGAATGGCTGTAGGTTTATCCTGTACGACCCAATTATCTGCGTGCTCGTTTAGGGGTGAAGCGTGGCAACTATACGCGAGCACTCTCCTGGGCTACAGTAAAACCGCCTTGTGTAATTTCCTCTTTGGTCTTTGAGTAATGTATGCTACAAACACAAACCGGTGTTGTCAAAACAAACGCATTACCTAACTTTGAGCCGTAACACCTTTCTAGGGAGCATTGTGTGTTTATTTTCTACTAATAAAATAAATGGCTATCGCTTTGGGTGCACGGAATGTGCCTGTAATTGGCGAATCCTTTGCACAGTCGTAACTCCTTTTTGGTTAGGCGTCTTCGGCTAACCTGCCTAATAACAATGTGGGATTTAACATCCTTAACCACTGTCCGTCGGGTGAAGAGGTTAAGGGCATCTTGGCTCGGTGCCTCGAGCGCCGGCTGCTCCTCCGCTAAGCCTGGCTGTGACGCGCTAATCCTGGCGACTGTATGTGGCGTGCAGCATGCTGAGCAGCCAGGCTACAGGCACCTGCTGTTTACCGCACACCAACCAGGGCCGCCCTTGCCATTTCGTGCGAAGCGGCTCATTTACTTTGCATGCCCACCCATAAGCCGTGCGGAAGGGGGGGGGGGGGGGTGGTCTTTGTCTCCCAATGTTGAATTATTAAATGTTACGTGAAGGCCTATCCGCACAAAAACAGTGGGCAGCCTGTGTCCTTGTAGTGGCATTTACATGTTGGTATGCATTTGAGCAAGGGCACTTTCATCTTTAGCAGATATTGCAGCAGCTGTCTTGTCCTCTGATCAGCTGTAACTTTGAAGGAATGCATAACGTGATTGCGATACATTTTTTGGTCAAATCGTGCAATGTTAGGGGATGTATCGGCAATGATTGTTGAATGAAATGTTGCGATTTGAATGAAGGGCTCGTAAAATGTCACCTGACTTTCCAGAAGGCATTGACTTTAGTTTGACTGCCAAGAACTGCTGCTAAGTGCCAAAATAGAAAGCAAGCATGCAATTTACTAGGTCATTCGCATATAACCCACATTTATACTTGGAATAGTTTCTTAGATGAAACCGATGTCATTGTTGTTATAATTAGACATTGAATTGAGCAAGAAATATTGAGTGAATTAACTGCGCAAGAGGAACACTGGTCAGATAGTCAATAGTTCACCTGCATGGTGTTACGTTAGCAGGGAGGATGTGGCGGTTAACACACGGGAGCTTAACACGTGTGCAATGCAATGCCGGCATGCTTTGATGAGATAGGTGGGTTGGAGTGATGCAGACGGTAGGTAGGCCAGGTTTAAGGGGGCAACGACCAGCGCATCTGTGGTCAGATATTGGCATCGTACTGAAAGCCCCTTCCAAGCCAAGCAGTGACGATTCCCAAATTAGTTCGAAATAGAATTTGCTTTGCGGCATATGCACTGTGACTGTTTTATTTACCTCCGTCGTGTTTTCCCGTGCGTGAAGTATCGAGCACTTATTTATTTCTATTTGTTTTCATTCACGGGGGGGAAAAAAAAAACCATGTCTCCGCAGTTGCAATTTTCTGGAAGGTGGATTTTGTTTGTAATTCTCCGCGCCAAGCACTTGAGGCACCTGCTTCACTCCCCGTAAGCCCCCACCGCTGCCCCCCCTCTCACTTCACCATTCGTTGACTTCCGCTCCCATGGCTTTAACTCCTGGTTGTGGCACGGAACTTGCGTGGGCCGCGCATTTCCTTACTGTCGTGTGTGTGTGTGTGTGCTCGCGCGCGCGCGTGCAGGTGCAGCGGACGTACTGCAACGGCACGTACCGTGCCGGCGCCATGAGGCAGATCAGCCTGGTGGGCGTGGTGGACGAGGAGGTGGGCGACTACTTCCCCGAGTTCCTCGACATGCTGGAAGAGTCGCCCTTCCTCAAGGTGACTGAAGGGCCGAAGTCCGTAGTGCTGAACAGGACCCTCGTGTTTGCCATTCCATTTGTGCAAGGGGGGGGGGGGGTGTCTTCAAAATTTGTGTGAGTCGCTACTCTGTGTGCGTAGATCTAAAATGAAACGGTTTTTTTTCATGACACGTGCTTCAATATCTTTGCGTGTGAATCTTGTGTGAGGATTAATTATTTACAATTTATGCGAAGTTTATCCTAATTGCGTCGTAATTTTATTCAGGATTTTTGGCATAACCTAATACCGTACAAAAGAAGATTAAAATATGATGATATAAAACATCCAGGGTGCTGTAAAAATGATGAGAGAACATTTCTTGAATGGAATTGCGACCCCAATTCATGGATTGTTCGTCAAAACACTGCACTGAGGAGGGTGGGGTCATTACATGTCTACTTACAACAGAGCTATCTAGCCTGGTGTCTAACTTGGAAGGAATAATAAAATAACTGTGGTTCTGCTCTTTACGAACTTAAAAACCTTTACAGCACCACCTCTCCCACCTAAATCCACTTAATATTTTAACCATGCTGGCACCTGCCATTTATGCATTCATTGACTCATCCATTCTCCGTCAATTTTGTTCATTACGTTTGGCTAAAGGGCACAGGTGCCACCCGGAATTAAAATTTACATTTTGTTGTGGCAGGAGTGTAATACAGCATGCCAATTCTGTTGGGTGATGCAGTGCATAGTCATGGTGTGTTTAATTAAAATGATTTGATGGTAAAAATCGAAGGTTTATTTGCTGAAAGGTAGCATTGTTATTGCTATTATTTTTGACGGCTTGGCCTTTTCCTGACATTTTGGTGGTTCGGATAAGCACTGCGAAATGCCAAGTTTGTACACATTGCCTGTTTAAGTTCAGGCTTTTTGTGTGGAGAAGGATGCCGACCTTATTCAGCTCTGTTTGTCGTTGCATCTCTTGAGTGTTTTTCGAACAATGCAGCAGAGAGAAATGTCTCTATAAGAGAACAACATTGCTTTCAACACTAATGTTCATGGTTTTGTACGTTTTGTACGTGGATGAGAGGGGCGGGGGTGTTATTTGGCCAGACTTTACCATCCCGGTCAGTGCAGGTTGAGAAGAGTGTGGAGCGAAGTACACAGTTACAGCAATCGATGTTGCTGCTATGTTATTTGCTGCACACGAGTCCCGCAGAGTGCTCTCACAACCTGTTATGCATGTTACTTGCCCATCCAAAGAAGTGTCCAGACTCAAGCTTGCTTCGTAGCTTTCAAGATCCGATGAGAGATTTGGTCATAACACAGTCGGTTTTGAACAGTTTGTTTTTGCGTCCGTATCAGTGCCCGCAGAGGTATAGATAATCCAGTCGGGTTACAGGCATCTTCCTGCAGTGGTAGCCGCTGTGCACAGAAGAGATGTTCAAAAGATACACAATTTATAGACGTTGTATTGACTGGTAAAAAGTAAGTGGGCTTGGGAAGGTCTCGACACGATATTTAATTGTGACCGAACACGCCCAAAATAATACCTTCCGCTCTTAAGGGAGTGTGTGAGTGAGATGACACCGGCTCTTGTACAGGTGCTAAGTGGTTAAATTCATGGCAAGCCAAAGAGATGGTTTGGTATAGCGTCCATCCAGCAGCGGATAGGCCGTGGTCAATTATGATCCCGAGAGGGCATTGAATTCTGTGTAATGTCACATTCCAACCAGCAATGATACTCATTTTAATATAGGCCCAGTACCTAATTGTAGATTACATAGTGTTGATAATTATAAGTAAAGTTAAATCTTGTCTACATATTACAAATATGGACATGGACTCAGAAAATCACGAATCTACATTGCCCTGCTGATGTGCACTCATTTAATGTTCATGCTTGGCATCTCTTGGCATGCAACTAGATTTTCCATAGCTTCGCTCTTTTACGAGTGGTGTGAGTGCATTATAACTCCTGGGGAGTGCTTACTTAGTGGTTTCTGCACTGTGCTACGATTCTAACAACCTGGGTGCAATTTTTTATCATGCATACTAGTAGCAGTGGCAATGGGTATCCGAACCTTAACTGGAGCTTGCCCTGCCTCCGCGCCCCCTTCGTGTGTCGTGACGGCTTGAATATGTGCTCCCCACAACCGCTCGTTTTTCGAAAAGGGGCTAAACGGGAGATATCCGTATTTGTCCCTCGACCCTATGGCTCTACCACAGCTGACTCTGCCATGGGGCAGCATTTCGAGCCTGCGGTTGGAGTCTCGCATGGAGAGCGATGACGGCCCCATCCTCTGGGTGCGGCCGGGCGAGCAGATGATACCTACGGCCGACATGCCCAAGTCGCCCTGCAAGAAGCGTCGGTGAGTGTCGACTCGGCACATCCTAGCCAGCCTTTGCACTCTACATGCGCCTTGCACGCTCTTTCGTATGTACCCCCGCACGCACTTATCCTGGCACGAGAACTTCAAAATATCTAACTTTCTCCACATTCAGGCGTCCGTTACGTCACATGTGTTTTATACATGACGCACAAGGACATTGTCAATACACTGCTTAATGAGGGCCTTTCCGTGCAGTGTGGCTTGTGGCTGGTTATTTGACCGAACCTTACCATGCAGTTTGGTGAAAGTGTGGAGCAGTGAAGTGCATTTTTCTACATTGCTCCTGCTGTGCACAATGTAGCTCCTTCATCCTCATCACAACCTATGTGTGCAAAAGTGGTCACCCATCCAAGCAGTATTCAGGCCCAGCCTTGCTTGGTATCCAAGATCTGACGAACTTGAGCACATTCTGAGATATTTGGCCACAGGACCATTACGTCACACCTTGGCATCGTAGTTACACCCCTATTACATTTAATACCGCTGTCTCTTACAAGCTGCTGTAACGACCTGTTGTCTGTTTTGCACTCGTTAAAGCCCCGCGTGTCACTCCACCGGTCGTTTCACCACGTGGCTCTGTGTGTGTATGTGTTTCGGAACCCCCACTGCAGGAGCGAGGTGAAGAACCTGCACTATCTTCCGCGCCTGTCGGAGCCGCGCGAGGTCCTCTTCGAGGACCGGACGCGCGCGCACGCAGACCACATTGGCCAGGGCTTTGACCGGCAGACAACGGCGGCCGTGGGTGTGCTCAAGGCTGTGCGATTTGGAGAAAGGTGCTCTAAGCAGGCTCCTCGCAGCACCCCTAGTTCATCAGTCGTTCAGTTTTCGTGAAGAATGTGCGTGTGTCTTGTTTGGTTATGGGGAGCGGTAGTGTAACGGTTAGAACGTTGTGCTACAAACTCGACGACCCGAGTTGAATTCCCGCTCGCGGCCAACACCAGTGACAATTAGCTGAACCGGTCCTGGAACTCCCCTGGATCGACTCGGCCTCAAATGAGTACCTGGTGCGGTGTGTAAACAACGCCACTAGGGAGACAAAGGCAGCCAGGCATGGTGCTGGTCACCCACCCCCTCGTGTGCCGTGCCGGCCTTCATAGGTGCTCGCTAACAGCATTTGCTCCTACAGTCTATTAATGCAAGCAGGTTCTTGCATTTGTGATATATGCAATTAATTGCGAGTGTAAGAATTAATTATACGCTATATTGTGGATTTTATGGAAATATATATTTAGGCTAATGGAAAGAATAAGACCACGAATACAATAAATCTTACAAGACGGTACACATAGTACAAAGTAAATGTGCAGTGCAGACAAGTCAGACGTTACAAAGACAGGATAGATATGACGATACAATTGACACAGACGGTATGAGATGAACGTATGAAATGAACAGACATTGTACACAACACAGTACATACAAGACCAACCAAATAGTTCTTGAATAAAATCGTGACCCCAGAATTGTGACGGTTCATCGCCTCTCAAAAGGGTTAAATGTTGTATACCTCCTGTTCTGTAATTTCTCTGCCCGGGGTATCCTTGACTCTGCCCTCTCTCAACCGTGTGCTTTTTGCCGCGTGTCTGCGCAGGGACGACGAGGCGCGCGTCACCAAGGACGTGGTGGCATTCCACGCGGGTGACTTTGTGGAGGTGGTGCAGAGGCTGCAGCTTGACCTGCACGAGCCGCCCATGTCACAGGTACACTCAATCCCCCCCCCCACCCCCTCTCCAACGTGGCCAAGCCACTGAAGCCAGGGAAACGCGGAGGTGAGGGTGACGCACACCTCTGGTCTTCGCGCTTTGCCGGCAGGGGTTTGTAGAATCACTATTAAGTGCTCTGGCGTGTCATTCCTGTGGCTGCATTGACATCGTGTTCAACATCGCTGTAATGAAAATAGTAAAAAGATCAAATATACAGCACAAAATGTAAGCCCTGTTCGCCATAGCCACTGTCGCCTATGTGCACCAGTGTTCAGTGTAAATGTGCACCCCGTATTGATGCAGCTGGATGAAGGCCTCCCCACGCCGTGTTGCTCATGGGGGTTGTTTGACCGTACTGCATTCACCACGCTGGTGAGTGTGTGTTGGAGGAGAGGATGTGAGGGGAGAGAGCTGGGGAACCGTTCAGATATCACTCATCACGGATGTTAGCTGTGGCTGTATCGGATTCATAGTGCAGTGGACTAACCAATGCACCACCACGCCACCCCACAATGAATGGACCTCAACACCCATTTCGGACAACCTGGGACATAGCCAAGATAAGAGCTTTTTGTTTCTTACATTGCAGTTTCCTTGTAGGATATCTGCAATGGGTCATGGGACGTGATGTCACCACACCCCCCCTCCCCCCCCCCCCCCCCTCAAAACCCGCAGTGCGTACAGTGGGTGGACGACGCCAAGCTGAACCTGATGCGACGCGACGGCATCCGCTATGCGCGCGTCCAGCTCTGCCACAACGACATCTACTTCATCCCTCGCAACGTGGTGCACCAGTTCCGTACCGTGTCGGCCGTGTGCAGCCTGGCGTGGCACGTGCGCCTGCGGCAGTACCACCCCGAGAGCGAGCACGCCAATGTCGGCGAATCCGCCAGCGCCGCCGCTGCCGCCAGCAACAGTAACAGCGCGGAGGTCGCCAACTCGAAGGAGGTGAAGACGGAGAGCACGGGGGAAGCGGCGGAGCCCTCGGAAAAACGCAGGCCCGGTGGCGCCGAGGGTCCGCCTGCGGAGAGCGGCCGCAAGGGGAAGGCGTCGGAGAAGACGCAGCAGCACTCCTCCTCGGGCAACACGCTGCCGGGGAATTTCGCGCCGGTGCGGAGCTGCGAATCTGGCTCCAATGGCTTCAGGCCGGACCCGACGAGCGAGCGCAAGGCGAGTGGCGAGAGGATGGAAGTGACTTCCGAGGCCGCCGCTTTGGCCACGACGAGTAAGGGCGCCAAGGGGGGGGGAGGGTCGACGGGGGGCCCGTCGGGCGGCGGCGGCGGCGGCGGCATCGGTGTTGCGTCGCGCCCCCCCGTCGAAGAACCGTCGGTGAACGTGGGCGTGAGCGTCCCCGAGATGGGCGCGGCCCTCGGCTCGCACGCCGTGCGGGAAACTCTAGCAGAGCAGCAGCCTCAGCCTTCCGTCCTGGCTGCCTGCGACGCTTGAACCCCCACCCCACCCACCTCGCTCAGCCGTCGGTGCCCGACCGCTACAATCATCACTTTATTCCCTTCTACAGTTCTGTGCACTTGGCGCTGCTGCTTGTGCAAGGTCTCCTGAAGGCCAAAATGGTTCCACCACACCTTTTGGTGAGCCAGCAGGGCTGCCTGCTTTTCGCAGTAATTTGTACATCAAAGCCTTCCACGTCCTTTTTACACACTTAATTTTCCAAAGTACGCCCCGCCGCAGTCGCTTGTGCTGGCCCACCGCCTCGTACGAAGGCAATATTATACCCTGTTAAGACACCCGTTTTTGATGCGAGGCTTAATTTGAACGACAACAAAAAAAAAGTCTCGTGTCCGGACGTGCATGAAAATCTTGTGCAGGTTCCCCAGGATAGTAAAATTACTTCTGTTTTTTTTCTTTTCTCCATTTAACAAAAAATATTCAATTTGAACAAAAAATTCAAGCTCCAGCCCTCTGAAAATGGGAAATGTAACAGTTAAGGGGAAGAGCCGACTGCACCACTGTCCAGTGTAATTGAACCACGTCAGCATCCTCCACACAAGCATCATCTTCTACCCTGCAATCGTCCTGGGTAATAATGCAACTGTTCTTTCCATCCTCCTCCGTTTACATACAGCTTACTTTCCCTCCATTGTTGTAATAATAGTACAAATCATATCTGATGTCAGTGTGCAGGTGGATGGGGCGAGGGGTGACATACCATACTCTTTGTAATATCCCTGTATATGTGGAATGAAGGAGTGCTGAAGGGGTTTTTGGAGCAAAATTGCCCTACTTGTATCCACTGTATTTATAAGTATTCTTTTGAAAAGCAGTAGGCTCGTCCTTAATATTTGATGTATCTTCTGCTTTTTTCAAGTGTATACAAAATGAGGGCATTTTAATAATCCTGTTCATCAGAAGATAAAAAGGCAATTGTAAATGGAAATTCAACACTTCATATCTGTACGTTAACTTAAGTTCCTTGGTTTGTCTTAATTTTTATTCCCACTATTAATACCGCAAGACTTTTAAGAGACCTGCTTGCTGTAGTGTTTTATTTTTGGTTCTTTTTTGTATTTAATATTTACTATGTTAAATTTAATGCTTTTATTAGTATTGCTTCTGCGTCAGTGCTTGCAAAAAAAGACGTGTGTTGCACATGAGTGGAATGACCGCACACTTAAACATTCGTGTGAGATTTTGTTGACTAAGCAGAGCCTGTTTTATTAAAGATTTTATTCAGTCAATTTTTACTTTCATTTCAAATCCACTGGTGCAAGACAGTTGAAATTTACAAGCAGTCTTGTTTTGTAGCATAGAGGATATCCGTAAACACTATGAACTTATAAATACAGTACAAAATTATTCAGTACTTCTGTGTTTTTTATTAGCCACAAGTAGAGTGACATCTTAAGGAAAGTCATAGGCCTTTTATTACTGTATTTTTTTTACTTTGAACATATTAACAGATTATTTTTAAAAAAATATTATTTAACAGCTTTGAACGATTCAGTATGTACCAATGCCTAACCTATCTGTAATGTTGGTGACAATGGTAAGAAACCAAAATCATTACTTCTGTAAGGTATTCCACCAGAATTTATCGGGAAAACTGTAGAGTAATACGTGTTTTATAATTAAAGAAAAAGCGGAAAAAAAGCCTTTAACCAAAATGTTTTCATTATTTGCTTCAATGGTAGAATGGCTTGTGTTAAACATTTTAAGTCCATATTTTGTCTACTAGCCTCTTCCCATTCAAGCCAGCGTCTAGTGCTTTCACTTCCAAACTTTCATGCGCTACGCTTTATAAAGCGTTTAAGACTTTGCTGAGTTGATCTAGGCGGAGAGTGCATTTAGCGGTCTGTCGGCTCAGGCCATTGTGCATGTAAATATTTAGTGCACAGTGGCCTAGCCTGTTTTAATTGAAGGATAAGAGAATATTGCCTGGCTACACCGCGAAACTTCGACTTCCCAGCAGCAGCGCGTGCTATCACCGAAGGAAAGAGGCTAATGTAGCGAAAAAAATATGCCTTTTATCACTCGAACCAGCACTCTCAGATTTTGTTTGACATTCTTATAATTTGTATAGGAATTACTCCAGTTTGGGATGGAGAAAAACTAAAATACCCACAACAAAAATAATCTGGGGGAAAAACCCCCGAAAGCTGGGGGAGAGGTAGAGGCATTTGTAATTGGAGTTTTTGGAAACACAGCAACATTGATGGGTGACAGGAACGCACGGCATTCTGGGAACATGCCCCCCCCCCCCCTCCAGAGATCTGGGAGTGCTTGCTCACTTCTGATTTTTACCGTCTTCCATTTTTGTGTATTTTTCAATCCAGAGTGCTTCTTGTTTTGCAGCGCACATTGAAGTTCTTTACGTAAAGCTGAAGAAAGAGTGAACTTAGAATACATTTTATAGGTTTGTGATTGGTCATCAAACAGCTGAAAATACTGTACTGAATTCACTTGTGGGTTGTGAATGCTCATAGCTATAGTGTAAGACCGCGTGGCATGTAATGTACTATAACTGATTTTTAGCCTCAAATCAACTTTGCGGATTTTTTTTGACCATGTACAAACCAGATTGACAGATTAAATTACAAGTCACTTTAACTGTTGCTACAATGCTGGTATTTTTCTTGTCTGTTTAACGTGAGTTCTTTAATGTTTAGCTTCTTCCGTTTTTAGTTGCTTATTTTCATTATTTTATTCAGTCATAATTAGCTCTTTTAAAAAACTAATTCGGTCCAGTCTGTCCAAATGATTGTCTGACGAGTGTGAGCTACGTAACATTATTCTTTGACTTGCCAGGTTTGCTTTTATTTGGCAAGTGTAGTAACTGCAGAATCTGGGGTAAATGTTGGGCTAGTTTTAATTAATAGTCTGGTCTGTCAGTTTGCAGTCGTGAAACTTCCCCAAACCAGTGTTCTTTCCAAATTTGTTAATATTGCATCCAAATTTGACATGTAGTCTTGTTTGGAGTCTGCAAGAATCCTACTTAAACTAAATGGTAAATTTCAAGTACCTAAAAGGGTCTTGGCAGATAATACATCAAGTAATTTTACAAACTTTGCCGTTGAATAGGGGAACAGTCTTCATTATCTCAATGTATTATATTTTTTTTATGTTTTTTAAGTATGTCCAAAAATTGAATGTTTCCTTGGTCCAATAATTTTTGGCTCAAACCACAGACGAAAATGTTTGCCTTGATGAAGTGGCCTATCGACATTACTTGTGGGGAGGGCCCTGTAAGAATGTAGAGCGGTAGAAAACAAAATAATAACGTGTGGCTTCCACATCCGCTCGCCTGTTTCATATTAACGCAGTGGACTTCATCAATGAGTAATGTGTGCGGCGGTCGTGCCCCAATGGAACCAACCGTTAGCGGGACACCAACATTACCGGTACCCTGTTGAGACAGGTCGCTCAACGGTATGCGGGCAATGCAGCAACATGTACAGCAGCTCCCCAGGGAATCCCGCGGTGTGTCGCAACCTCGTGAAGCCTTCCATTCCCCGCCAGTCTGTGGCAGTTGTCTCCAAAGCAGAACAAAGCTTCATCGTTGGGACTTAAGCATTGGCTCAAACTTTCGACTTCGGGAACTGATCTGGTGATGCTGAATTGTGCCACCTAGCCATGCGTATAATCTTGAGTTTGGGGCCTGCGTTTTCCTCCATCATTTGAGTACAGTTGCTTCTGAAAATGTTACCCATTAACCTATATGCCGGATAGCAATACTGTTTTTTTTTTCTCATTGCACACGCTAAATGCTGTTTGGTTCTCATTTTAAATGGGTCATAGTTAAAAATGAAGAGCCAGTTTGACATGTTGCGATTGTTTTGTATGAAACCAAATCAAGCAAACGAAGAGGGGACAAGTGCTCTGCAGTGTTTCAAGACGCATTGATTGTTACTTTTATGAGAAGGCACTCATCACTGAGCTTCGTTAGGGACAAAGAATGGTTACACGTTCGTTTTTACTCCATAGCGTGTAACGGAGCAGGGTAATTTTGTAGAGAAAAGGCGAAGCTGCGACCAATATTCCACGAGTAATTTCCGAGGAAATAATAAATTATTGTGGTGTCTTCCATTAGAACGTTTTCGAACCTTGAAATTAATTACCTTTTTTAAAGTATAAGGTTAGTGTATAAGATTAATTGTCACGGGAAAAGTATTGGTGAGAGAAAGCATTAATCTTGTTTGCTAACGCTCCAATTTAAGTGCAGAAATATATTTGTGCATTTTTACATGGTAGCCCTATGTAGATGCGTTTTGTATAATTTATGCTAATGTAAGTCGACTTATGCCCAAATTTCATAGAATTGTTGTTGATTACATATCTATTACTTTGATGTATTTTGGCCCAGAACTGGAATATTTAAATCCGAATCCTTAAAATCAGCGTCACATTCTGGTGTTGTGAAGAAAAATGCACCTTTGGCGGCTTTCAGTTTTGGTGCACACGGCAGGACCTTGCAACTCCCACGGTGGACTCTTTAATTGGTCTGAGCAGATACCACGGTGGATTTCGGAGTGACGGTAACTTCTGGGTCGGCCCATGACTCAAGGTCATTTAGATGGTCGGGGAATTCGAAGGTAACACTGGACAGCAAACCTGACCGTTATTAAGGTCGGGATATCCCACTGTGAAGAAAAAAACGTTAAAATAAATTTTGACAACCTCCAATTGCTTTTATGCCCTTGTCAGAGGAATCCCTAAGCAAGAACAGCTGGCGGACTTTAATTAAGACGCCGTGTTGGTTTCGGTAAAACTGAGCTATAATGAGCCATTCGCAGCCATAAAGCATGCATGTTCATTATTTAATTTCATAAATTGCTGCAAAACCAAGGACGGTTAAGGTTGGAGATGCTGACGCACATTTCAGCTGGCTTTGGTCATTTAAAGGCTTCTGCATGTTCTCTGATGGCAAACGGATGTGGGTGTGGTACTGTCATGTTCCAGAAGCTATATATAGCAGTGTCGGCTTTTATACATTGGGCCCATTCCATGTGTTGCTTTGAGACCAAAGGATGTTATTTGGGTAGTCATGAGTATAAATGTTTAGCATAGTGCCTTGTTGCTCAGGTGTCCTGATCGCGAGGGTTGAGTGATCTTTGACACAGAACATGAGGAATGGCTGGGGTGGCTGCTGTTTGAAATACAATAAAAAGCTTCATGGTATTCATACAGGGTAGCTCATTGGAGCTCAAATTTGACTTTTTAACGATATGCCGAACAATAGATGTATAAAATAACGTATGTGGCCAAGTTTTTTTTGTAGAGCAGTTGAGTTAATTGCGCCGTGTGCATTGTTAGATGGTAGATTCCGTTTTAATTTCATTTTCAGATTTAACACCAAAGTGTACTGCAGACTGTCACCCCAGCCTTCATGCAGTAACCAGTGAACTCTCCGGTCTAATGTAATGCCATTTAGACTTTAAGGCCCGAATGTGTGCTTTTGAAGTTCTCCAAATGAGCAGTTTCGTGTGCACTCCACAGCGAGAAGCGTGCACGTTTCAAAGGTGGCACAGGCACATATTCTTCCACAACCAGTGGGAATCAGTCTAAGTGGTAATTAACAGCACACTTTTGTAGCAGTATACCGATCGAGAGTGTGAGCTAAAGAATGTAACTACAGTAGTGTGTTACACGACGTTTGGCCCAATCTTTTTAAATGTTATTCGCACTCGCTTGTGATTGGTCCGACAGGCTTGCTGGCATTTTCCCGGAATCTTAGCCACTCCCTACAATATCACTTTTTTCTCAATTTTAAATTGGCGCAAGCATTGGCTTCTCATATCTTCAAGTCTTCTGGAATATTTACCTGAATGTGAGGGGTCCGACTTGTGCGGACGTCGCCCATACTTTCGGGTGTCGCTTTGACCGTGATAAATGCACACTTTGCTTAAGTTGACATTGTTAAGAGGGCAAAATGATTGATCGTCGGACGAAGAAGTCTTTGCCAAGTGGATTGAAAGCCCCCAGTTTTCATTCTTATTTGATTTGTGATTCCCTGCCCCCCCCTCCCTTTGTTCTAAAACTTAATTTGGAAGCGTTTGTTTTAACACAAAAGTCCAATAATCGGCACTTGTAAATTTTTACCGGCTTAATTCATTTTTTAACGTGTACAATTTGTTTTGCATTTGTTTTCATAATGTAAACCATATTTTCCATGGGCAAACCACCAAGGTCGAGATTGCCAAGTGTAACGAGTAATTTTTTCCCTTTTATTTAAAGTCAAACTTGTATCGGTTTATTTTTTGGACAGCTGTTTGTACACCTGCAGTGCTGTTAACACAAGTGATTTTACGGGCAAACCCACTTGTACATAGCGCAGCCAACCTCACTCACAGTAAAAGCTCGTTAATGATTTTTTTTATCAATACTATTGATTATAAACTGCATATTTATTGGGGATTTTCAGAATCTCATAAAATAAGGTTGGCAGCTGTATATTTATACAAAACTGTTTACAGCATATAAGCCGTATATGAATATATTAAAAAGTGCATGAATTCAGTTTGTAAACCTATGAAGATAATTATGAAGGGCAGGTTTCTCGTGATAAAAATGGATCTGGGGCTTAATGTATTTAAGTGCATGCTGTGTTTCCTAAAGGAATATTAGATCTTGTTACCTTAGGCTTTTAGAAATGTGGCAATTTTATTGAATGTCGGTGCAGCTGTTGTGAATTATCGGATAACAACGTTGTACACTCAAGATACAAACTTTAACATGAATCTGTGAATGGATGTAACTTTTTTAAAGTTATACTTAGACAATTCAACAAAATAGTGTCATGTCTTTTGCTAATTGCTGCCATCTGTTTCATCCGCTTTTGCAAAACCCAATGCCACATTTTAAGCTTGGATGTACAAAGCCTTTTCAATGAAATGTAAAAAAAAATACTGTTTTTTTAAAAGTTCTTTTTACATTAGTTTTTTTTGTAACAGCTGAGCTTTTGTAGTCCACTAGAATATCCTAGCGTTAGTATTACGGTGCGTAAACGTGGGAATTTTCAGGGCTAGTTCGAGGGTAAGCAGGACTCGCGTGCGCAAAACGGTCTTTGCGTGTAAATTCGCAGTCTTTCCCCCCCCCCCCTTGCTTTTCAGTTTCATTGCACCGACCTCGGGCACGCCAACAATGTTGCGCGCGATCGACTAATTGAGTGGCACTTGGCCTCCCCTCCAATCGCCGGTCTCGGAGGTTAACGTTTTTAAAACACCCGTTTTGTGTGCTGATGTAGCCCCCTAGTGGGGGGGGGGTCCCCCACTTGAGGGCGAGTAGTTATCGAGTCACATTTGCTTCATTTGCTCTGCAGCTGGCTTTGTAGGCAGACCAGCCCCATCAGTGACTCATGTCTCATTCAATCTACAGCTCCACTTTGGTTTCCCCTTTGTATTGTCTTAAGTTTTTGTATCAATCTATTTTGCATAAATAAATCTTAGTTTCCAATGTACACCTGGAATTGCGTTGTATTTAAGCGCTATGAACGGCCGTTAGTTTTGCGTTATTTGAAGCCACTGTTGAACACACGTTAGTGATATTTAATTAGGCGAATTTTAACTTTGCAGTTTGAAAAATGAAATGTGCAAAATGGGATGGTGTGAAGGTTAAGGGTTATCAGTCACTTTACAGAATGGTTCAGACTTTTAGTCTGCCCGTGCTGATCCTCAGCCTCACCTGTCAACATACATTTTTTTGTCCCATCTGCATGGACATTTCCACAGCATGAAACCATCATCTGAGGGTGCTCTTTACACCAAAACTAATGAATGCATGCATGCAGCTTACTACTGCAGCAATTTTTGAATGAGTAAAGCTTATCTTATACTTATGCAAAATGTAAACACCAATTTTTATTAGCTTTATTAACCAAGTGAGCTTGAATGTAAATGGAATTAAAATGCCAAGTATACATCGTCAAAAACATGAATATACAACAGGTACCATGGTTGCAAAGATTAACAAACGCAACATTCAAATACTCAACGCTACACACTTCATAAATCATTGCACAGATGCCCCTCTACCATACCACAAGCCTTCGTCTCAATTTAAATTCTGGTGCACCATTCAGCCCCATAACAGCTCTAAATAAACTTACACTATGTGCTGCTGCAATGTTTCGATGCAAACATGCACATGGGAGCTCAGCAGGTGTATGGCATACAAGCAATTCTCATCAGATGAGTAGATAATTGTTAAGTTCCTTAAAGAAACGGGTGTCCTGTAGGATCTCCACGTGAACATAACCATGCCCAACGATTGGTTTCACCTTTAAACTACAGCAGTCCTGTTTATTCATTAAACATGTCACTGTAGGTTAAACCAATGCTTGTGTGCATTAAGCCTGCATTGGTGTGTGTGTGTGGGCAATGCGGTTCTTGACTTGGCCCTAGCAGTGCCATATGACTTTCATTTCTAACTTGTCATCAAGAAGGCTCTGTAACCACCACGTCCAGCAGCCCATACGACCAGGTAACACAGTCCAGGAAATCTACACGTCTGGGCCAAGTCCAGTTGGATTGAACAAGTCTTTCCACCACACGCTTAGCAAGTTTTACCGGCACGCTTCCACAAAACCATCAGCCCTTTCGTGTCCCATGCCCGTATGGCCCTGGAGAGACTGGAGACATCCGAGACCCGTGGTCTCGTACCAGGTGGATGCGCGAGCCCAGCCTTCGGTGCCTGCCTGTGCTGTGGGAGTCGGCCGTGGTAATGTCTGCTTCTGTTGATGCAACCGTCTGCTTGTTGGCATCCAGCCACCTACACCATGATCACACAAGGCCAAGGGGTAAAGTTAACATTTCAAAGTCAATTCGGAGGAACAAACATCCAGAGCTACAGCAGTATATTTCAATGGGGTCTAATATTCTGCAATGCTTTGGTTTATACGGTCGTAAATGTTTAGATCTTCATTAAGGTCAACCTTCCCATCCCATTCACAGTTGTATTGCAAATTGTATAATTGTGATGGACCTTTTCCAATGCAAAACCTTACGAAATAATGTATTTTATGGTTTAAATGTTCACAAACTGGACCTGAATATATATGATCCCAGGAATTATAAATCTGACTGCTTTGCTAGAGCACAGCTGGAATTGGCTGACAGCAGTTTAACATAAACATACTTTCAGGCGATTGCACTACCAACCACGTATTCTCCAGTTGCCACCAACATAGGTGAATTAATGAAAATAAGTACTCGAAGTTGCCTTAGTGCCATCAGCCACGAGGAGAGTTGGACCCCACCAGGAGCTCTGGAATCCCAAAACCACCTCAATATCCAAACCGAGCAGAAATTGACAATGGTGTAAAAGCTAATGCACAAATGGAGATCCAAATTGCAATAATTGTGTACGTGTTGCCTCCCTTAAGACGATATGAAACTACGTTTACTCAGATGGCGAGGACATAAGACACAAAGTGTATCGAGTGTAGATGGAATAAAAACACCAGGGCACACAAGGGTGGTTCGAAACGTTAAATCAGGATAAGAATGACTGTGGAGTGGAGAATGATGGCCCAGGGCAGGATTGAAAAAAAATCACAGGAAGGCAGATTCCGCAGTGGAGAAAAAGCACGTTATTGGAAGTAAAACAATACTTTGATCGTTGATATTGAGCCTGCAGTGGATTTACATTTTTACACGCTGAGCTTTTCCCACCACCGTACACCATGCACAGATGTGGAGTATCCAAACCCTGCCAAAAGGCACACAGCCCCATAATGTGTATTTACCCGCGTATCCTCGATAACAGCACGTTGTTCGCAGCCAAGATTCCTCTCCAATTCTCACGGGTGGAAGCAGAGCCTTCCTCCACACTAAATGTCAAGTCCCATGCTCACGGCTGGGTGACCAGAGGACGGGAGTCAACCAAAGTGACTGCTTGCCGAGATGGAAGCGTTGGTTCGGGAGAAAACGCCTCCGTATACAGCACAATCTCCAGCTTCTAGGATAATGGTGGTTTTGGAGCGAAGTTTTTTCCAAATGTCTCGTTCCACGCTCCTGGGTGTGTGGGTTTACGAATGTCTGTTGGGGAGCTGATGTCCGTCTAGGGATGTCGTCTTCACTGCCGCTGCTGGGGTAGGTTAGAGTTGCGGACTAGATGGCCCGCATTCACCATTCATTAATTCGTAGCAAAGTTGAGCTGGTTAATGGATAGGTTGCCAATTCGGTGGATTGCTGATTGGGTGGGATAGTTATGTGGGTTGGTTTGAGTGTGTTGATGATTGAGCCGAATGTGTTGTCCCGCGTGTATTCATCGAGTGCGCTGTGTGTTTTTGGCTGGTTGAGTGGGTTAATGGTTTGCGTGGGTTGTTATCTTTTGGTGTTGTTTTGAGAGTGTGTGTGGTGTAGCGGAGTGTCGTTTTGAGTGGCTTGTTGGCAGTCGAGTTAACAACCGAGATTGGCTGGTGGTCGAGTTGACAGCGCGTGAACCATTCACCCGAAATGCATTCACATTTAACATCATCCCCGTGCGCGTGTTTACACTGCCTAGCATTGCTCTCCTCCTCCTCCTCCATCCCAGCTCAACAACAACATCGCCACCGCATGTCGCCGCAGCGATCCGCGCCCGCTTTGCTAGACGAGCACCCAGAACACGTGGTGACCCAGGTCGGCGGCTGCGCCCAGCAGCAGCAGCCACAGGGGCACGAAGAGGAAGTAGAGCGGAGCGGCGGCGGGCGCCGACTGCAGCCAGGCGCACACGGCCAGCAAGAAGGCGAGCTTGAGCAGCACGGCCAGCAAGTACCACGCTTTCTTGCGCAGTGTCACGTCGGCCTGGTCGTGGCCTGTGCGGCAGTGGCTCACGATTCGCACGGCCAGCATGACGAGCAGCGCCGTGTCGAAGATCCACAGAGGCACGAACACCAGGAACCAGTTCCAGCTGACGCGGTTGTCCAGCTTGAGCACGGCGAGCACCAGGAAGGACATGGTGAAGAGCCACGTGAAGAGAACCCGGTGCACCAGCGGCATCGCGGCGGAGTGGTGGTGGTGGTGGAGTGCGGTGTTGGTGGAGTGTGGTGGTGGTGGTGTTGGAATGCGGTGTTGGTGGTGGAGTGCGGTGTTGGTGGTGGAGTGTGGTGGTAGTGGAGTGCGGTGTTGGTGGAGTGCGGTGGTGGTGGAGTGCGGTGTTGGTGGTGGAGTGCGGTGGTAGTGGTGGTGGAGTGTGGTGGTGGAGTGCGGTGTTGGTGGTGGAGTGTGGTGGTGGTGGTGTTGTGTGGTGGTGGAGTGTGGTGGTAGAGTGCGGTGTTGGTGGTGGAGCGGTGGCGGAGTGTGGTGGTGGAGTGTTGTGATCTATTCCACCATTCACTGCCTGCTACTTAAACGACTCCTTGCATATCCTGTTTCTACTCCTGCTTTCACGTCCCCCTCCTACAACTCCTAGCCCCGCCACCCCCTCCAACCTGGCGTCCTCTTTCTTCTCCTGCTGCTCCTCCTCCTCCTTTTTACTCTTCCTTCCACGTCTTCCTCCTCCGTTGAACCTGCGCTTCTTTCTTCAACACCTCGTTCCAAATCTTCCTCCTCCTCCCACAGCCTCTTCCCGCGTCCTGGTCCGACGATGGCCTCCTCCGCGTCGTTCTGCGGGCTCCTTCTCTCGACCTTTCCCTCACTCTCCTCCTTCACGCCCTCACCTCCTTCTCACGGCCACCTCCTTCTCCTGGTCGCAACACAAACGACAAGTCCGGCGTCTTACAACATCGCCACCATCGCACCGTGACTGAGGGGAGAGTCTCTCTACCGCGCGCAGCCCGGCGAATACGCACGACGAACCCCCTCCTCCTTCTCCCCGCCGCGACGCGCGCGTGTCACCTCGTATCGTGGGTAACAACGACAACAAACAGCTCTCGCTATTATCTGCACGCTCGACTCGCGAACAGCAATAATAATAATCGCTGCTCACGCCGCCTCCACGCTCGCAAAATGTCCGGAGCGATCGGCGGCAGAGGCGCTCACTTCCAGTCGCCTCCACTCCTCCCCCACTCCTCCCACTCGACCCCGGAAGCCTCACGTGCAAGGCGCCAGCCATCTTGCTAAGGGGGGAGAAGCAAAATTCACCCCTCCCTCCTGCCCCACCCTCCCTCCTACCCCCCATCCCCCTCCTACCCCCCCTCCCCCTCCTACCCCCCCTCCCCCTCCTACCCCCCCTCCCCCTCCTACCCCCCCCTCCCCCTCCTACCCCCCCTCCCCCTCCTACCCCCCCTCCCCCTCCTACCCCCCCTCCCCCTCCTACCCCCCCTCCCCCTCCTACCCCCCTCCCCCTCCTACTCCCCCTCCTACCCCCCACCCCCCCTCCTACCCCCTCTCCTACCCCCCCTCCCCCTCCTACCCCCCTTTCCCACCCACCTTCCCCCTCCTTCCCCCTCCTCCTCACGTAAGATGGCCGCCGGTTGCTCGAGTCGTCGTCGCGGTTGGGAATCTGACCCGAGCCGCATTGACGATGCGAATCGGCACCCTTTTGTATTTGCTGGCGCGCATCGGCAGCGACCGTTGCTCCCCGTTCTGTGATTGGCCATTCTCGCCATAGGTCCGTGCGTGCGTGTGGCGGGAAGGGGGGGGGGGCTTGCCTATGCAGACTGGGAAAACAATCAAGTCGCTCGGACTGTACCAATGCTAACTATAAACCCCACGAAAGCCCGCGTTGTAAATTATCGCATGGCAGGTGCTTTTTAAAAAAAAATCTCTACTACGGCTACAATTATTAGTCGGCATTTAATGCTCATTATCGAGGATGCATTTTGAGCCAATAATGTTTTCTCCGCTGTAAAATAATACAAAATAAACAAACCGCAAAAAAAATGAAATCAACATCCACACTTGGTACAGTCCGCCGCCCTCTGGCCCCGCCCGCCCAACAAGAATCGCCAGCGAGGGAGACAAAAAAGAAGCCTTCCTATTGGCTGCTGCGTCGCAACCCCAAATAGCAGGCGCTCGCTGATTGGCCGAGACGGCTTCGGAGGTGTGGGCGAGTCCAAGGAGGCCTCCTCCTCGCGGGGGTCCGCGGCTGCAGCGGCGGAGCTCGGCGGCTCCGCTCTGTCGCCGCCGCCCGCCCAACCCCCCCCCCCCCCCTCACGTTGGTGAGTGCCTCTGAATAACGCGCCAGCTGTTAATCATATATATTTTTTACATTGTTCATTATTATCGTTCGGTGGTAATTAAGCGCGGAGTTCAATAAGCGCAATTGCCTGACCGCAATGCTGCGTCGCTGTGTGTCGATGTTGTTGTGGTTTGACGTCGCGTTTGGCATTGTTGGCGGGCGGTCGAGAGGGGGGGTGGAGAGCCCTTTGGCTTTGCCAGCTGCGGCCTCTGTGACAGATCCTTTGCTGCTGCTACGAAGCAGTGTAAGCCATGGTCTATCCACTGCTGGTTGATGCCCCCCGCCCAACACGCCACTCTCACGCCGTGCAGGTCGTGGTGTTGTTCGACCCAGACTTTAACCACGCCGATCCGAGTGCGGGGTTGGCGAGCGAAGGCGCTTTGGGCAGGTGGGGGTGGCATAGATGTACGGTATACGAGAGCATAGAAGTTCAGCACAACGATGGAGGGGGGGGGGGGGTTCATATTCGTTGGTTCTTTCGGTAAAGTCACGTAGATAGAAACATTTATAATAAAAAAAATGATGGGTTTTTGCAGAAACTTCCCTCTTGCTTTACGTAGCAGCTTATCATAATAAGCAGCTGTGGTGTGCATGGTCAGTGGGCACCTGGCCAGGCTGGTGGCCCGCTGGGCTTGGCAGATGTAGCCGGCACGTCGCCACTGATTAATTAGTGGCGACCCTTAACAGCGCGGTGACCTTTGAGCAGAATCTAAGAAAGCATTCGTCAATAATACTTCCCTAAAAGGAAACTTTAAGAAATGTAGTCCCCTATTATGTACAGTAGCGTTGTGAGGTGCTCATGCATCACTTGGCCAATGCAGCATCGCAAAAAGTGCTTATTGATTTAGCCGGATGATGTTCTGTTGATTAGCGTCCCTTAACTGGGTGTTCATCAATTAATTTCGTTCAAGCAGATGATAATGCTTCGTTGATGCATTGGTGTCATTTGACCATTGAGGTTGGTGCGCTGCATGTGACCGATTGATAACCCACGGATATCGGTGCCCCCTTTCACGAGGTGATGAATCCCCGATTCACTCGTGGTTTTGAATGTCACCTATTGCATGCTTTTTTTAACCACTCTTAGCAAATTAAAGGTGGTGACTGTAACCAGGCGAAGTTAATTAATCGTGTGCTTAACCAGTCGAGAACTCAAGAGGAGAGACCGGGGTATTCGCATTTTCAAGGGTGTCTTTGGTCAGGTGATGAATTTAGTGGTCGTTTATTGATTAGGTGATGACCCATTCGTACACAGTATCGGCGTCCCGTGTCTTTAACCAGGTGTATAGCCACTTGCCATTGAAGATATCTGTATCCTTTGAATAGAATGAGAATCCCTGCTTTTAGATTGTAATTGATTGCAAGATTGAGTGCATCCTGTGCAAGTATTGTGGCTCTTTTTGGGTCGGTGCTGCGTTTTAGTCATTTCCACGTGAATTCATGAAGTTGCAATTCCAGTGCCTCTTAATAGATGGCAGTCACATGCATTATTTGGTCATTCAGTTGTAATGCACCTCCACCTGCATCACCTGATGGCCTTTTTTAAACCAGGTAAGAGACACTATGATCACACGTCTTTATTGTTTCATGCACATACCTTGAAGTCTTGCAAGGCTGCTTAGGCTGAATTTAAGAAGTGGACATTCTGTTTTTTTTTACTTCTCTCGTCGAATTTTGATTTAAAGCTTTAGTGACTGCAGTAATTCATATTCTTAGCTCTTTCGGTAAAGTCACGTTAAAGGGAAACAATAAAATAATATATATTTTATTATTTTATTGTTCTCTCGTCGAGTTACAGAATATTTTGGCCGGAAGTTTGTATTTACTGTCATCTCAATTATAATTTTAATAAACCATTGCAGATATACAACAGCAGTTACATTTTATGGCTCTATTAGAGTACAAATCAGCCTGATTATAACGCACATCTATGAATTGAGCTATAAATTAATGTTTTCTAGCAGTCCTTACTCATTAGCAATGCCCATTGCAGTTGTTTCCAGTATACCAGAGATAAAACGTATTAATAAACGACAAGGGTAGGAAATGGTCACTGAAAGCGTGAAGCTAAAAATGATATCGTCGCCTGTTAAACACCACATGTAACAGCTCCCCCTGGACTAGTCGACACACTGCAACTCGTGAAATATTGCAGTAATACGGGCACGATGATGGCTTTCTGGGACACGCCTCTCTTCATCCAGGCGAAGGTTGGTGGCCCCGAACGATTGTTGAAGAGAAGGCCCTGGTCGTGCTCCCCCCCCCCCCCGGCAAGCGGGGGTGTTCCTCCAGGTGCTGCGATTCCCCCCCTGCATGCATAAACTCTCATTCGTTGGCCGAAAACAATCCGATGAATTATGCACCTTCGTGTTTGCGGATTGGGCAGCGTGTTGCGATGCGGTTGCATACGTGGTGCAATATTAAACTGGATTTTATTCATGAAGTGGAATTTAGTGCGTAGTTCCGCAAACTTCCCATCCGAATGTCAACATATTATTTTGCAGGAATGTATCTATTCACTTCCCCCACGATTCTATTTTCACGATTCAGGCTGAAGGGTTTGATTCACGATCCGTTTCTTTTTTTTCAATTGCGGCGCATGCAGAATCGTCATTGGTGTGAATCTGTGAAATATACGTGTACAAGTGTAGCAGCCTTCCTGTTAAATCTATTACTCTGCCAAATATGCTCTTCTTTCCCACGCCGTGTGAGTCGTGGAGGTCATTTGACCATACTTCACTAATGCTGGACAATTCACTGTTGGGCGAAGGTGGGAAGCGTAGACACGGGAGCATGGTCTCGAGGAGGTGCAGTACAACAATGTATTTTTTCTTGATTTGAAGCTTTCGTGACTGCAGGAATCCATACTCTTTGGTTCTTTCGGTAAAGTCAAGTGGGTATAAAAAAACCAAGAGATTACGACGTTTCGATCGCAACACAAGCAATCGTCATCAGGTGGGACAACTTCAGCAGTTTTTTTTCTTGCTGTGGTTGTCCCACCCAATGACGATTGCTTGTGTTGCGATCGAAAACGTTGCCATCCGTTATTTTTCTACCTACAGTGACTTTACCGAAAGAGCCAAAGGGAATGTATTTTTCCTGCACTGCAAACTGATGCTCAAACCTTGCATCGAAGGCAGCCCACAACAACAACAAGCTGTGGTAGTCGAGTCACGAAGCGCTGTCCACGCTTAAATCCGCTTCGCCCTCCCGAGATGTGTGTGACGAGAAGCCGGAGAACCCATTTCGGGCGACGTGGTTACCAGGTGTGGAATCTGCAGTGATGTTAATATTGACATGTGTACGAATCCTCACACGCCCCCAACGTTTCATGCGCGTATCTTGAGCGTAGGAATCTATTGTGGTCACTAAATCGTTCCATTCCCTTAGGTTTTTTTTGCGTTCAACAAGAAGAAGGTGATGGTGGGTCTACGTGCAGTGCCCTCCCCTGCCTTTACATCTCCTAACTCTGTCCCAGCGTTTGCTTATACAGAAGATTCCGCTTACTACGTCAGGATGTATTTATAAATACAGTACTCTCATATTATGAAACCATCACGTGCAGAGATCCGTTGGCAGCAGTGTAAGGGATATCTCACAAGTTTATGAGTCACAAAGAGCAGATTTAGGTTTACACGTTTTCATTTCTACCCCCCAAAGTTGTATGTATGAGTATGCCGTTTACTGTTTATTCAATCTTCCAATTTCAATCTTTGGAAGAACGTAATCAACCAGTTAATGTGTTAACTGTTGTGTTAGCCGACTCTCTCTGTGTTGCATTACATTTATAAGTTTACTTGGTTTGTTTTCTCTAACTTCCAATTTCTCTCCCCCTGCCGCCGTTGACTTTCTCTGCCCCCTCTCTATATAATGCCCCGTTACAGAGGCATTGTTTATCTGTGTGTCTCTGTGTGTGTGTCTCTCCCCCATGTGTGTCTCTCTCTCTGTGTCTCTCTGTGTGTCTCTCTCCCCCATGTGTGTCTCTCTCTGCGTGTGTGTCTCTCTGTGTGTCTCTCTCTGTGTCTCTCTCTGTGTGTCTCTGTGTGTGTCTCCCCCCGTGTGTCTCTCTCTGTGTGTCTCTCTCTCTCTGTGTCTCTCCCCCATGTGTGTCTCTCTCTCTGTGTGTCTCTGTGTGTCTCTCCCCCATGTGTGTCTCTCTCTGTCTCTCTCTGTGTGTCTCTCTCTGTGTGTCTCTCTCTGTGTCTCTCTCTCTCTCTGTGTCTCTCCCCCATGTGTGTCTCTCTCTCTCTGTGTCTCTGTGTGTCTCTCCCCCATGTGTGTCTCTCTCTGTCTCTCTCTGTGTGTCTCTCTCTGTGTGTCTCTCTCTGTGTCTCTCTCTCTCTCTGTGTCTCTGTGTGTGTCTCTCCCCCATGTGTGTCTCTCTCTGTGTGTGTCTCTCCCCCATGTGTCTCTCTCTGTGTCTCTCTCTGTGTCTCTCTCTCTGTGTGTCTCTCTGTGTGTCTGTGTGTGTGTCTCTCTCTCTCTCTCTGTGTCTCTCTGTGTGTCTCTCCCCCATGTGTGTCTCTCTCTGTGTGTCTCTCTATGTCCCTCTCTCTGTGTCGCTCTCTTTCTGTGTGTCTCTCTCCGTGTCTGTGTGTGTGTGTCTCTCTATTTGTGTCTTTCTCCGAGCTTGCAATCTTTCACACCTGATGGTTGCTTGTGTTGCAATCGAAACGTCGTGTATTCTATTTTATTTTCTTTCTACGTGCCTTTACCGAAATAACCAAAGAGTACAGGAAGCCTTTACAGCATGCATTATAAATTAGATAAATATTCTTTACATCGTTTAAACTCACACCCCCCCAGCCCCACGCTTCCGCATTTAATTGATTTATTTTTGCCTCACTGTAAGTACAGTAGTTACTGATGAAGCTGTTTGTAATCAACCAGCAAAACGTCAGGATACTTGAATTGTAAATGTTGTGCGTTTGCCCTCAATCACGCCCGTGTGCTGAACGAGGAGTGAATTGGCATGTTCTGTTTAAATGACAAACCTTACTGATTGGGTGGGGGTGGCTTAGCGACACATTTACGCGACCTAACCCAACAAAAACCCTCTTTATTATGGATAATATCGGCCGCGAAAGCCTACGTATTGAATTGGCAATAATTGCATCACAGAGGACCATGAGAAATGTCGATGGCTTCGGAGGTGCCTTCATCCAGCAGTGGATACGTCCATGGCTGTTAAATTACAGCAAGGCCGTAGCCATGTAGTCAACATTGGGGGGACCAAATCTTCCAGGGGGTCTGGGGTCCCCCCCCCACCAGAAACAATCTAAATTTGAAAACGAATTTCCTGCCTAAAATATTAAAAAAATTCACCAACACATAGGATGGACTTTTTATTTCTTTTTTACAATGTCTAATGGTGTATTTTATTACATTGCTATGTGTGTTCCTTTGTACCTTTTCTTGTTTCATTGTTTGTAATGGCAGAGATTAGGGATTAATAAAGTGCAGCCATAACCACAACCATATATTTATTTCATAGCAATATATTGGGGGGACATTTTGAGCATATTTGAATATTGGCAAGCTCTATCCCAACTTGGACATGAATGAATCACTTGCCTATGCCACAATGTGTGACCCTGAGCACCCCCCACCTCCCCATCCACTCAGCGTGTGTTTTTGTCATCGGCGGCGCAAAGCCTCGCGCTTATAAACAACGATGGTTGCTGTTCACCTTCCCCTAAATAGCACCGTGGTGTTGGCACCACCACGTACCAGCAACGCAGGATGCAGCGTCTCAAAAAAACCGCGGTCACCGTGGCTTCTGGGGGGGAATTGAGGGAGCCGAGTGGAGCAACGAATGGGAAGTCGGGGTGTACGGCCGTGGCAGGCGGTGTTTTTATTTTGTTTCGATGGATCCTCTTCCCTAACTAATTCAGACCCCCCCCCCCCCCCCCAACATCTCCTCCCCGTGATGAGTTTGTATTTGCCGTGGACACGATGCAATAGGATGGGTGTGGGATCGGCATTAAAATTGTGTGAGCGTGTTTCGCAATAAACACGCCCAGCCGTTTTCAATTTCCAGCCACAGATAACGTCAGGGAATGCCTTCCTATTCCCCCGCCCTCCACCCATTTACCAACTAGCACTGGCCAGTGTGCAAAAGTATGGGGGAAAATACCCAAAATCGACATTGGGAAGGGATGCCTTTCGCCATTGTTGGATTGAGTGACAGGAAAAAATAAAGAAATTATTCAGCACTGAGTGTTGTTTTGCTCTTGCGAGCCATCAGCAGATTGGCTTGATTTTAACTTGTGGGGGGGGAAAAAAACTACATTGGGGAAAAAAGCAGGCTTGATATGCACATGCATATTATTGCATTCCACATGCCAGTAGTTTGCATTTGTCATTCACAAAGCACTTTAGCCGCATTGGAAAATGAGCCATGGTGTTTTGGCAGCACACACACGTAGGATGCATGCACGTATTTGGTGTGTTTTGGGTACAGGTTTTCTGCGGCCATGTGATTGCATCGCACGTTTTTCTCGCGGTTCCTTACGGCTGACATCTTCCACGGGACGACCGTTCTTATTAGGGTTGCCAACTCGGATCATGGTGTGAGCTGGCGCGGTTGGCCCCAGCATTGTCTTGCGTGCCCGACCACCCGCTGAGCAAGGGCTCGAGCACCCGCATAGTATCATCACACTGATCCACTCGCTGCGCTCTTCTTTCATTGCAGCTTGGAACATTTGGAAGGCGATACAACAGAGGTAAGAAGTTTGTGCGTCGAATGTTTCTACTTGGTTAACACGCACACGTATGTAATGTGTGCATGGCATTTTAATCAGTCGTCTGATTTTTAAAACGATGGCCATAAGCTACTTCTTAAAAATGTATTGTGCTAAGGATTACGCTGTCATGCGCTACACGGTGGTACAGATGCCACAGCGTGGTGCTAATGAATGGAGGCGTCAACCAATGGTTTGGCAATGACAGCGCACTGCGTTGCCATGTCGCCTTGATATATATATAGAGCCGTGCAGCGACACGCGCTGACTCGAATGCCACTCCATGCGTAACGCACAGCGCCTGGCCTTCTGCGTGAGTCTTCTTGTGTGTACATGTGTCATCTCTGCTGCTGCCAGAGCCATACTTAATGTGCGTATGCTTCGGGCATTTAAGTAATACAGTAATGCGACATATAATACTCGTAAATACTACTGTAATTGCATTGAGCCACGTTGCACACTAATGCGATATGTTATAAAATACAGTCCACAATGCCGATGCGCTATATTCGTTACGCAATTGCTAAGTTTGCCGTAATATATATTGTATGAATAGTAGGCGGTGCTATAAAATGGTAAATGTACGTATATATTTAATGCACAACTATATGTGAATGGTATATTTCTACACGTTATATTCTCTCTTATGAAAGTGTGTGCGTGTGTGTGCGCGCGCGTGCGCGCGAGTGCGTGGATGGGTCTGCGAGGGCGTTTTGGATGTTGACTTTGCGAGCCCTCGCTGTGCCCGCAGTGTAAAATGTGGGAGTTCTGACTGGGGGCTTCAGATGGCAACAAGAGCTGCAGACGCCATTGCTTGGTATCAGAAAAAGGTAAGCGAACTCGCATCAGCAGCAGCAGAGATGACACATGTACACACTCGCATCCTCCGGGCGTCCCTCGTGCCCCTCTCTGTTAACTTGCCATCCACGGGCGGGACGACGCACATTGGTGAATGGCGAATGCCAACGGTTGTACAATTGCATTTGATTTGTGACGCGGTAATCCTGCAATTGTCAAACAGAGTGTCGTCAGTCACGATCGGTCCACCGCTGGAAGAAGACCCCTCTCCGAGCCGCCACCATCCCTCACGGTCCTTCGATGTAATAATCTACCTCGCTTCTGCACGTGGGCTGATTTAATCGCTCCATCTCTTTTTGGTGGACGTCTTCTCTGCTGACACGTTCCATTCAGTGGCTGCCACCTCCCCATCATTATTATTGAACCATCGGTCATCATCCCTTTCATCGGCGTGTCCTGCCCGAGCTTGCTTTTCTTGACAGATGTCATTAACCTGCGCATGTTCTCTCATCCATGTGTTCAATCGTGCAAAGGTTCGATTCTTCACATAAAGTCCACACATTGTAGTAATAATACATAACTTAAGAGGGAAGACGTGAGTTTAATCACCGTAAAAGAGTAACGTTTGAGACCCATGAGTTGTTAGAATTACTCGCGCACATATCGTTAAGATCTCAAGCTTAAGATGGTTGTTGTGTGATACCACCAGCCCCACTTGCTCAGCGCTACAACAGTCAGCAGCTTGATACCGGCCCCCCCTACTTTTACGCTCGCACAGTTGCCAACGTATGGTGTTAAAGAATTTCAACGTACAAACGTACATACACACGTGGAAGAGTTTCCCAGTTGAAAAGGTTGGGGTTTCGGCATGCAAAAATCTGAGAAGCCAGCACAGTAATCTAAGGGGGCACGTTTTTGAAAGTGCTGCACGTCGGCTATGGATATGACTTTTCCATTATTGTTCTATGCGCAGTGCGTTGCGCGGAAGTTATCCTCTTGTTATATATTTGCCACTGTCTGATGTTGACACTGAAGGTGTTCTTGAGGTACTGTTGTTGGTGGGTGGTGTTTTTGTTGAGCTTTATATAGAAATGCTGCATGAGGGAGTGGTAATTTTTCGTGCTACGGGACTTTTAATAAATTACCAGCGGTGGATTTTAGTGCCGTTTCTCAGTTTGTGTGATGATTTCACTGAGTTTGTGGTTGGGTAGAAACTTTATGGCCTCCTGAAATGTCGGAAACTATCAATTTTTCATTTTATTTTACTAGGTAAGGCCCACTGAGCTATATAGCTCTTTTTTAGAAGCGACCTGGCTGCCACAAATAATAGCTCAACAAAGTGGCTTATCATGTGGAAATTTATATTAGCCAAATACTGTAAATGCATGTTTCTAAAAAAAACGGAGGACCAGGAGAAAAATCCACTCGACCATGAGGAGAACATGCAAATTCCACATGTACAGGTGTCAGGCTTGGGATCGAACCCACGAGTCACTGTATACCAGGCGAGGTAGTTAACATCTCGCCACCTTGGCACCCCAGATGTGTTGCGTGTAACTCAGTAAATTTCTTTTTCCTGCCTAATGATTTCTAAAACATTTCCTTTCATAGTTTTGGGCATCTGGAGTTACAATGGACCTCAAATAAAAAATGAGGCACCCTTTGTCTAAATTCACGAATGTATTTGTATTAGATTATTGCCAGCAGCATATGTTGAATATTGTTTCAGTATAATTTCACACAGTGTATTTCTTGTCAAATGTATTTGTAAGTAAGTGCAAGAATTTGCGTGATTGGATGTTAGTTCTACGCACGACATGCTCAAACAGGCTTGGGCCTCGCCAGCCAAATTCTTTGTAAGAACATGCTCGCCTCGCAGATTAATGTTTATTTTAATTAGAAACTCACCGATCAATTCTACTGACGTGAGCCACGTGGCACTGTGGAACACACAGCTGGCTTGCACCTTCGTTTAGCGCGGTTGGCTACGTACGGCGCGAAAGAAGTTCTGCCAACCGGGCACAGAGCACCTGTATTCCATGTAATTTTGTAGAGATGTTATTATGCATCGGAAGTGGAAATGCAAATACCCTTAACGAGACCATAAATTATTTAACCCTTCGAAGAGAAACACCTACTCCGCATATCATTTACTAGTGCAGCACGGTTGGGGCTGCCAATGTCCCTACGTGACACCCTCCTTTCAAAGAGGTCCTGTGATGCGTTTCACGTGTACGTGACGGCGCATCGCGAATTACCCATGTGCGCGGTAAAAAGCCAGCGAAATTTTTGTCCAGCCCTACTACGTCTTACCTGGTCGCATTTCTGCAGAGGCATTCAGGTGAGCTGTCTAACCTTGAGATGAATGGGCAATGCCGAGCAGATACTCGGAAATGCATAATCTAAGGCAAGGAAATGACGTGTTCTGTTTACGCGACAAACCTTACTAATTGACCATGTCGGGTGGTGGCGGGTTTGACGACACATTTATATATTTTCGCGATCTAACCCGAAAAAAACCTGTTATAGATGATATTGGTCGCGAAAGCCTACGTGTTAAACTAAATGGAATGTTGTCATCAGAGGTAACAGGATATGTTCTCGGGGCACTTGAAATGCGAAGTGCAGCCTGTTTTTATTTTATTTTTATTTAACCCATGACTTTTTACTCCAGACCTGACTGAAAACACCAGCCACATTCAAAACAGTAATTGCTGTATAATTTAATTGGAATGGCTTTTTACAGCAAATAACACTGAATTATACTGTGGATGTTAATGCATTGTTTAATGTTACACTAGCATACCCAGTAGGTACAGAAAACCTTTTGCAAATGAAATGTGCAGCATGCTTTGAATTAAATTAATGTTTCTTTTAATGCAATGAAGACCATTGAAGAGTGATGTGTTTGTTGTTCAAACCATAGCAGTTTTACAGAGTAGGCTAAATTACAGTAATTCACAGCCACGCACAACACATGATAATTACCTTTGGCAGAATGTTGAATCTTTTTGAACACTTCCACAAATTTCCATTGAACGTAGTTGCGTGGTGCCAAGCCCTTCAGTGGAGTGAACAGGCGATCCCATTGTCACATCCTTGGCTGACTCGTAAGAGGCATTGGAAGGCAGTTCATAGACGCTTGGACATTCAATACAGTGACACATCCATGAATAATTAACGGTCGGCTGGCCCCTTCGTGATTTCCCTTGTGAAGGTACCTTTATCCTGACCTTCTCCGTGGTACCGATACTTGCCGGAGTGAGATTGCAGGGAAGAAGAGCGTAAAAAACCATCATCTTGGCCCTCCATTGTGGAATGTCACTTGAGAAGTACAGTGGGGATTGTCTTTCAAACTTTGACGTTCGGATTTATCTTCTTGCGGAGTTATCCGTAAATTGCTTTTTTGTCCTGAACTTCTTCAGTAAAAGCATTGACATGTCCCTACTGAACCGCCCTCTATTAATCTGTGAATAAGAGCTTCATAGCTCATCGGATTTCTCCAGGACAAATAAAGATTCTGATTCTGATCCCACACTTGCACAGATATCCCAAGTGATTTGCTGTTGGTCTCACCTCGACACTAGACCGGGATAAATATACAGTATACATTTAATACACTCTCAGAAAATGTGATTCGAGAATAATAAAATGTAATTTGAAAGGAAAAGCAAATGGTAATGTAAGCTCTAGGAAGTCTCATTTTGAGACAACAATGACTGCATGGTGTTATTTAACTAACTAATCCTGGGTCAATAGTCAAAATAAGTCGGTGGTTTTCTGCTCAAATGAGCTCCATTTGCACAGTCCTCAGACAGTGGTGGAAGTTCCACATTCCTGTGGTGAGGGTGAGTCTTTCCATCGGACAAAGTTTTGTTGACTTTCCAAAAAAAAACAAAATGATATTCATATTGTTGACCTCAGATGGATGATGGGCTGAGTTAATCCCCAATAAGGATGTGAACTATCAACCTCCAATTGTTGCTCACTGTACAGTTGAGCCACCTGGCTGGTGAATACAAAAACTCATAAATAATTAAAATCAAGCTTTAAACGTAACTCCGTTATTGAAATGGAAACTTCCACGCACTTTGTTCATTTTCCTCCTATAACAATAAGGCTCTGTGCATGTGTTAAATTTCATTTTTTGCCCTCGAGTATAATTTTCTGTCCACACGAACGGAATGAACGTAACAATCGCGCGTTGTGTTGTCTAGATTGGTGCCTACGACCAGCAAATATGGGAAAAATCTGTAGAGCAAAGAGAAATCAAGGTACGGAATCAATGGATGCATTGTACACCCGTTTGTTGATTGCACAGAATGTCCTTTTGACGTCCTTGCGAGCTGTCATCCAAACAAAACGAGGGCATTGGTTTGTGCGCCTGTCAGAGCGGTCATTTTGAATGTAACCTTATATGTACACGGAACACACCAGACAAGCGACTACACAACTTTCAGGCACAATCATCCAATGTTGCCTGACACTTGTGCACAGCACGGGTGCCATAACCCACATTTATAGAGCTGTGCAGCCCGTATTGCTCTTGGTGGTTTATGCTTCCCGGCGGGAAGGAAGGGCTACATGTGGTGAGAGAGGCAGTGGTCGCATAATAGTCTTGGAAAATGCCTCGTTGCTCATCGCGCATGGCCCCCGGCCATGCCACGCGCACGGTGACAGTGCAGATCGTGGAAGAGAAGTTGCCGACACTCAAGCCAACTGCTTGATGCAGTTTGGGGCGATCTCACTGGGCCAGTTTGGAAATTATGGCGCTGTGTTTACGCTGCACAGAATGCCCCCCCCCCCCCCCAGAACTTCGCCCTGGAGAAGCTTGCTCCCGCAAGCAAGCTCAAACAATGATGACCGCTGCTGCTTTAACATTATTGCCGAGCACATGCAAGACCGATACTGTCCCAGGTGTTGAGTGCTCTTGAGCAAAGTAAAAAAAAATGCCATGTCCACTGTAGTCGATGGACTCGGATCTAATATTTTAGTTATTGGCATCATCACAGATGATAACACTTGAATTGTACGAACATATTTAAATGGCCAATAAAAACGAATTGTGCAATAACTTCCTTTTAAAAAAGCATGTAATCACATAATCGACTTTTCTTTACCATGTATAGAAACTGCTATCGCTAAACATTATCCTCCGCCAGTGGTGCTGAACTCTGCTCTGGCCCATCATGGTATGACCGCATTTCATTGTCTTGTAGTACTGCTGTCGTCCAAGTGTAAGCACTGCAACATTTAAATGCAGTCTGCGTTTGAGCAGTCTGCGCAGTGTAAATTGTCCATTTATACTCCGTCTCCAAATAGCTCTTTGTAATCGACTGCTTTTTTTCAGTTGAAGTTTTGTAATAGCAAGTAAATTGATTGAACAGAAAATGCTTGTGTTTTGTGTACAATTCCTCCAGTGTGTTTCTTTTTATCCACTTGTTGCCTGTGCAGAGTAACATTTACATTTGATTTCTGCGTATCTGTGCCTTTGCTCGCTTAGTTCACATTATTCTTATTCCTTTTGTTTCATACAGTTTGTTAGATTGGTGAGTATTGTAGCGTGTGACTGTGTGTGTGCCAATTAGCCAATTGTTTCTAAGCACAACCTCAGGCTGCTACATATATATTAAACCAGCAAACTAATCTGACACATGTGATAACCCTTCCATGTTGTAATTTGGTTTTTAATTTGTGACTGAAAGAAATGGCATGGTTTTCATTTACCTCTCACCCATCATTTATTCATAAACGAGAACATGCATGGGCACTGGGCCTTGTCAGCTGATTGGTAAGACACGAGTCTGTGAAGAGCCAAATATGTGTTTTCTTTTGGAGTAAGATCAGTATTCATTGCAGCATTCAGTGTGCTTAATATGTGAACATGAGTGTTCTTTAACATCAACCATTACTCCAGAACTGAACACAGCACTGTTACGGAAAGATAACCCAGATTGGGTATAGCAAATGTTGATCCGCAATGCTGCATGTATAGGTTTTATAGCTGTGTCAAAATTACGTTTGTTGCTTACACAGTACACGTTGCACGTACCGCATTACGCATATGCAGTGGTCTGTGTAGACATACCCGGAGACACACTATACTTAGGAGGTGAGCAGGTATAATATTATGCGTAGGAACCAAATCCTGCCTTAATTAGCCAAACGAGCCAAGCGGCCTTTTCCAAACACGCAACCATGCGTGGCCGGTGTGCGGTTAATGAAGGTGATTGAGTGCCCTCCTCCGTGCCCTCCACACGAAGGCATTTTTGGCCGCATCTGACGAGAGGGCTGCCCTGGAAAAATCTCCCACCCACCTCCGCGCCAAACTCACTCGCACCCCACGCTGAAGTTGGCCACTCTCCCAGAGGCAGAGCCTGGGCTCGTTAACCTTGAGACCCAATCGCAGAGGGGGGTAGGTGGAGGGGGCATCCCCTTTTGCATCGCTGCTGGGTACCGAGGGCACAGTGAGCCCTCGAGTGGAGTATCGTAGACCCGTCTCCGGCCGCCCTCGCAAACGTCATTCGCTGGTGGCTTCTTCTTGCATGTGTAACCGTGTACTAATTGTACGACGCTACGGCATTGTGTTCATTGGGTGACTCCTGTGATGCGTGTAAGGCACGTGCTTATTTTAATTTGGCCCACTCTTTGAAGCTCAATTGTAGTGGGAAAAAAATGTTTGACTTATCTTCATCGTCTAAATGCCAGCAGTATTTCTAGATGCTACTGAGGCTCAAATGTTATTACGTTATTTACTCAATGTAACTAAAATTAAATGTTTTGAAGCCTTCATAAAAATGTTTTTACCTCAATACAAGCTCAGCCCATAACTATTAAGCACATAGTATTTATAAATATGAAGTTGAACATCCACTATTTTAAAGTAAACTAAAAACCTCCTGGGAACTTTTGTTGCCAGTATCAAAGTATGAAAAAATAAGAATAGGTTTTACCCTTTCTGGAAATAAAACAGCTGTTAAGATGTGCAAACATTATTCCTTGCTAAAGGCTTCTATTTGTTGTTTGAACATCTTAACACCTGTTTTATTGCCGTAAAGGGTGAAACCTATTCTTATTTTTTCATATTAAAAACTTCCTCTGAGATATATGCTTATCATTAATGTCAAGATTTTGTTTGAGCCCTCATTGTACATTGCAATGGCAGGTGGTGGCGTAGCTGCACGTAATTTTGGGGTCGCTGGTTTTTTTTCGCAAGCTGTACGCCACTACGCAGTGCATGAAGCGTGCGTCTGATGCTGCGTGGACGCCCCAAGCTGTGATTGCGTTTCCATCTCGATGTGCAGGGCCTCCGAAACAAGCCTAAGAAGAGTGGGCACGTCAAGCCGGACCTGATCGACGTCGATCTGGTCAGAGGTACCGTTTGTCCGCGGGCTCCACGCGTCATTGCGGCCGATGGGTTCAGGGGGTGAATGCGAGAGCTGTGGGGGGCCTTCCTTGTTCGATAGTTGAACACAGCATCTGCCTGTGCATTAGTTTCCTTGACGTAAGTTCACTCTGGTATTTAGCCACGCGCGTTTGTGCAAGTACAGCAAGGGTCAGCCTCATTATGCATTGTTGTGGAGCATTATGGGTAATGCCTATATAAGGAAACCTCCGTGTTTGTGTGTCAGCATGCAAATACATTGGATTTTAGTCCATGGGACTGGTTACCGGGTCAACATCGCCCAACATCATTTGTTTAAACAAACTGTGAACTGGTGTTGACCTCATTGGTCTCATGAGCACATTCAGGCTTCTGTTAGTGACCCGGTCTGTAGAGATCCTTTAAGTATTTGCCCTTTATATCCGTCCCTTTTCTCTGGGTGCTTCGTTTCCTACCACATATGCAAAAACTGTTTTAAAGAAATGGGCCACACATCCCAGTGCTGGACCGACTGGAAAAGAAAAAAAATGTCTTGAGGCTTTTCTCGGCTTTCTTGCTTCAGGAAAAAAAAACATTGTCTTGTTTCACTCTCATTGTGGAGCTTATTTTATATGTTCATAGTTTTAACCTAGATGCCACACATATATATGTCATATTGAAGAACAAATGGCAGATCCCAAAATTAATAGTTAATTGGAGGAGTTGTCATAGTTAAAGGCAGTTGTGTTTATCATTCTATATTTACTTTCAACATAAAAAACAACTACGGTGAGGGAAACAAGTATTTGATCCCCTGCTGATTTTGTACGTTTGCCCACTGACAAATAAATGATCAGTCTATAATTTTAATGGTAGGTTTATTTGAACAGTGAGAGACAGAATAACAAAAAAAATCCAGAAAAACGCACGTCAAAAATGTTATAAATTGATTTGCATTTTAATGAGGGAAATAAGTATTTGACCCCCTCTCAATCAGATTTCTGGCTTCCAGGTGTCTTTTATACAGGTAACGAGCTGAGATTAGGAGCACACTCTTAAAGGGAGTGCTCCTAATCTCAGCTTGTTACCTGTATAAAAGACACCTGTCCACAGAAGCAATCAATCAGATTCGAAACTCTCCACCATGGCCAAGACCAAAGAGCTCTCCTAGGATGTCAGGGACAAGATTGTAGACCTACACAAGGCTGGAATAGGCTACAAGACCATTGCCAAGCAGCTTGGTGAGAAGGTGACAACAGTTGGTGCGATTATTCGCAAATGGAAGAAACACAAAAGAACTGCCAATCTCCTTTGGCCTGGGGCTCCATGCAAGATCTCACCTCGTGGAGTTGCAATGATCATGAGAACGGTGAGGAATCAGCCCAGAACTACACGGGAGGATCTTGTCAATGATCTCAAGGCAGCTGGGACCATAGTCACCAAGAAAACAATTGGTAACACACTACGCCGTGAAGGACTGAAATCCTGCAGCGCCCGCAAGGTCCCCCTGCTCAAGAAAGCACATATACATGCCCGTCTTAAGTTTGCCAATGAACATCTGAATGATTAAGAGGATAACTGGGTGAAAATGTTGTGGTCAGATGAGACCAAAATGGAGCTCTTTGGCATCAACTCAACTCGCCGTGTTTGGAGGAGGAGGAATACTGCCTATGACCCCAAGAACACCATCCCCACCGTCAAACATGGAGGTGGAAACATTATGCTTTGGGGGTGTTTTTCTGCTAAGGGGACAGGACAACTTCACCGCATCAAAGGGACGATGGACGGGGCCATGTACCGTCAAATCTTGGGTGAGAACCTCCTTCCCTCAGCCAGGGCATTGAAAATGGGCAGTGAATGGGTATTCCAGCATGACAATGACCCAAAACACATGGCCAAGGCAACAAAGGAGTGGCTCAAGAAGAAGCACATTAAGGTCCTGGAGTGGCCTAGCCAGTCTCCAGACCTTAATCCAATAGAAAATCTGTGGAGGGAGCTGAAGGTTCGATTTGCCAAACGTCAGCCTTGAAACCCTAATGACTTGGAGAAAATCTGCAGAGGAGTGGGACAAAATCCCTCCTGAGATGTGTGCAAACCTGGTGGCCAACTACAATAAACGTCTGACCTCTGTGATTGCCAACAAGGGTTTTGCCACCAAGTACTAAGTCATGGTTTGCAGAGGGGTCAAATACTTATTTCCCTCATTAAAATGCAAATCAATTTATAACATTTTTGACATGCGTTTTTCTGGACTTTTTTGTTGTTATTCTGTCTCTTACTGTTCAAATAAACCTATTAAAATTATAGACTGATCATTTCTTTGTCAGTGGGCAAACGTACAAAATCAGCAGGGGATCAAATACTTGTTTCCCTCACTGTTTAGTAGAGCATTTTATAAGTTTGCACTGCTGGAAAAATAATTGTAGCTTGATGCCCAGATAAGGTTTTGTTTTTCTCAGTTGGTGAGTGTGTTATGCAGGAAAACAAACATGTTTAATGAACAAACCAGTATCTTGCTAGAATATAAATTCTTGGCAATGGAGGAATGTTTTTATGCTATTTGTCAAAGCACTTTCCTAGCTGTTGCAAGGCATGTTTCTTAAAAAAACATGTATACGATTATAAAATGAATTGCATAATGTATTATATAATGCTTTACATTTGGTTCGACTTCGGAATGATAAACACTGCCAAACCGGTTTTGGTGAGAAATAATTCACTTGCACGAATTATCAATGCACCTTCATGTGGTTGACGCTTTTAAATAAACCTTGATATGAAAAAACGGAGTCTATCCATCGACTTTGACAGGTCACCAAACCCGTAATAGTAGTTGTAATAATGATCACATGAATAATGCATGATTAACTGAGGGAGCAGTCGCACTAGTGATGAACATGCGCTGTAATTCCATTGCCCTGAGTTTTAATCCCGACCACAGCTAAGATGTTGACAAGTGATAATTGAACCATGCCTTAGTTACCCCTCCACTAACCCGCAGTCACCAGCGTGGTGAGATACTAAATTAAAACTAAACTATTTTTATTTTACCAGGCAAGGCCTACTGAGCTCTATAGCTCTTTTTCTGAAGCGACCTGGCCACAATGATAGCCAAATCTTGCTGCTTATCATGTGGAAATTTCTAGCCACCAAATACTCTAAGTGCATGTTTCTTAATGTGGAGGGGAAAAGCGGAGGACCCGGAGAAAAATCCACGCGACCACGGGGAAAACAGGCAAAATCCTAATATACAGCCGTCGGGATTGAACCCATCTTCTTCTTACTCATTGTTTTTTTACTTTACCATCTTCTTCTTCTTTTGTATGGCATTGTGAAAAGCAACAGTTTTTATTTTTCCTTAATGATCGTCATAAATGAATGCAAAGGTTCCTTATCCAGTCCAATGATGTGGTTGACGCAGTGTGGATTTCAGCGATACCGCCAGGATGTGCATGGATGGAGCATTCATCGGTGATGTGCTTGGATGGTTTGGACTTCTCCACAGACGCAGTTCGGCGATTCTTTGATCTTCCATTAATGGAACGTGTGACGCGCATCTGCCGTGTCGTGTTCGAGCGCGGTTCAGTGTGGTCCATAGTCGTCGTGGAAGAGAGAATGCCGGTTCTTCCACCGTCGGATCGTGAATTATGTTTTTTTGGTTTAACACGTTTTGTTTGCCACGTCCATAGCCGCCCATGGTTCAGACCACCGAGTGGCGGTGTCTTTATTTTCGGCCGCTGGAGTGGAGGCGCGTATCCAGAACGGTTTCTGGATTTTAGCCTTGGGCGTTGGGGTTCCTTTAGATCTGGGATGTTGGCCGAAGCGGTATTCGCCAGCACCGGAAGCCACGGGAGCGGAGTAGACTTTAGGGAACCGCTGATGATACGAAGCGCGTTAATTTCGGCATTGACAAGGTTCGTGTGAGGGCTTGCACCCCACACCGGGGCACAGTACTCCGCAGTGGAGTGAACAAGAGGCCTGCGTCGATATCTTCAACGTGCTGGCGTCGCTTCCTCAGGTTCCTGCAAGTTTCTGAATAATATTCACTCGTGCTTTGGTTTTATCTTGAGCTTGTTGGAGGTGGTAATGGTAGTTAAGCATCCAATCCAGGGTAACTCCTAGATACCGAGGGTGTTCATCATGCCTTAGCTTCACCCTGCAGAAGTTAACGTTCAACGTTTTCAAAGCTTGTCTTTTGTTCAGGTGGAAGGCGGAGACGACGCTCTTCGATGGGTTTGGCTTAAGGCGCCAATTCTTGAAGTATTCTTCCAGAGTCTTCAGATTTTTCGAAGACTGCCTCAATGTCTTCCATATTCCGTGCTTGGATTGCGAGTGCAATATCATCAGCATATGTTAACATATACCGCAAGATGTCGCTGGAATGTCGCTAGTATATAGATTGAACAGCGCTGGTGCCAGAATTTATCCCTGTGGGAGTCCATTGTTGAATCTTCGTGGGCTGCTGGCAGCTTCACCAAGGTGGACGGTGAACCATCGGTTGCTCAGCATTTCGGTGATTAGTATAATTGTCGGGCGGCAAGGCATGGCTTTCGCAAGCTTCAGCACGAGTCTCTTCCGCCACACGGCATCGTAAGCTAAAGAGAGGTCGATGAAAGCTGTTGCTGTTTTGAGCTGGCGTTCGAAACCGGCTTCGATGTGACTCGTTAAGGCAAGCACCTTGTCGCAACAACTTCGACCAGTTCTAAATCCTGCTTGTTCCCGGGGAACTATTTCCTCAAGCGTGGGCATCAGCCTTTTGAGCAGAAGCCGCTCCATTAGTTTTTTAGTAGACGCTGAGTAGGGAGATAGGAAGGTAGTTTTAAGCGTCTGATGCGTCCTTGCCTGGTTTCAGGATGGCTATTATCCTTGCCTCTTTCCACTCCTTCGGAAACGATGCTTGTGGAATGGATGTCAGTGAAGAATGTGGCTATCCATTTTCTTGCTCTTGGTCCCAAGTTCTTGACGAATTCTGGATGAATAGCATCAAGACCTGAGGCTTTCCCGCATTTCAACTGGGCAATCACGGCATCTACTTCCTCCACTGAGAATGGACGGGAGAATTCAGAGGTTTCTTGGCCGTTATCTAGTGTGCAATAAAGTTTTTTGTAGACTTGCTGTCTTATGCTCTTGTCGATTGAAGTTCGTGAATTGTTGATCATTTGCCTAGCAATCTCGTCAGGAGTGACTTGCGGAGGTTTTGTAAGGCTGGCGTCGCGACAGCTCCCATCAACCTCAGGAGGCGCCAGGCTTTACGGCTCGATTTTGTCAAAGTCAAGTGCCTCAACTGTTTCGTGCCACCTTTCTCTTCTTTGGAAATTCAGTGACTCGAGTAAGGCTTTTGCAGACTCCTGCTTCTTATCAGCATTGAATTTCCGGAAAAGCTGTTCGCTTTCTGGAGTCCAACATGAAGTGAAGACCTTTCTGAAGCCTCTTGCGATGTTGGCCTTGGCGACTGCCTTGATGAGACCAACGAAGCGACGGTAGTTGACCGTGTGGAGGCATTATTCCAACTGATGCTTCCAAGTCCGCAGTGAACTTCACCCATTCAGCTGATCTCAGATTCCAACGTGGTTTTGGAGCGCAGCGGAATAACGGAATCTGAAGACCGATATGGATCACTACAGGTCTGTGTTGGCTATTTGGAAAGTCGTCTAGGATTGTTCTTGTCGACGGATTTCCGTTCAGGTCCCAAGACACAAAACATAAATCGGGCGTATAGACCTCCTGCATACTAGTTAAAGTAGTTAACCTCTCTCCACCGTGGTGCCCCAATGGTCACACAACCCCCATGACTAGCAAGGCATGGGGGAAGGGGGGGGTAGGAGGCCTTCATCTATCCATGGATTAACAAAGGCTGTCCAGAGTACTTTGTAATTCTCTTCGCTGCAGGAAGTGAGTGGGCGAGTCGAGTTGCTGCACTGCCCGGGTCCTGATTTAGCCCCACGTGCGTGCAGGCTCCACATTTGCCAAAGCCAAGCCGGAGAGCGCTTGGACGGCCATCACTCGCAAGGGCATCGTGCGCGTGCTGCTCTTCCCTTTCTTCTCGCGCTGGTGGATCCAGGTCACCTCCGCGGGCATCTACCTGTGGCTGCTGGGGCTCTACGTGCTGCAGGGTACGACGTGGCGGGGATGCCTGGGAAGGGGGGGTGGGGACGCCGCAGGGAAGAGCTCAACGCTGCTGCTCGGCTTGATCCATCGTAAACGTTGGCAGAGATTGTTTCCGTCTTGATTAGTGACCGAAGCTGTTGGTTGTGGTGCTGTTTGCGTGTACTCGCTGCGTACGTGCCTACACCTTGTGTGGCTTCTGAGAAAAGCATGTTTAAATACTGGCTCTTGCAGAGTTTGTGTATGGATTAGTCATTTTGAAAAATCCTAAGTTGAGAAACATTTCAGCAAAAAAGTCTTCTGCACGAATGTTAACTCGATTGCACTTTCAGTGTCATGAGACCAACAATACATTCAAAACTCTCACACAGCAGTGCATCACGGGGTGTAAGAGAATACTCCATAGAAGCAGATGTCACCACTTTGGCTTTCAGTGACCTGTGTTCCACACATTAGGGGGCAACTCTTTCTTACTTGTTCAACCACTGAGAGTAATTTTTTTGCCACACAGCAGTCAAATTAATTTTTTTTATTCTCAGAGCTGAAATTCAGCCAAATTAAGTGCAGATCCAAGTTTGATCTGATGTAAATTGTTTTGCGGTCATTTGTGACTAGGCTTGAACTGCCTACACTCCACTAGACTAGAAAGCTCAGTTGAATCACAGCCACACTCCCCACATTTGAACCCAGGATCTCAGTGGTGCCAGCTCAGCTCAGCCCTCTGCCCCCTTAGCCACCCATTGCACACAAAGTGCTTGCCACACATGAACAGCAATACCATCCTGATCTCGTCAAGGAGCGTAAATCATCACACGAACTCCGGTCATGCACGCAGCAGCGGCTTTTCACTGGCCATCGAACAAAGATGGCCACCACATTGCACGTTATCAGATGCGCTTCCTGCAGCCATCTGGAACGCTCTTCCTTTCCGGTATTAGGAAGCCACTGGAGCTATGCACTTTTAAATATATATTGAAAACTCATTTCTTTCGAGCACATTTTTGTGTTTAAATTGTTGTCCTTCCCCTGCTGCTCGTCCGATAAGCACGGTTGGCTACGTACAGTGCGAAAAAAGTTCTACATACATACATACATACGCACATATGCTCAGCCACCTCTTCATGTGTATTTTCGGTGTAAGGCGCACAGTCCATTGGTAGTGTGGGTGACGTTTCTGCGGCCAGTGTTGATTGTACCGCCTGTGTGCATGGCGTGCGCACGTGCGCAGCACTAGCCGTCGTGCTGTACGTGAGCGGACCCAGCGAGCATGATGTGCCGTGGACGGAGGTCCTGTGCCCCGTGTGGCTCATGCTGCTGCTGGGCACCGTGCACTGCCAGATCGTCTCCACTCACTTCTACAAGACGCAGAGCAGCCTCGGGGCCAAGCGAAGACGGTGAGGGCCGACCAGGGCAGTGGAATGCTGGCATAGCTCCCCCCACCATACATCCACTGCATATGCTGCCTGCGGAACAGCTGCTTCCACAGAGGCATACGCAGTCAGTTGTTTTTTAGCTGAGCCGTATGCTTGTGACCAAAATCACCTGGAAGATGGCAGCCTTCACACGGCCCAATCTGTTAAGTGAGAAATCACGCCGAATGCTATTACGCGGCGACCGAATATTGATCATCGATCTCCCATTCTCCAGAGCAACAACAACCTGGAAAGATCTATGGTTGAGCATGGATAATAGTGCTTTGTATGGGCATCCGCTACGCATGCCAGTTTGTCATAGGCGGATGTGAGGCCGTGCTATGTGGTCGTCAGCAGAGGGCAGTGCAGCAAAATCTATTGTTGTGATATGTTTCTATGCTCCCACGTCTTCGCTGACCCACACTGACCAGCGGCAAGTGCGGTCAATTGACCCCCACGACCTAAGCAGCGTGGGGAAGCCCTCATCCAGCAGTGGATTGACCAAAATGTTGTAGATGTGCGATAATGTGCCACTCAGATATTCACATTACAAAATATCCACAGTCGACATACAAATTTGTTATTGCCCTTTTGAAAAATCTGTGCAGTATTAGATGAAGCTGGATTGTGCAGTGCTGCTTGAACTCTGGTTCGGTTTCACTGTATCCGGGTAGAGAACTCTCACGCTGACTGGACATTTTTTATCTAGCGTAAAGAGTCCTGCTTTTGTTCTGGTAAATCGTACACTCGACAGTGTAAAGCTTCAGAAATGTTCATAGTAGGTACGTAGCAATGTTTATAGGAGGTACGTGGCGATGTTTTCAATACATGTATCAAATGGGGCATTAATTGTACGTGTAATAATGAATTGTTTACAAGTCATGAAAATTATACACATGAGGCGAAAACGTTTCTCCGAGCTAGGTAAAACAAAAAAAATGAGAATGCAAATAAAACATTAAACAAGACAAAAATATTCAATTCTTAAATTTATTTATTACAACGATTCATGAAAATGTACCGATTCTTTTGTGCTAAAAAGCACTGTTAACAGGCCCACAAGCACAGTGATCGCCGCCCTGCCTGCCACGCCAGGCAGGGCGGCAGATACCTCTTTACCACTCTACAACTGAGCCACTCCTAGACCAGGCCAAGCCAGCTCAGTATGGCTTGGGAGGGGACAAGTTGTTCTTCACTGCAGAACCCGAGTTGTGCCGCTGATGTCCCACATTGAACGAGGCAAAGACGCACGTGCATGATGCTGTACGCCGTGTCCTCGCAGTTCTTGGCTGACATCACACGCATTGGATTGCATCATCAGCCCCGGGCCCGGCCCTGCTTGAGCCAGAGCTATGTTCAGATGTCTACTTTTGAGCCGAGCGTAGTAGCAGTTCAGTTTCCGGCTCGGCAAATAGCCAGTGGAAAACCACCCGAACCGTGAGAGCCCTTCACTGGATCAGCACAGATGTGCCAGTAGAAAAGTGGTAATAGACCTCCTCTCCCCCCCCACCACCCCCCTTCCACCGAATTCTACAGGAGACTGCGTAAAGCATCACAGAGTGACCCTGGCAAAGATGGAGGTGGTTCGAGTACGACCGATAACCAGGACGAGTTCAGGCGCTCAGGCGGTGGGAGCCACGGGCCCGGGGTTCTGGCGGCCCTGAGACGCGCGTGGGGGAGACATCGTGTCTTTGGGTCAGTGCTGCTTTCCTCCTCTTCTCCTCCGCACGATTTCGCACGGTTGGCTATGTACGGTGCTGAAGAAGTTCAACATACATACGTAGTGCAGGACTTCGGAGACGATAATTGTGGAGGCACCTTTTATTAACACACACTATCTCGACTACACACACGAGTCACTCGCTAGCCTTAACACAACACTAGCCATCTAGCATCGATGGTGCTAACTAAGATAGCTGACAGGCTATCTAGCAGTGCGACGTCGAGCGGCGACGGCATCGACGACGGCAACGAGACGATCCGATTCCCACGAGCAGCCTCGAGCTACGGCTCTTGGCTCCTTTTATCCTAGCAGCGTGGCCTCGCTCTGCCCTGGCCACGCCCCCCTTCTCGAACCCACTAGCAGATTCCAGGGGCTTCCCGATGGACCCCTCCATGACCCTTGCCCCAGTTCTTCCATTCTGCCGACACACCCGTGCATATTGTCGCTCACTGGCGTGTGTACTGTTTGTACACCACAGTTGCCGATTTTGGTCACCAGCCGTCGCTACGACACTACACATACATACATACACTTCAACAACATCAACAACAAAACTCGCTCACCGCTTGAATCAAAATATATTGCGTATGATACTTGATCTGGGTACGTTTTTTAAATTTCACTTGGAAGCAATACTCGTGATTGTGCTGGTAACGATGAATCGAGTCGCATTGATTCTTATACAAGCAGTTATGTACATCGAGCCATGCACGTGAGAATACATTATTTCCGATGTATGCAAAATTTACATGAATGGCATTCTAAAGCATGTAGTATAATGGAGAAAATGATATTGTACAAACCCGACGTGAAAAAAAATACGACATGGAACAAACAAGGCACACGAAGAAATGTTTTTGTTTTATTAAATCGTGATCCTGAATCGTACCGCTGGGGCGGCACTTGAATCGTTATATTCATACTAGTCAGAGCCCGAATCCCATGCTAAATGGGAAAAAAATATCCATGACTACTTGGAGTCCAAATCACATGCTAATAGTTCAGTGCAGTTTAGTTCAGTTTATTTTGAAGTACCCTGTGAGCTAAGGAGCTCTTAAGTTGGGTTTCATCAGTAAAAAACCACACCATTTCCATGTCAGACATATCACATCAGAGAAAAAGATATTGTTTAGTTTTCATACAATAAAACTCTACCCATTTGTTGTGGATGGGAATAGCTTACTCATGTTTTATGTTTGTTTTTTTTGGGTGAGAATTTGTGTATTTCACTGTCGAGCTTGTTACCCTGTTTTTTGCCATTGACCTAGCATCTATCTCTCACCTCTCTTTTCCTGCAGGGATTTGCTAAAACTTTAGCCAGATGGGTGCATTGCATTTCCCACGCAAACATGCGCACCTGTGTGTTTGTGCTGTTGCCCATGGCTGAAACATTTTGTGGGGTTTTTTTTTTTCAAAATATAGTTTATAACCCTTAGACAATCCACTATTGAATAAAGGCTATGCCAAACCATGTTATTTGTGGGGTGGTTTTTGCCCATACTTCACCACACTGGTTAGGGCAGATGTGTGAAGGTGCCCAGGACCAGCTCTGATATAACTCAAGAATCATTTTAGGTTTGCCCCTAAAATAAATAGCTCAGAGCGCTAACCATTGTGCTACCGCTCTCCGGTTTTCAGACCATAAGTGTGGGAGGGGTGGCCGATCTTCATAACTGCTGCCCGTTTTCTGAAGGGGCGAGGTTAAAAAAACGTGTCGTCGTTTTACGAAAGTGACAAATGTCACGCAATGAATTGGTAACGAGTCCCCTGGGCAATTAGTAACGAGTCCCCTGGGGACGTCTCCGCACCCCCAGGCCGGAGCAAAGGAAGCGCTACGAGGAGAAGTCCACCGAGACTGACAATGGCTACATCTGCCTGGAGGGGAAGGCCTCGCGGCACTGCGTTGCCGGGGGCGGCCCCCTTCTCTCGCACCGCGTGGAGGCCCTCTCCGCAGAGGGCCGCCCCCATCAGGGGTCACATGGCAAGCAGGTACGGGCGGTGCCCTGTTACACACACACACACACGTGGCAGTGCCCCCATATACTCGAGTGGCAAACGGGGGGTGTATGCGTGCGTGTGTGTGTGTGGAGAAAAATGTGTACTCGCGTGGCGTGATTAAGTAAGGTTAGCAAAACTAGTGAGTTTGTCTCAACCCACTCGCCAATCATTGCACAAACACACGTCATATTATGTTTGGTTTTTCAAAAGTAAAACATCGATTTGTCCTCTGCAACAAAACATTTTCTGAAGCAGAAAGTGCACGCCCAAGTGTATGGATAAGAGCGGTCATGTAAAGAGATTTCACAAGTGGCTCGATGCTGTCTGCTTCCGCGAACCATTCTCTAACACAAGGAGTTGTGGGCTTCCCTGCCAGAGCTCTGAATTGATACATTGTCCATTAACACTATGCCGATAGCACAATTGTAATTGTAAAAAAACACAAAAATATAAAGTGCGAAAATATGTACAGATAATGTCATTCTTTTCAGTGTGTGCTGTCTTCATATGTGTTGAATTAGCATGGAAACTAACGGGGAGCTATTAAAAAAACAACATCTTTTGCATATTTGTAATTAGTCCTTTTTGTGCTCTGGCGTTTCTCCAAATTGTGGGCAACCCTTGGATAAATTTGGCCTAGCTTCAATCGGGCAAGTGCCTAATAGCACCACAACTTTATGTTAAAGTCTCGTAATATTAGATCCTCTAAACGGAGGGTAATAGTGCCCCTCGTTCCGGACAGAAGGACAGATGGACAGACGGAGCCCATGTGTACACGCTTCTCACCTGAATTGGCCAACAATTTAATCAAATAGAAAACCGCTTGCAACGCACTTTTATGTGACTCCTGTCGGGAATCAGGAGGCGGGCCGTTTGGGCCCCGCCGCCTCGGACGACCTGTCGAGCGAGGAAGAGGGTGGCGGACTGCGGGCGCCGGAGACGCCGGTGTACCGTCGCGGCGCGGAGCGTCCGTCGTGCGACGGGCTGCGACAACGCAAGCTTCACACGCACTGCAGGAAGCACTGCTCCGCAGAGGTACGGGCACGCTCACATTGACCCCGCAACCCCCGGCGCTGGCGCCGATTGCGCGTTGTCCTAGCGGTAAACCGTCGTGACGCGTCTTCTCGCGTAACGTGTCTCGGGAGGACGCGGCAAAGTGGCGGCGCGTTCGTTTGTTAACCAGGTGAGAGCCCATTGTGACTCACCGTGGGTGAAATGAAGCATTGCTGCCAACGTGTTGTAAAATATCTCCAGTAACAAGGGTATGCAGGATCCTAATTAACGTGAGAATATTAAGTAATAATAACCAATGAAAGAGTATATTACATTTAGATATAAGGTATACTTCAAAAGCACTTGCATTCATTTTGACCAAGCATGTACCTTGATAGGTAAAGAACATGCCTATAACGATGTCTTGATTAATCAAATAAAATGTATTTATTCGCTCATGGTATACACATGTAATCATGCGTATGGGAGGAGGTTGTTTACGTTAAATGCAAATGACGTGCTAATGTTACGTTTGGATGTTGGAATGACCCAAACGATACAAATGAGACACACACAAATAGAGAAGCAATATGGATGAGATGGTACCAAAGAGACAAAAAGATAATTGATTCTTGAATTGCATCGTGACTCCGACTCCGGACAAATCACCGTTGGGGGAAATTTTTGCATACCTAGTAAAGAAATAGCTTGTTATTTTGTAAACGTAATCAATCAAATGAAAAATAACAGTAGTGAGTTGTAACCTCCAAAAAATTATTCAGAAATAAAATGTTTTTCAGCTGAAATAATATCATCATTTACCCGTACCGTTAACATGCCAAACGTGAGCGGGATATTTTGAATTTAACTTGTTAAATGTTTAAATGAGGGAAGGAATGTAAATGTTAGAAGTTTAACCCCACCCCCACGGTCTTTTCAACAGTAAGTAATCCCCATCTAATGCTGTGATTTTCGCTAATTGAGCTGGGAATTTTACACTGCATTTTTTTATTTAACAGGAGAATTATATTTCCATGCTCCCCCCTGCGTAGCACGAATATATATCTTGAATTCTTAATCGTAAATCATTCCTTTTTATTGCGCCTTCAGTCTTGCATCAAACCATTAAAACAAACACGTTATTAGCGGTTGGTTGTCTATCATGAGGATCCATCAGTGCTTTGTTGTCCACTCGTAATACATTTATAGAGCAATCGGATGGCAACCATGGAAATTCATCAACTGTCACCCATGCCTCCCTTTGTTAGTGTCTCTGCTGTCAAATTTCATATTCATCGGCTTTGTAAAGCTAGATCGTGATCATTTATGTAGAAGGCCCTTGGTTTTGATTGATTGTTAATTATATGGGAATGCTTTGCTCATTAATAAGCGTACACAAATTTATCACGAAGGAGATTAAAATAATTGTTATCATTCGGGAGCCATGGCTTGATTCAAGAATCAATTATTTTTGAATTCTCTGTAGCGTCTTGTATTTTTTGTCTGTCTCGTGAAGTCCGTTTTGTTTGTTCTGTCGTGTTCTTGATATTATCCTTATGATTCTAAACGTAAATTAGCATGTCATTTGTATAACTTGTAAATAATTGCCTCTTACACCTGTTCCAATGCTGCTTGATTCAAATGTATTCTTCCGTGCTGTGAATTGAAAAACGCGAGTGTGCAAATGGAGGTGGCTTTCACTTGAAAGTTATTTAACGACAGACAGTTTAATTTGACCCCCTAGAGTCTCATATGGAACTATTTGTACCTTTGATCACTAAACCAAGTGTTTTATAAGGCAAACCGGTATTGCATGCCATACGTGTGCCCGTGTGAATGTATGCTCACTTGCCTGAATGCGTGTGCATGTGTGTTCACTTGGCCCAACAGTCTGTTATTGCCATATGGGGGAATCTTTGTGTTTGTGTACGTATGTGTGGGGAGTGGCAGTGTAGCAGTTTGCGCGCTGCGCTATAAACCCAAAGACCCGAGTTCGATTCCCGCTCATGGTCAACACCGGTGACGAATATCTGAACCGGTCCTGAACATCCGCTAGGTGGACTCGGACTCAAATGAGTACCTGGTGTGGTGTAAAAAAACATCGCCGCTGGGGAGAAACAAAGGCGGCCGGGCGTGGTGCTGGCCACCCCATCCACCTCGTGTGCCGTTCCGGCCTTCATAGGTGCTCGCTAACAGGACTTGCCCCAACAGGCATACTAAGGCTATTACGGGGGATCTTTGTCTTTGTGTCTGTATGTGCGTGCGTGTCTGCACCCGTGTAATGCCCATGTGCAGGGAAGCGTGCACGCCATCCGCGACGGTGCCACGGCCTCCGGCTCTGAGAGTTGTGATCGATCAGAGAACGACTCCTTTCTTTTCCCACAGTGCTGCCAGGTACCAACGGTGGGGGGGGGGGGGGGGGGGGGGGGGGGGGGGGGGGGGGGGGGGGGGGGGGCTTCTCCCCACCTCTCCCTTCCCCACCCCCCCCCCCCCCCCCCCCCCCCCACACTTCCGTCGCCACCACAGGCAATGCTGAGCTGCAATAATATTCGCAGACGTTTTTGCCTTGCAGAGCAGCGATGCTTTTGCGTCGAAGCTTGCCCACGTGCAATGTCTTCTTGCGGCGCTCTTTTCAGTGTCCTTGCAGCGCCTTAGCAATGGCTTGGGAAGCCCCTTCTGTTCCTATTCCGTATTTGTGTTTGATTTGTGTCTCTGCCGCCGCCACGCTGGAGATCCCTGCGGTTGCGTGCCCAAAAGTGACACTTTTGCCAAACCGTCTAGAAGTCCCACTTATGATTTATATATGCTTGAAAACGCACCTGATGTCGGGTGAACGGAGGGCATAGTCTCCTTGACTGAAATTGGCCGAATGGCAATTGCATTGCGACAGCCGAGGTTGAAAATTGCTTTCCGAGTGTACGCGAGCACGGGCGCGTCCACAACTGTGACCTTTGTGAAGAATTCTGGCCGCAGCAAAGACTGACGTACGCAAGTGCCTTGCTCGGGGGCGTGCTGTCTAATTGGTATGACGCGGGGCAAAAAATGTTGTGCGAGTGGCTACGTGATCGCAGAATGTTAGAGCCAGCCTCTGTTAAGGCAACACTTCACACGTTTCTGACATTCACACCCGAGCAGATCCGACAGTTTCTATGGGAAGCCATTGAAAACCATAGGATCTCTGTACACAATGCAAGCGAGTGACTCACCCTTGCACCTGTGCGTGGTGACACAAACCACGAGGTACTTGTTGTTTTGCTTGGCGAGATCTCCCTGTTTAGGGACACTTTGCCCGTGTGTGCCCTCTGGTCAGGTTGTGACAAACAGATCGAGAAACTGTAACCAATAACTATTTAAAGAAATGGCCATCGCATTGGGTGCAATTCAAGTGAACATTTATTGACTTGGGTTAAAAACAGCCTTTCAGCTATCAAAACCTTCGATGTTATTAATATGGAACGTGGCATTTGTTAATGAGGAGTGTAAATGTGTTCTGGGCTCTGCCTAAATAGATCCCCCCCCCCCGCTTCTTCTTGATGTATGTGTGAATCATACTAACATTTGGGTTTTGCTTTTTAACTGTGACCCCGTTTCCTTTCAAGCCTGTGTCATCCTCTTCCTGTCCAGATGAACAACGTCTCTGTTTTGCATTACAGTTTGATTCCATCGTCTAGTTCGCCTAGCCAACGGTTCCAATCATAACTAATGTTTATTAATTTATTTGACCTTTGAAGGTTTCCTGAATCCATGTGTTGTCCTGTTGCGTCATTCTTTCATTTTGCTTAACCTTGCCTTGTGTTGTTTGCGCTGGTAAATGATGAATAGCGGTTTTTGTTATTAATAAATACACTGCTTTAATGTTGTTTGGTCCAGATGTTGCATTTTCATTTCGTTAGAGCATTACTTTCATAAAATGAAGGGAAACATGCACATTATAAATTCACTGTCAAATGATGGTATCCGTGCAAAGCCATGTTGGCGCATCTGCACTTAAATGCAAATGATCTTCCACAACAGACACATACCTTCATTTGATGTACAACTGTAATATATACTGTGCACAGTAGACATGTTACATCAGCTTGTTTACATTTTCTCCCGTCCGAATGCAGTTTCCTGTGCTTGTTGTGTGTGTGTCTTTGTGCCAGGGACGTGCGGTCAGGGGAGGCAGGGGAGGCAGAGCCTCACCTCTCATACTCCAATGGAAATAGCTGTTACGAAAAGTACAAAAAAAGAACAATCAAATAAAATAAATATTAAGATTTTTCCACTGATCTGTGTTATAAATGTCATTTCTGTACGATTCCAATCATTTTTATAGTCAAAATTGCCATATTTGCGGAGCTCCGCTGCAAATACAGGAAGCGACGAGAGGTGAGGCAGCGACGAGCTCAGCCTCCCCTCTGATTGCGCAACCCCTCAGTAACTGGATGGAGCGCAGGCAATAAGCGCGTGCCTGTTACTATCTCAGTATGTCACCAATGTAATGTTTGTAGACCCCTTCATTTCATGTCCTCACCTTCCATACTCCAGGTGACTTATTTCACGTATGTGTTTCAAGATATTAAGGCTCGCTGGTCTCGTCATGAAACTGCAATGAAAAAGCACCAGGGGAGGCAGCTATCACATCTGCCTCACTGAGGGGGACGTGTCTAACAAGCCCCCCTCAGTGAGGACACGCCCTCCTCCGTGAGGCCACGCCCCCTTCAGTGTGTGAATCTGGCTCTGACACTAGCCAGTGCCTCCCCAGCCATTGACCTAACCGCACGTCACTGCTTTGTATATGGCTCCGTGGTTTGTATACTGGGCTACAATTCCAGCATCCTAGTTTGATTTGCAGCTTGCAGCCAAGGATAACATGAGTGGCACATTTTATCTGATTCTGCACTGTGCCTCTTCAAATAATTGCCTCAAATCACATGTAAACATCAGCACTGGGGAGACAAAGGTGGCCAGGCGTAGTGCTAACCATGCCACCCCCACCTCGAGCTCCGCACCGCCCTTCATAGGTGCTCGCTAACAGCACTTTCCACAACGGCCTATGTCGGCTATAGCGTTTTTCTTGGCCATTGTGTGCTCGTTCTCGTGTTTTTCGTGATCATCATCAGCCATGGTCAATCCAATGCTGAAGTTCTGCTCGGGCTGCCGCTACGGCCACCTCAGGCGATCCAGCACACAGACTAAATTCTTCGCTCGGTGGACGTCCTCTGTGACGTATTCCATTCCTTGGTTGCTACTGGGTTATTCATGTCAGCCCATTGTGTGTGTACATGTATATGCGTGTGTGTGTATATATATCAAGTGGGCAGCGGTAGTGCAGCGGTTAGGACGCTGCGCTTCAAACTCGGTGATCCGAGTTCGATTCTCGCTCTTTCCCAACACCAGTGACGATTATCTAAACCGGTCCTGGGCTTCTCCTAGGGCGCCTCAGCCTCAAATGAGTACCTGGTGCGGTGTGTAAACATCGCCACTTGGGAGAAAAAGGCGGTCGGGCGTGGTGCTGGCCACCCACCACTTTGTGTGCCGTGCCGGCCTTCATAGGTGCTCGCTAACAGTGCTTGCCACAACAGTCTGTTCAGGCTGTACAGGGGATCTTTGTCTTTGTATTTTTTTATACCTATACCCACCATTTGCCACAAAGTGATGGTGATGTCACCACGGCGCCTGTGCCAAGCCAGCTGCACTTTGAGGCCACGTTTGTATATATATACACGTGTATATATGTGCCCTTGTGTACCTCCGTTTTGCCGCACTCCCTCCTACCACCCCGCCCGCTGTGCCCGCCGCTCCCACCGCCTTTGGCAGGAGGTGCTGCGCTCGTCAGGCAGCTGCAGCTCGCGCAGTTGCACGACGTCGCGCCACGACTCGGAGAGCACGCGGCCCGAGTCGGAGACGGAGGAGCTGCTGTGGGAGGACCTCCTGCTGGGCGCCGAGTGCCGCTCCACGGGCTCCACGGACAGCGAGGACACGGTGGCGAGCGCCGCCACCCTGGCCCGCGCGCGGGACGACCCCTTCCAGCAGGTGGGTTGGCCCCGGCGCCGCCAGGAGCTCGCGAGTGTGCAGCTCTCTTGTCGAGATTTCGGTTCGTGTGTTGAGCTTCTTTCGCACCGTACGTAGCCAACCGTGCTAATCGGAGGTACGGGAGAAGGACAACAAACGAAACGTACAAAGCATTTCTTAAGAAGTTAGTTTTCAATCGAGATGATTTGAAAGTGCATAGCCCCAGTGGCTTCCTAATATCACAAGGAAGAGTGTTCCAGATGGCTCTTAGAAGCGCATCTGAAAGCGCGCGATGCGGTGACCGTCTTTGTTCGATGGCCAGCTAAAGGCCGTTGTGAGGATGACCGGAGTTGCGTGGTGGTTTATCTTACTTGACGAGATCAGCAAGATATTGTGATTCATTTGTGCCGTTCGAAGTGTTGTCCTACGTTTCGCTCCACGTACTTCTAAATCCTTGGAGTTTTTCTCAACTTAAACGTGAGCATAGTAGAAAGTTACCGCTTGGCTGAACTTGCGTAATGGGTAACAAGTTGAGAAGGAACGCTACTGCTGGGTGTAACATCAGAGTTGTTGGTACCTTGCGCCTGAGAGCTGAATAGTACTTTCAGATACTTTTTCTGGACCATGCATTAACAATAATATAAAAAAACGTGCGTATCGACTGTGACTAAGTACTCGAATATTGGAAAGAGTGTTGTTGCCAGATCTGAAATATTTCCCTCTTGCTTGATTAGTTTGGCCGAGATGCTGGCAATCTCAGATAAATATCGTTCATGGGCCTTTTTAAAGTGGTGGGTGTCCCGTGGCCGCGGGCCATATGAAATGTACGTACGTATGTTGAACTTCTTTCGCACCCTACGTAGCCACCCGTGCTAATCGGAGGTGCGAAATGAAGTGGCGGGCAGTGGGTTTCCCATCACTGGAGAGTTGCGTGCTCGTTATCTTCTCACGGGCGATGTTCCTCTCCCAGCAGAGCCAGCTGTTCTTCCCAGGCAGCTCCTCCGTTGGGCTGGAGCGCGTGAGTGCCATCGTGTGGGAGGCCAACGAGTGCAAGAAGGCCGAGATGTCCGTCCTGGAGATCAGCGGCATGATCATGAACCGGGTAAGGCCAGTGCCGTAAGCGCGGCGACCTTGAAGAGTGATTGTATGTTGCACAGACCAATGCAGGCATTGGATAGTGAATCGGAAATGTACGTCACTTTTGGAAACCTAATTTGTGTGCGTTTTATCATCCGTAATGTCTTTAAATTAAACACATTGTAAGTATGTTGAACTTATTTCGCACCGTACGTAGCCAACCGCGCTGGCCGGAGTTGTAAGTAGATCGACATATATACTTGCAGCCCTCGGCCATGAGAAGTGGTGTGTGGAATTTGTTACACACACTCCAATTTAGAGTAGTTTAAATATTGAAAATGATTGGTGCATGGTGGTTATAAGTGCATAGATCCAATTGCTTCCTAATCATGGAAGAAACTGTTCCAGACGGCCGCAGAAGCGTATCCGAAAGCGCGCAATGCGGTGATTGTCTTTGTTCGATGGCTAGCCAAAAGTCGCTGCTGTTGAGGATAGCCGGAGTTCGTCTGAGGGTTTATGTTCTTTGACGAAAAAATCCTAGTTATCGTGGTTCACTTGTGGCGAGCACTTCGTGTGTAACGATTGCGACCTTATGGAAAAAATCACGACGTTCTCAAATCTCTCACGACCCTGAATATGCGTCGCCTCGCCGCGTGAACTTTTCCGCGCGGTAGGTGAACACGTACAAGCAAGGCCAGGTGTACCACGTGTTCAGCAACCTGATGACGCTGCTGATGGGTGCGCTCCCGCTGGCCTTCCGCCTGCTGTGGCACATGGGGCTGGATCAGGCGAGCACCGCGTCCCCCCTCGACGTGCTCTGGTGCTGTCTGGGCCTGGGCGCCGGCCCGGCCGCCGCCGCCATCGTTGTCATCTGCCTCGTGCAACGCGTGTGCCTCGTGTGGCTGCTCTTCTTCATGCTCTCCGTCGCCGAGAAGACCTACAAGCAGGTGGTGCCTGGGCGCGAGGGGCCCGCGGGATGTTCGTCAGATGTGGCTGGGCAGGGTGGCGTGAGGTGGATAGCGTTGATGCCCGTTGAAGGGTACTGAGACCACCGATTCTTGAGATTCGTTCAGAGGGTCCTGCATTCGGATGTTTGGCCAATTCCATTTTAAGGAGGTAATTTGCCTTCCCCCGCACGGTTTGCTAAGTATGGTGCAAAAGAAGTTCAACATACATACATACATCCGTGGGATTAAAATCGATTACCTGGAGTAAACCCACCATTCATCCGAGGAACAAGAACTGAAAAGTCTGCACAGACATTCATTGTCCCACGTGATGTACTGTCATCACTTGGCCTTGCAACCCATAAGATTAAGGGGATTTACCGATTTACATCATGCCTTCTCATCGCTGGATTATAGCTGTGTGCCACGATGCCTAGCTAGAAGAGAAAATACTTCACTCCAGGACGCAATTTTATGAAGCTAGGATATTATTTAAATTGATAATTAAGTGCAAGTACGAAATAAGTATTACATATAAAAGTACTGTGGTTATGTTAATACAGTTTAGTCGTACACTCATTTACGCATATAGCATATGTATCTTTTTAACTGCTTTTTGTGTTTAATTTGTTGTCCTTCCCCCACACCTTTGATTAGCATGGTTGCCTATGTACGGTGCGAAAGAAGTTCAACATACATGCCATCGTGTCTTAATTGTTCAACACAATCCACCCATGCACTGAACAGCATGGAAGTACAAGCCAGTGCACCCTGCAAACCTGACCCCGCATGCGGTTTGTTTCTGCGACAGCGGTATCTGTTCGCCAAGCTGTTTGGGCACCTGACATCGGCCAGACGGGCGCGCAAGTCGGAGATCCCCCACTTCCGGCTCAAGAAAGTTCAAAACATCAAGATGTGGCTCTCGCTGCGCTCGTACCTGAAGGTGTGCATCTTGTTAAGTCGATTGATGAGAAATCCACACGGTAGCACAGATCGACATTGTAAATATTACGGCCGTGTCGTCATTTTATGGTTCAGCCCGGGGCATGCTCACTTAGATATTTTAAATAGCTCCAACAACTGTGGTAATACTGGTGTCTGATTGGCTGACAGTGCACTGAGCTGGTACTACTAAGACTCTTATACTTGCTTGTGATTAAGCTGGGTTGTCAAGTGTAGGGAGTTGGTGGCCACTGTCTGTTTATCAATGACTGCACAAAAAAACATTCGTATTTACAAAAATATTTACTTTAGCTTTTTTCAGTTTTAAGGATTGCAGATGTAATTGTGATCGACTTGCTTTGAACCCTCTTTGCAGTGCAAAGAAAGGATGTACCCCCAAGTGCAGATGAACAGGTCTTTTAATGTAACGTTAGCGTAGTTCTGATATCTTCTTGGGCCTTTCTCTGAAACAGTGTGGTAGACTGCTAGTTTTGAAACTGCAATGTCTTCGTTTCACAATAGAAACGTAAATAATAGAAAAAGCAAAAGTGAATTCTACGTGGTTTATGCAGTAAATAACTTTGCAATAGGTGGACGGCTATTTCTGTATCACCATACAGCGTGCACTTATCTTAAATATAAGTGTGCACTTATCTTAAAGCTGCTAATTTTCTGGGTGGCTCAACTGAGATATACGGTAAGCTGGCAGCCGCTCCCTCTGCCCGCCCCACCAATTTTACATAGCCACGACCACACACTCACAAGCCCCACTCCCACAGCGAGTGTTCTTGCCCTTTCTGAAATTGGCCTCGCTCATAGGCCCTGCAGACTCCTCTGCAAGCCCTATCCACTACGCACGTAGCCTCGCCCATTGCCCATAACTGAGTTGAGCACGAGGCCAGAATATTTTACAGTGGGATCAAATCGCAATTAGGCTTCGGGGGACACCGGAGACAGCCTTTGTGAACCCTGTATTGTCCCGGCCACACCAGGGCATTGGGTAGCTTTTAACTCATTCACCGAGTGTTGTGCGTGTATGGTGTTCACTCCAGAGGCGGGGTCCCCAGCGTTCGGTGGACGTCATCGTGTCATCCGCCTTCCTGCTTGAGCTCTCTGTGGTCTTCATCTGTTGTGCTCAGGTCAGCGTTATCCTCATTCATTTATACATTTTTTTCTGTTTATTTTGTTTAACCAGGTGAGAACCCAAGGGACCAGGATTGTCCCATTGGAAAGAGTGACCTGAGTGACCTGGGTCACCAAAATGATGAAAGCAAAACAAACTAAAGTAGAGGAAACAAAGCACACCGAGAAATCAGAACAAAAACAACCGTCACATAAGAAATTGAAACGCTGCACAAACACAAATGAATGCCAAATAATAACTCCCTGCAGTGCAAGTCAGCTTGGGCAGATTATCCTGTACCTGATTCAAGTACAATTCCAGATAAAGTTACAAAAACATCAAACGGATGTAATTGCACTTGACTCACGTTATAACATCGCACCTGCTGTGCGGACATCTTCTACACCAATGGAAAATTAATTGCCTACTGTGTCTATAGTCACCGAACTCAATTGATAGAACACACATTGACACCACTGCTTGCTTTGATAATTTACCGGCAGCATTTCAGATATTCACCAAGCCAGTGTAGCCATCCACTAGCTCACCAATGTCGAAGTGAACGTATGAACATGTTTGATCAACTCTCCACCGTATGGAAGAAAAAGGCGGGTGTGTGGGAACGTCATGACGTCTGGCTGGTGATTTTAACACGCGGCTTGTGCGTGCGTGCATGCGTGCGGACAGCTGTTGAACGGGCACAGCACCTTTCTCGACGTTCACTACAACTGGGAGTTGCTGGCGTGGAGCCTCTCGCTTGGAATCTTCTTGTTGCGCTTCGTCACGCTCGGCTCGGAGACGAACAAAAAATACAGCAACACGTCCATTCTGCTGACGGAGCAGGTAGGACGCCTGTGATTGATGCCACGTTTTATACCGGCCCCTGGAGTAACGATTGGGCGGTCACCCGTAGCCAGGATTTGAACTCACCTTATGCTTGGAAGTCTGTTGCTCGATGGCAGGGGTCGGCAACCAAAACAACAAGAATAGGCTTTTTTTTTCAAGAGCCGAAATGAATGTGAATACGAGACGGTCCTTAATAAATGACATCATAAAGCGGTCCTTAATGATCTGGATGTGCCTCCGGAGCCACGGATTGTCGACCCCTGCGCATGGTAAACTGGACTTCCATGGTGAACTGGATTTCCATTGTCAGAGATCGGCAACCAAAATAACAAGAAAAGCCATTTTTGGGGGGGAAATTTCAAGAGCCGCCACTGTAGTCTGTAAAAAAGCCGCATGTGGTTCCGGAGCCATGGGTCGCTGACCCCTGCTGTTCGGTCACCGTCTTGAGATTTTCTTGTTCCAGTGGTTTGACCGTTCCCCTTTTCTGGCTCGTCGTCGGATACGTTTGGCTTTGTGTGCAGATTAACTTGTACCTGAAAATGGAGAAGAAACCGAACAAGAAGGAAGAGCTTAATCTGGTGAACAATGTGTTGAAGCTTGCAACCAAGCTGCTCAAGGTGCACACCCAAATGTTTCGTCGATAACTCAATAATTATAATATTTGGAGGGGGGCCAACAATTTTTTTAGATGTTCGTTTGTTTTCTTAAGACTGGAGAAATTCGGTTGGATGGAAAGAGGAAGTTCTGAGGTAGGTTCAGGAGGGGTAAAGCAGTATTAGAACAATGTGGAAAAATTCATAACGTATGAATTGACGACATACTCAGGAGCTAAAGCTTGATGAAGGCAGTTCTGGGAGAAATTATGTTGGGAAAGAGTCCCAGAGGAAAAAAAAATAATACTGCTTAGTGACTTGAAATAACGAGGTCCGTAGAGTTAAATGATTAAGTGATCTCAAGATGGGACAGGATGGGGGAGGGAGTTTGAGCCAAGGACCTGCCAATTGGGCACAGGTCTAAACTGAGAGAATGGGGCATAGCCCCCGGGAGGTCTGGCTGTGTGTGCTGCCAGTGGCTTTAAAATAAAGGCCCATATGTGCTCTATACTGCATTTGCAGGAGCTGGACTCGCCGTTCCGGCTCTATGGCCTCACAATGAATCCCATGCTCTACAACATTACGCGTGTCGTCATTCTGTCGGCGTTCTCCGGTGTGATCAGCGACCTCCTGGGCTTCAACCTCAAGGTGAGTGTTGGTGTTCATAGAGACAAGCAGATCACGGGTGTGTGATAATTTTCACACACGTGCATCAGCCACACCTGCACAAGCGATGATATATTGATGGTCTTGGGTGTGGGTGAACAGGGCAGCTGCCAAGGGAGTAATGCTGTAAGAAGAGCCAAAAATATATGATGGTTATGCAGAATGTACATGCAGGTGAAGAGACACAGAATCATAGGGACACCGGGAGACAGATGTACAATCAGACACAGCAACATAGGGGACAGAGCGAGATAGGACACAGAAACTGTGATGCAGGAAGATAGATAGACAAACAGAAACATTGAGACGAAAATGTTTTCTGCCAGGGCACCATGTATGTTGAGGTTTGTCCTGATAAGGGTCCTATGTATGTATGATGTAAATGTGTTTTTAAAAATCAACTTTGCATTATAGATTGTGTAAAAGTTATTTTGTGTAACAAAAAAAATGAAACCTGTTAATTTCACACAGATCAAAAGTGCTTACCCTCCAATTGTTGGTCTTTCAGTTTTTTTAGACAAATCCACATGGTCGCACATCTCGCCATGGTAAATATTACAGTCCTGTAGTCACTTACTGATCAAAGTCAACACTGCATGGATTGTATTATCAAATGTGCAGGTCCAACACCAGGGAAATTATGTGTTTTTTTTTCTTTCAGCTTTGGAAGATAAAATCCTAAAGCAGGGAGGGCGAAGAGCGAGTTGACAAAACATATGCCGCTCGTTTCCTGCAGCAGCGGCGAAGATGCCCATTAGTAAATCGCTCCCAAGAGGCTGAAATGTTACTGCAGCCGAGTAATCAAACACAAGGGGGTGTTTTCCTGCGCGCCTTTTTTGGCATTTGTTTCCTTGATATTTTATTATTTGTATTCATGTTATTGCCTCCTCTGTTGAAAGTGTTTTTTCATCTAAATACCGCAGCATCTCAAGTGACCGAAGTCAATGTTTTCCTTTATTTTACAATCTAAATCAAAATACTGTGTTGTCTTGGATAGGGATTTGTGTATGTTGAAATGGTTTTTAACTATTCAATCCCGGTCATAACTACCGAGAGGTTTGGTACTATCTCACGTAATGTTACACAGACTGCCATTTTTTTACGGGCACATCGCCACATGTGATGTGCTGATGGTTACGCTTGCTGTACGTTTGTTTGCTGAATCTTGGTATTAATATTTGGCAGAAATGCCGAATAAAGAGGTCAAAAGTCCACAGCAGACACTCCTGATGAGTCTTAAGAAACGTGCAATAAATTAGGCAGGCAATATGCGATAGACAAATGTCAACCCAACTATGGGTTCGATTTTCTCTGTTAACATATTTGTAAAATGTACATATGTATCAATCTTAAGTTACAGTATTGTCTGAAAACTGATTTTATTATTATTTGCACTAAGCTGGCCAAGATGGCCTTGATGGTCAAGAAAAATGTGTTCAAACGTTGATAAGCTTGTCACCATTGGGTGTGTTTTAACTTTTTATTTAGCTTGTGCATACTACACGTGAGTGGTTAACGCCCATTGAGCCCACTTGCTTTGTCCTTACGACAAGAACTTAATTGGACATAAAAGTATAGCATCTGGCCTTGTGAAGACCGGTAATAAGCCCAAAAACTAAACGTGTTGCCACCTATACATACATCTATGTGGGGTGTTCTTTTAACGCAATTGCATATTTGACCTTGGTTTGAAAACGGTGGTGTATTCATCACTGCATTTGTCAGGATACGTTATTTAAAGTCGATGCCTGCTATAAGCTACATGATGTGCATTTCATGTACAGTGTGCTCACTAGAGCTGCAATTCTTGCAATAATTATATGGTATTTGAGTCCCAGGATTCCACCCTGGACAATTCCTGCAGGAAGTGATGTATCTATTGGTGATTCAATGTCAATCTCAAATGTATTTAAATGGGAGTTTAACAGGGGTTTTGCTATCAGATATTTGTATAATAGAATGGGGGGGGGGGGGGTTACATCTTGAAACCAACTCTGCTAGGTACTGCTTAGTCTATCTGGGCAAAATGACAATAATCGCCCATTCCATGTGGCCAGAACAGCCATTGCAATCCATGACCGATGCCTATTATGCAGAATTGGCTCAATTCTACCCCGTTTCTGGCAGGGAGTTCAGTTAAATACAGAGGGGGCCTGTGGTTGCCACCGGCCCGTACCCACGCCCATATGCCCGTTCCTGCTTCATGTATATGCAACAGTCTGGCCAGATTCTTAGTTGCTCTTTGCATAGCCACGGCTAAACTGCCCCGTGCATCCTGACAATAAGGTTCACACTGCTGAGAGTTGCATTTGAAATGGTGAGATTCACTTAGTGCATGAACATCCCCTGTTTAAGCGTGATCGCTAAAAAAGCCTTCGGCGATAGTTCTTTTGGGGGTGAGCAGCTTTTGGATTTTGAGGATACCATCGACAAACACACGCACCATTTTGTTTGCTTTGAGATGCTTTAAATAGCCAGACGTCACTGCACATTAATACAAACACTACCAGCTTGTGTTTTTATATCTTGTGACGTGGTGGACAAGTTATGCATTTTCATTGTATTATTGCTGTTACATAATGTTTATTGTTGTTTTATGACATTGTACAAATGGTACTATTAAACCAAACCTGCCCAAAACTTGCAATATATTGATTGCTGTATGTTGTCACTTGTTCTTTGTATGCCGATTGTTATAGTTGCATTGTAGAGTGTATTGATTTCATTTCAACACGATAAAGTACATTGACATGTGTATATAGTTAAAGGGATGCCTGTAGAAATAATGCACAGTAATGTGTGTATTGTGATAGGTACAATTATAAATGTATCTGAATGTTATTACCAGTTCAAGTTAACGTGTTTATCCAGATGGGTATTCTAGACAAACACAAAGATCCTGTTAACTAGCACCTAATTAAGGCCGGATCGGCATGCGAGTAGGTGGCCAGAGCCAAGCCCCGGCCGCCTTTGTCTCCCCAATGCCGATGTTTACACACGCCCAAGTCAGGGGAGGCCCGGTACCGGTTCAGACATTCGTCACTGGTGTGAGCTGTGAGAGGGAATCGGAACTCGGATCGCCGGGTTCATCGTGCGCCAGCTACTTGACCACAGCTCCCCACAACAACAGCCGGCGTTCAGCGGCGGTGACGTCGCCACGGCGCTTGTGCCAGGCCAGGTGCACTCCGAGGCCCACGTGAAGTTTCGAAGGCTCGCTGACAGGCGGTTGTGGGACAGGCACACGCTCTATAAAATACTCGCATGGACAGCCGCATACAAATACACCACACAGGCACACACTCTCAGACACAAAGAGAAAGACAATCCGACGCAAAGTAACACATTCGAAGAGTTACACACACGTACTCTCACATACTCGTATACATAAATGCAGTCCGAATTATTTTTTAAACTACACATACGAAGCCGCAAACCGGCAGAAGCACGGAGAGGGATGGTGACCATGTTGCATAGGGACTGCACCGTGGCCATATTGCATGGGGGCCGTCTTCCTGCCAGCTGATTGGCTGGTGTGGCAGAAATTATGACGTAGACCCTAGTAACCACTGTCGTGGGCCAAGCGTTACGATATCGCCAGCACCTGCATGGATACTTGCCGTGTTGACCTACATAGTTTCTGATCATATGACAATCGCTGCCAGGTGGATCTTACGTGCATTTTCTGTACTCGAGCCCCCAAGATGGTCTAATTTGCAAGAGTGACCTGGGTACTGCTCACATTACACCGGTACATGATTTACTTCTAATATTGTTGGACGACTTTTTACTTTACTGCATAATAAATCGTTACGTACCAACACACCTATTGGAAATTGTTTTGGGAACGGTGGGATTTCTTATCTGCGTTTATGAAAGCTACTGAACTGAAATACTACACTGTATAGTTATTGACCTTGTAATTCATAATCCTGCATTTGCCATTGAGGTTACTTGATTGCCCTGGTTCTACAGAGACTGTTTAGTGGCTGTGTAAAGCCTTTCCATTTTCTAGTGTGTGCAATACAAAAGCGAGTAATTGTACAAGCAGAGCCGTGCCTAGGGTATGGCGAATTCTGGCGAACGCCTCGGGCCCCGCACTCTGGGGGGGCCCTGCGCTTCGACGTCATGATGTCAGTCCGAAGGCATTCCCCCTGGGGGGCCCACACATTGGGGATTTGGCCCGGGCTCCGCACTCCCCCCCCCCCCCCCCCCCCCCCCCCCCAATGGAGGTACCTGCATACAAGTGAACTAGAGTGTCACTTTTAAAGAACCCTGAACCTTTCAATACTTATGCTCTTTAAGTCTATGTATGTTGAGCTTCTTTCGCACCGAACCGATTTCTTTTAATTAAACACGTTTTGAAGAACCATTGATTTTTTACTAAATAATCGGATTACCCGGCATCTCCCCAACCCCATCGGATATGAGAAGCTAAGCAGGTTGGAACCTGGATGAATGCTGATTGTAACTACAGGACAGTCGTTGCACCTGCAAATCCACAGACCGCGGGTCCATGAAGTGGGCAGCAGAGGGCAGTGCAGCAATGTTAATTATTGAACGGTTATTTCACCATGCTCAGAAATCTGTGCTCTTTGCCCTCAAGCCTGCACTGACCAGCTTTGTGAAGTTACGGTTAAATAAACCCACCATGACATGGACAGTGTGGGGGAGGAACCCTCATTTCAGCATGGGGATTGACCCAAAATAAGTAATGTTAAAAAAACTTTTTTTAAAACACGCTTTAATGAAATGTACCGTACTGGAAATGGAAGAACTCCACGACTCCAGGAAGTGGCCCCGAAGCTTGCCATAACGTAAGGGACCGTGGACAATTATACCCAAGCCGAAACATAACATATGAGAAAGAATGTTTAAAAAAATGTTTGTTTTTTTGTATGATATAATATATTATTGTCATCAGTATGACATAAGCATACCAAGTTTGCAGTCGATACCACATTGGGAAGTGGGTTTAAATTGAGTTACAAGATTTGAGGATACAACAACAGACAGAGTGAGTTAATAGAAATCGTGTATTTAAAAAAGGTGTTGTTTGGTTTGCCATCACCACAATGATAAATCCACTGCTGGATAAAGAATTCGGTAAGCCGTCAGTCGAAAGCACCACCTGCACGTGAAATCATGTCATCGTTCCCGCACCTCCGATTAGCACGGGTTGGCGATGTACGGTGCGAAAGAAGTTCAACATACAGAGGTGCTCCATCTCCACGGTGGCTGAGGATCTCAGGCGACTGCGGATCTCAGGCGACTGCTCCTTTGACTGCCGCTCCGTCAAAAAAAGTGTTTTTTTAGCTCTACAATTGGCTATCTGCATTTCAAATCAAAACTTGAGTGCGTCTTATAATCCAGGAGAGGGTTTGTCATGTGTGTCGCGCGTGTGACTCGACTGTACGTAACCTTTTGTCCGCTATGCAATTGCCGCGCCGGACGATCGACACCGAGGTGCGTCTTATTTTCAGGATTGTTGTGCGATCGGGAAGATCACGGGCAACAAATTGACAACATATTCTTGGGTTCTTTCGGTAAAGTCACGAGAATATGAATCGCTGCAGTCACGAAAGCTTTAAATCAAAATTGACAACACTCATCATTGGCGTTGTGCCACAGCTTTTGCACGAGCCATATTCGTTCACAGCGCGTGGAGCGAAACCGCCGATGGCGGGGGGAGGGGGGCGGCGGGAACGATTTCGTTACAGCGGGGGAGCTCGACGTAATTAGAAACCGAGGCATCGGGTTCGTGAACGGACAGAAGGCGATGCGATTGTGGATTCGGGGCGGGGAGGGGGAGGGATTCTTCCTTTGGTCAAAAAGTGCAGCAGCGCCGCCACGTGGGTTCTCGCCTAGCCGGCAAAGCGACTGTGCAGGCTGCCGCCACGGGAGGTCGGCGCGCTTGGGTTGGTTGCGACTCGTCTGCTGCTGCTGCTGCTGCTCCTGCTCGTCCCAAGCAGGATACAGAGAGAGGGGGAGAGACGGGAGAGAAAGAAGCGTGACCCCCCCCCCCCCCAATCACCACGCCGTTTTTCCTCCTGCATTTATCGGGTGAGCGAGAGAGAGACGAAGCATGGCGGGCTCCGTTTCCCACACGCGTCCCATTTAAAGTGATCGCTGCCGTGTATTTTGTAACGATTTTGAAATCCCCCTCCCTCCCTCCCTCATACACTTCCCACTTGGAGAATCTCTCGGTCCGGGAATTCGCACCGCTCCGCTCGTCCGATGCTTGCGCGTTAACGCGTTTGCGTGGCCCACGGGTGCCAGCCCCCTCGTTCTCAACACCCTTTGACGCCGCACGCCGCGGTCGGGCAACTTTAAAGCGTGCTGGAGGCTTCTTGGACTGCTCCGTCTCGCGTCGTAGTCGTCGTCTCGCTGCGTGCCGACGCGTCCCAAGCGGCAGGCGCAGCACAATGCCGTTGTCGTGCACTCACCCCGCAAACAATGGGCAAAGAGCCGCAACTTGAACCAGCGTGGTGAAGTATGGTCAAACACCCCTGCGCCCATCCCCATCCTTCACGGGCCTGCACGGCGTGCGTGTGATGCCTCATCTAGCAGTGGATTGGCCCCGGCGGCTGTTGCTGCTTGTGGTAGCGGAACGCGGGTAGCGCTACCAACACACGAGTTGTGACGATTCTCTTGAACCGGTAACCTGGGCCACCTCATCCCACCCCCTCCCCTCCTCCTCTAGGTCGACTCGGCCTAAACAAGTTACCCGGCGTAGCGGTGTGCAGTAAACGTCGCCACTGGGGAGACAAAGGCGGCCGGGCGTGGTGGTTGCTGGCCCACAACACCCACTACTTGGTGCACCTTCGCTAACAGCACTTGACCCAACATTCTGTTAAGGCTACACAAGGGGGAATCTTTATATTTGTGGTAGTTACAGTGCTGCGTCTACTGTACTATGTGCTCGGTAATGTGTGAAGCTGTGAAGTCGTCTTAACGCCTTCGTGGACGTGAGGAGGGCCGTGACGACGACGACTTATTACTTAGCACACACACACGTGTGTATATATACCGCGCCAAATTGTTACAGAGATAACAAAAGTGCTTTTGTGTCTGAGGCGGTCCGAATTTAGCGCGGGAATTGCGGTGCAAATGTTGATGCGACACGCGGCGGGGCCAGAGTCATCATCATCACCTCCTCCATCTCCTCCTCCATCACCTCCTCCTACATCTCCTACATCACCTCCTCCTCCTACATCACCACCTCCTCCTACATCACCTCCTCCTACATCACCTCCTCCTACATCACCTCCTCCTACATCACCTCCTCCTACATCACCTCCTCCTCCTACATCACCTCCTCCTCCATCTCCTCTATCACCTCCTCCTAATCACCTCCTCCTACATCACCTCCTCCTACATCACCTCCTCCAACATCACCTCCTCCTACATCACCTCCTCCAACATCACCTCCTCCTATATCACCTACATCACCTCCTCCTCCATCACCTCCTCCTCCATCACCTCCTCCTACATCACCTCCTCCTACATCACCTCCTCCTACATCACCTCCTCCTCCTCCAGACACTTCACGTCTCTTGTTGTCTTGGTGGCGTTCCGGCCTTCATAGGCGCTTGCCCCAACAGTCTGTTAAGGCTTATACGGTGGCGAGAGGGAGCGGTGGTGGTGGTGGTGGGTAGGGTGGGGGAAGGTGTGGATCCTTTGTCTTTATGTAAGGAGGATGATGAGGATGATGATGATGCGTTTCATTCGGATATAACGGCCCAAACGGCACCGTGGTACACCTCGACACACGCACACATAAACGCACACAATCGGGGCAGAGTTGTACGACGTGCTGGATATGATAACGACTGCGAAAAGCTACGCAGCTCTGCCGGTGTATAAGACGCAGTTGTTGTGGCCCGCAGTGCGTCTTATTCTCCGGTATGCGCTGAACCACATACGCGTTGTATGGTTTTTTTTCGATTACACAAACGTGGGGCGGGGGTGGGGGGGTGTGCATGCATCTTACTCTCCGGAACGAATTATAATCTAAGCGAGTATCGTTTATCGCGTTAATAATAATAAGTGTGTTTTAATTTTAATTCTCGTGGAGAATGAATGAGCGCCGGGTCTTTCTCCCAGCCGAGTCGATGTCATAAGCGCTCCGGAGCTCCTGGGCTATCGCGGGACCTCGTGGCGCAACGGTAGCGCGTCTGACTCCAGATCAGAAGGTTGCGTGTTCAAATCACGTCGGGGTCAACGTGGGCAATTTTTTTTCCAACTTTTTTTCCCCCCACCCACCTTAATTTACTTTTTTTGTAGTGGCCGTAGGTATTTTTTTATTTGTTCATATCTGGCGGGTTACCCAGTCGCAAGTGTCGTTCCGAATTGGAACAAAAAAATGTTACATTTATCCCCCCGACAAATGCGTGCGCGGGCAGACATGTTCATTCAGCTGTGTTTGCGCTTGGTGATGTGAGATCTGCTCACTGCCCAGGCGAGGGCGCTACTGGCTTGTATGGTGACTGAATTAACAGCCGGCTATAGAGAAATATTAATCGGAATCAGAATATGTATTTGTACTGGAGGAATCCGAAGGGCTATACAGCTATTTTTTCACAAATGTCCAGTAGGTTCACATATCGAGGGTGACATCTTCTGCACGATTGTTCAGGTGGCGGATTTGGAAGGATTTGGTCGGAGTTTCCATCAACGGAAAGATCCCTCCAATTAAAGGTAGATCAGCTGTTCGTCTTGGCAGTGTTCTCGGGGTTTGTCAACTGCGTGTATGAACCTGCGATATAAGGTACATGGCAGATCACGTGCATATACATTAACTACTGATGGTGATAGTAATCAGCCCCCCCTACTGCCAAATAAATGATATGGGACCCTCTTGAATAAGAGTTGTGAGACTCGGTGAGGCTTTCCTGGATCAGAAAGTGTAAGTGATAATAATAATATGCACTCGGTGAAAACTATGGTGTATTGCTTTTAATTAATTACAATTTCGAAAAGATATTCCTCGCTTATTGTCTGTCTCATTTGGGTCCCTGACCACCTTCAAAATAAAATTTTCATGCTGCCAACAGCACAGATTATTTTTTCCAGTGTCACCTGGAAACATTCTTTCCCGGGTCGTAACATTCTGCATAAGCATTCCACCAATAATTCGAGGGTTCGCTTTCATAGGTTATGGTTCCATCTTGGCTCTGAAAGGTCTATAAACATCCCACCACCAATGGTCCTGTATTTTAGATGTTTGGCCAGAACCAATGTAATTAATATTCTGTGTTGTGGGAGGGATTTGGAGCACTCCTAGAACACCTACCGTACATACGATAGGATAATCCTCAAAGGTCCACACCGATGGGTTTATAAACCTGCTTGCTCTACTCCCATCTGCTGGACATCTCGGAGCCTAGCAGGTTTTGGAAAATCACAAACCCTGTTTTAACGGGCCACCAACCCATGCGTCGAGCTCCGCTTGGCCAGTGACGCTGTTACCTGCACCGAGAAAGCAAAATCTCACGACTGTTGGTCATCGCTCCCTGCGCCTGTTTTATTCAAGTAGGGCGGGGTGGGACTCCCTCCCTTTGGCAACAGCCGCTACGACCAAGGAGCCCCTCGCTGGGGTTCACGTAACGCCCCACGCCTCTGGGAATGGGGGAGGGGGATACGAGGTGCTGCTGATGTCAGCGCGCCGACAGCTGTCCGCCCAGGCCCATGCTCGTGCTACCGCGGTGGATTAACTTCGGGCGACAGCACGCCCCCGTTTTGCGTCGGCTCTTCGGCGGAGGAGGGGAAACGCGTCGGTGGCGGCGGCGGCGGCAACAATGCCGGGCTTCGCAGAGGACCCACAGCTGCTGACGAAGGAGAAGCTCAAGCGGGAGCTCGTGGCGCACAAGGTGGCCCTGCCGGCGGGAGAGCACAAGAAGGAGGTGTACGTGCGGCTGTACCACCGGCACGTGGCTCCGACAGGTGGCGCCGACTTCTCGAGCGACGAGGAGGACGATAGCGCCACGCCGTCGCTGCACGGAGCGGGCGGCGGCGTCATGTCGTCGGATGGGGTCAGCAAGCCCCCCGGGGGTTGTGTTTTCTGCTCGGGCCGCTCTTACCGCCGTTTTGGTGTTGCTCTGCATGCATTTCTTTTTGTACTCTGCACGTGGGTGGCACTTACATCACGGCGTGCGCGACCGAGCGCGTGCGCCGCGGGTGTACCGTGCCAGCCAAATTTAGAGCTGCGGTTTTATGTAAGTGTGTCATGTGACCTGTTGATGCGGTGTGCGATGGTTGTTGTACATTGCTGAACTAGACATGGGCGGGAATATTCTCACTGTCGTCTGGTTTGACGTGCGTGATATTGATTTTCTTGTGACCAGATCGCCCTGATTGTGCCCGATCGCGTCGGATCTCGGATGCTAAGCAGGGTTGGTTACCTTTGCTGAGGCTGCAATGTACCCAGGAGATGGCAGTACAGCAATGGATCCTTGAATCTATTTGTGAAATGGGGGTTTTTTCGGGGTACTTAGGTCTCCCGCCTGCCAAACACTGATTAAGGGAATTGGCCAAATTCCCAAATGAGCTTCGAGATTCAGTCAAACCTTCCTGAAGGGGGCATATTTACGATTTAATATAATGCACGTGTTTTAAAGTAGCCGTATTGTCATTGATGAGCAGAAACGTATAATCTCAAACTGTCAGAAAACATCTCCAGTGTGCCGTGTGCATGATTATCATGGAATCTATTTTAAAATTCCAAGCCCTTTGAGATACCAAGAACTAAAATACGTTTCAAACATCTGATCTGACCTTGCATCAGAAGCACGCTGTGCTATAAGCATTTGCTGCTCCTGCAGCTGTGTTCTGACCCAGTTTATGACGAATGCCACATTGAAAGTGGTCATTTGCAGCAGGGGTTTCACTGATCTCGTGTAGCACTGTCAGCCGTGAAAAGCCACCGCTTGCGCCGCTGGAAGCTTGCCAGCCCGTGCAGGAGACAGGGCAGTGAATCTAGATTGAAAACGAATTTCTTTAGAACTGCTTTTTGTGTTTTAGTTTGTCCTTTACCCACACCTATTAGCACGGTTGGCTACGTACGGTGCGAAAGAAGTTTAACATGTACATACAAAGCTAATTTCTTGAATTGCTTTTTGTGTTTTAGTTTGTCCTTTGCCCGCACCTCCAATGAGCACGGTTGGCTAGGTATGGTGCAAAATAAGTTCTGCATACGTATTGCAAAATAAGTTCTACATACGTACTAAGCCATCGGTGGGTTCCACCCGGCATAGTGTTTGAAACGTGTTCACCGGAGAAGTGAGGGAAGCTCACTTTTACGACGAGCTGTGTCTATATATAAATGTCGTGGAATGTGAGGAGCCTGGTGGGACAGGTGGCAGGGCTCCCTCGCACTCGCAGGGTGCCTTGGGTGGACTATTTCAGCAGCCAAAATTAGGCGCTGCCTATCCTCAACACGTGCAAGTACGGCCCATTGTCAATCCACTGCTGGATGAGGGCCCATCCCACGCCGGGTGAATAACGAGGGTCATTTGACCGTGCTCGACCACGCTGGTCGGTGCGGGATCGTGAAGGTGGAGAGCATCCATGGAGGGAGCGTAGTACGGCACAACAATGGATTTTGCTGCACTGCTGTGTCCACCACGTAGTCCCACGTGTTTTTGCCCGGCTTTCGTGTGCTTCATTGCTGTACGTTGCTTAATTTGTTTTACTTATTGTCATTTTTGTAACTCGAGCGTCACCCTTGCACAACATATGAGACTATCCTGCTCTCTTTTGAGTTCTCATCTGGTTCAACAAAATCAACTTAAGCTTACCAGCAGCCTGCAGCTGTTCTTTTATGCATGGTGCGTGCCCATCCAAAGGCTAATCCTGGCTCAGTCTGCTTAGCTTCAAGATTCTGAAGAGACTGAGTGCCCACCGGGTGATTTGGTCATCAGTGTCACCTCTTAAACCTGCCTCTTTACTTTGCTTTCTAAGCATTGGGTGTGCTTTTGACACCTTTGCCCGCGTGTGGGTGGATGGATGGAGAAGTTTTCAGGAAGAAGTTATTTATTTGATCTCGGGGTGTTTTTCTGCCAACCCGACATCGATAGTCACTGCGCTCAAGCATGCTTTTGCCAAGTCGGTGTATTAGTGGCGCTGCTTGCATCATTGATAGCCGTGGTGTTCATTTTTTAAAAAACGCCAAGAACCTGGAAACAGGGAAGGTACCATCAAGTTGCATGTTTTGAAACTTGGATTTAACTTATTTTCTCGGCGATTTTCCAGTTCACACTTTGAACACTTCACGCATATACTGTATAATTTCTGTAATTGAAAACAAACTTAGACCGATAAGTTTCTTACTGTAATGTTATTGTTCATATCAAAACAATACTTCAATTCTATGACATCAAATTGAAAGTTTTTCTGCAGAGCTGAGTTGCTATTTTATTTAGTCAAATGTATTGCAGTCATTGTAGTTGACGGCGCATTAAACCGGGGCACCGCGTACATTCGGTCGGCGCTAATTTTGCTCGCAGACACGGATGTTTGTGAAACTGCTGCTCATGCTTTACCATTGCATTGTCCACGTGTGCATGTCTGTGGCTCGCTGGTGGCAGCCTGCCCTCGCTCGGTGTTTGCCGTGACACCCGTGCTGTAATCCACCACCTTCCCCCCCCCTCCCCCGGTGGTCGTCGCTGAGCAGGTCGGCACAACGAGTGACATGACAAGCAAGGTGGAGGTGGGAGGCCTAGACGTGGATGTGTCCTCGCTCTCCAACGCGGAACTCGCCAGGAAAATCAGGGAGTTTGGAGTCAGCCCAGGACCTATTGTCGGTAAGCCTGAACACAAACGCGCAGTGGCACCGTCGCGGTCGTTCTCGCAACAGCGGCTTTTTGGCTGGCCATCGAACAAAGACGGTTAGCGCATCGCGCGCTTTCAGATACACTTCTGCTGCTGTCTGGAACGCTCTTCCGATATTAGGAAGCCACTGGAGCAATGCACTTTTAAATCTATATTGAAAACTCATTTCTTTATAACTGCTTTTTCTGTTTAGTTTTTCCTTCCCCGCACCCCTCATTAGCACGGTTGGCTACGTATGGCGCGAAAGAAGTTCAGCATACATACGTATATGTAAATTCTAAACTAATACTATCTTTATTTTACCAGGTAAGGCCCATTGAGCTATATGGCTCTTTTTCAGAAGCAACGTTGGTAGCTCAACGAAGTGGCTTATCACGTGGAATTTTATTGCAGCCAAATAACTCTAATTCACTGTGTCCGAAATACTGCCCAAATTCAGATATGAACTCATTACGTGTTGTTGTGGTGCATTATAGATAAAATCTATATATATATAAAAAAAAGAGTCCATCGGCCTATCGGCTTTCCAGACCAATGTTATCGAGCAGCATTTGTTTAAGTGAGTTGCCAGATGTTATTGTCAAGAGCACTCTGTCTAAACGACGAGGCTCTGTTCAATACAAAAATCAGTATTGTTTCCTAAATTTTTTATACGTTTGTTGTGGAGCAGCATCGAGTAAAATTTAAATCTAAAATTTAGTTCCGTCTCGAAACATACAGGGAGGGAAAAAAGTTTTTAATCCCCTGCTGATTTTGTATGTTTGCCCACTGACAAAGAAATTATCAGTCTATAATTTTAATGGTAGGTTTATTTGAATAGTGAGAGACAGAATAACAACAAAAAAATCCAGAAAAGTGCATGTCAAAAATGTTATAAATTGATTTGCATTTTAATGAGGGAAATAAGTATTTGACCCCCTCTCAATCAGAAAGATTTCTGGCTCCCAGGTGTCTTTTATACAGGTAACGAGCTGAGATTAGGAGCACACTCTTAAAGGGAGTGCTCCTAATCTCAGCTTGTTACCTGTATAAAAGACACCTGTCCACAGAAGCAATCAATCAGATTCCAAACTTTCCACCATGGCCAAGACCAAAGAGCTCTCCAAGGATGTCAGGGACAAGATTGTAGACCTACACAAGGCTGGAATGGGCTACAAGACCATTGCCAAGCAGCTTGGTGAGAAGGTGACAACAGTTGGTGCGATTATTCGCAAATGGAAGAAACACAAAAGAACTGTCCATCTCCCTCGGCCTGGGGCTTCATGCAAGATCTCACCTCGTGGAGTTGCAATGATCATGAGAACGGTGAGGAATCAGCCCAGAACTACACGGGAGGATCTTGTCAATGATCTCAAGGCAGCTGGGACCATAGTCACCAAGAAAACAATTAGTAACACACTACGCCGTGAAGGACTGAAATCCTGCAGCGCCCGCCAGGTCCCCCTGCTCAAGAAAGCACATATACATGCCCGTCTGAAGTTTGCCAATGAACATCTGAATGATTCAGAGGACAACTGGGTGAAAGTGTTGTGGTCAGATAAGACCAAAATGGAGCTCTTTGGCATCAACTCAACTCGCCGTGTTTGGAGGAGGAGGAATGCTGCCTATGACCCCAAGAACACCATCCCCACCGTCAAACATGGAGGTGGAAACATTATGCTTTGGGGGTGTTTTTCTGCTAAGGGGGCAGGACAACTTCACCGCATCAAAGGGATGATAGACGGGGTCATGTACTGTCAAATCTTGGGTGAGAACCTCCTTCCCTCAGCCAGGGCATTGAAAATGGCTCGTGGATGGGTATTCCAGCATGACAATGACCCAAAACACATGGCCAAGGCAACAAAGGAGTGGCTCAGTAAGAAGCACATTAAGGTCCTGGAGTGGCCTAGCCAGTCTCCAGACCTTAATCCCATAGAAAATCTGTGGAGGGAGCTGAAGGTTCGAGTTGCCAAACGTCAGCCTCGAAACCTTAATGACTTGGAGAAGATCTGCAAAGAGGATTGGGACAAAATCCCTCCTGAGATGTGTGCAAACCTGGTGGCCAACTACAAGAAACGTCTGACCTCTGTGATTGCCAACAAGGGTTTTGCCACCAAGTACTGAGTCATGTTTTGCAGAGGGGTCAAATACTTATTTCCCTCATTAAAATGCAAATCAATTTATAACATTTTTGACATGCGTTTTTGTGGATTTTGTTGTTGTTATTCTGTCTCTCACTGTTCAAATAAACCTACCATTTAAAATTATAGACTGATCATTTCTTTGTCAGTGGGCACACGTACAAAATCAGCAGGGGGATCAAATACTTTTTTCCCTCACTGTACAGAAACAAACATTTCAGCAGATCAACTTTTCAGATATATTTTACCGAATAGAATTTGTTTAAGCGAGCACAATCTGAACCAGTTCCCACTTCTGGTTTCTCATCAGCAATCATGCTTGTTTAAATGAACGAGTAGAGAACCTGTTGGTCTGCAGCAGGAAATAAGAGGCGGCTGTCATTTTCATTCTCTTCTCATAATCCTCCTGTTTCCTCGGAGCACTAGAAGCATTCCACTTCTTTACAGAATAAAATTACAAGGTAACATGTATTGTGAAGTTAATATTGTTTATTTTCTGGCGAACGAATTACATGCATAGAAGAACAAGTTGAAAAGTTTGAGCAATTTTAAATTAACCATAGCAGTCCCTGTATTCGTTACTCCGACCTTTTGGTGTCGCTATCTATTATGAAACCTTTTCAGAACTCTTTCCGCCGATTCAACTCAATGTTTATTTGTAACACTGAAAATCCCTGGCGAGTTTTGGTGGCAATGGCTCACAGCCACTAACAGCAGAATTATTGTTGGGGTGGGGAGTAGCCCAGCCCAGCGGCCAGCTAGGAAACTCGAGGGATAAATTATCATTTTTTATAGACGTATGATGCTGCTGACAGTGACTCCACGAGTGGGGCAGTGAGCCCAATCTCCTCCGCTTCCTACAACCCAGGAGCACCGAGTTTGGGGCTTTGGTCCTTAAAATTTCTGTACCCCCCTACCTGCTTTGTTACGGTTCGTGCCTTTTTATACTGGGCTCTTTCGTCAAATAAAATAAAAACACAATTAAAAAAGATAAGTATGATGCTGCTGACGGGTTGCCAGACGTGATCGTCGAGATGTGGTCCCACCACACCTCTCTCTGTCTACCTCTCTCTCTCCCAACCACTGGCACCGTTGCGGTGCAGCCACGACGCGCAAGCTCTACGAGAAGAAGCTGCTGAGGCTGCTGGAGCACGGCGACGCCGCCCCATCCACGGCAGCCGCCGGGAACTCGGGCGTCAACGGCAGCCTGCAGGCCGATCGCTACAGCGACACGGAGGAGGACGAGGACGAGGAGGAGGACGAGATGGCAGAGGGTGAGTATGACGATGATCACGTGGGGGCCGCGGTGACTTGCAGCCTGTGTGCAAACTTGTGGCACTCTGCTGTGAAATTGTATTTGTTTTTCTGGCTCAGTTGAATTTGTTCACAGATTTGTTTCGTTGTCGCCGTTGTTGTTAGTTTACGAACAAACTGGAGAAGAAACTGAAAAAGCAATTCAGACGTCTTTCCTGTCGCCCTTCACAACGCACTCTACCAAGGTCTGTATGCAACTCTTAACGATAGCAAAACGTACATACGTGTGTCTTTGTGTGGTTAGCGTGTGCCGCGCTACGAATCTGACAACCCGAGTTCGATTCCCGCTCGCGGCCAACATCGGTTTTGAATATATTTTAACTGGTCCTGGGCCTCAAATGACTACCTTGCTCGGTCATAAACATCGCCACTCGGGAGACAAAGGCGATCGGGCATGGTGTTGGACACCCACCCCATTGTGTGCCGTGCCAGCCTTGATAGTTGCTCGCTAACAGCACTTTCCCCAAGTCTGTTAAGGCTACACAGGGGACCTCTGTCTCTGTGTGTGCACACCATATTTTCCAGATTGTCAGACACACTTTATTTTCCTGTATTTTAAACCCAAAAAGTTGTCGTGCCATCTCTTAACCCGGCAGCTCTGCGCCTGTGTGCCATCACATTTGCATAACCATATGGTCACAGGGCAAAAGTTTGGGGGGCGTGTTGCGTCTTTACTGTCCGGAGCGTCTTATGATCCGGAGACTCCTGTAGACACGGCAAGATTTTACCACCCACAGAAAAGCCGGAAGCTGGATTGCTCCTGCACGTTGGCACCGGGAGTAGGGGTGGTCCTAGGCATTGTGACCGCCTGCCCCGCACGGTGGCAACGGGGAGAGGAGGTGCGGGGGAGAGTCCTAGCCTTTGCGACCGGCCGCACATTTTTCTTGCGGAGCTCACGTACCATGGTGCTTTGTTGGTTTCACACAGGAAAACACTTCTCCCGGACCGTCGCAGGACAGCCCCACGGGGAGGCCGGGCCTGGTGTCTCTGCACCGGCGAGCCATTGCCCATCAGATGGCTCTGGCCGTTAGCGGTGCTAACACCGACATAACAACAGTGCGTGCGGCTCCCAGCTACTTCGCTCCTGATTTTGCCTTTCAGGAGATTCTCACTACTCTCTCTTGGTCTCTTGCACTTCGGTCTGTGTGTGTGTGCGCTTAGCTGGTGCCCTGGGGCTGGAAGTGTCACAGCCAAATCTCTTTTGCTATTTGAACACACGAGGTCACAGCTTCTGCTCGAATTTCGCCCTCTTTACCTGTGTTTTTGTGTTGTTTTTTGCCCTAGGTTTGGGCATGGTCTCACAGCGCTGTGAACTCTTCCTACTTTTTGCCACTTTAATGGGTTTTTTTTTGGGTGCACAAATGGTGTGAAGTACAGTCGGCAATCTCTCCGAGGCTTTGTGGAAAAAAAATTGATGACCCACGAAATCTAGCGGGCAGATTGATTGGATGGAAGAAGTGAAAAGTTAAGTTCGTTGCATGGCAATATATGAGCATTCCATTGAAGCCAGTAGATATTCTCTTTGTAAAATGTGAATGTGGGTTATCAACCTTCTCCAGAACACACCTCGGTTGATTACAGAATATGAACATCCAAACATTGGCAAAACTATACACGAAACTATACACAACTTTTCGGCTAGTGCGGTTTTTCGGGGTCTCTGGCCTGAAGATCTGGAACGAGAGTTACCAGCTCACGTTCGGGATCCATCCCTGAGTCTGAGCTGGTTTAGCAAGGGACTTAAAACAATGTTGTTCCAAAGAGCTTACCACGTGAAAATAGTGCGCTATAGTGATGGACTGCACTCGTAAGAATGCACAATAAGAAATGCTCACACTTTCTTACTTGCTAAGCAGTGTCTAACCAGCCTGCCAATAAAATAACTTATGAAGATTGCACTGAATTGATCAAACTGCGAAGATTGCGCTCGATTAACGACTTGCGAAATATTACGCTTAATTACTTGCGCGCTTTCCTGGCCGCAAGCGTAGTCGTCCATGCGGAGGGTTTTGATTGTCACCGTCACCGCCGTCGTCTCTCGCCCTCTCTCTCGCGCGCGCGCGGTGGTGGTGGTGGTGGTGAGGGGTCGGCGTGGGTGCAGAGGTCGTTGACTCTTTGCAGGCGAGCACCCCGTGCACGATGCGGCGATGCAGCTTGCAGCCCACCGGCCTGGACGACAACTTTGACATCTCCCTGGTGACTGCGTGAATGACGGCTTGCTTGTGTCGCTGTGCTCCCACGGTGGAGCTCTCTCAACCTCTCTCTTTTCCCCGCCTCGCCCGACCCGCTCACACTTCCTAACTGCGCGTGGTTTATATTTCCAGCAGAGGTTGAAATCTCGTCCCTCCGTACCGTGAACAGCGTTAAGTTATTTTGTTTTGGTCTAGAATTTTTGTGTTCAAGATTATCAAAGCCAGGGGAGGTGCGATGTTTGGATCTCGAATGAGGTGTTCATTCTGGACGTTCGCATTGTTCTCACTTCGCCAGCGTTCTTCTGCATCCAGGCGAGATTCTAGGATGGTGACGATGCGATCTGAGAAGGGGGGGATATCGAGACTTTGAGTTGGTGGCGAGGTACATTGTTGAGGTTTTGGTTGATGGGCAGGTGGTTGTCGTTTGCAAGGAAACGTGTCAACTCCTTTGCGGTTTGCACGGGTCTGCTACCAGTTGATTCTGATCATCTCCTACGCCAACCCTGCCGACGTCAAGCGTCAAGTTTGACGAGACCAAATTTGCAGGCGACCGAGGACCATTGTTTGTTCTGCGCAAATGTTGTTCTACATGCTATGAAACTTGGATCAGAAACACGGACGTTGACAACAACAAAAATGGAGCGGAAGGTGAAAAGTGCGCAAAGAAGCGTAGGAATTGCAGCGAGAGACAAGAACATTTCATCGGGGAACAGACATGGGTGAAAGTTGGCTTTGGCAGGACATCGACTTAGAAGGCACGGCATCCGGTGGTCAAGTCTAGCAACGGAGTGGCAGCCAAACGAGAGCACGCACCCAACGGGGATGTCCAGAACAGCGATGAAGTGATGAGATCGGCTCACGCGCACGAGGCCAGGTGGATCGACGCGTCACGTGACCGCGAGAGATGCCGACGGCTTGGCTATGCCGTAATCTAATCCGGCAGTGGGGATAGTACCCTGGCTGATGGTGATAATGATGAAGAGCGGCTTGTAGGATGGGCTCTGGCTGAATTGTAGTGCTTGTTGCGCACGCGTGCTCAGCTGTCCGAGGGCCTGGAGCAGCGGTTGACGGCAGCAGCGGCCTCCGCCGTGCCTGACAGCCTCTCCTCGTGCGGTGGCACCGTTTGGCAGAGGCCGTCCATCAAGCAAGACGACCGCCGCACCGCGTCGGACTGGGAGCCTTGGTTCTCGGCAGTAATCGCACCGTCCTTGCCATCTCTCCTTCCATTTCCGCGCCCGCCCAGGAGTCATAATTTTCCCGAGCTCGCAGCCTTGCGTGCCACGTGGCGCTGCTGCGATATATATATATATATCGTATGGTGTAAGGTCCACGATAATCGTAGCGATCGTCCGCTTATATCGGTCGCGATCGTCGTGGCTCGTCGACATTTTTCTTCCGCGACGAAATTTTTACGAAATGACGAATTCAAGTTCACAGTAACAACAACTGCTACTGATTGACGGCAAATGTGTGCGCGCTTAGAAGCGTTAAGATTTAAAACTTTTAGCTCTTGAAGGCTTAGGAGAGGCTTGCCATGGTTTGCCGCGCGACGCCGGCGCTGTAGAAGTTGTAGCAATTATGTTGAGCGATCCGCATTTAAATGAATTAAGCTAATTTAATTCGTATAGGTTTCAGTAACGAATGTGAATTATTATTTTGCGGAGAGGATTCCACAGCATAGGGTCACATGACATGCTGCTTTTGTTGTCTGAAAACTGGCGCACAAATAGGTGTATTAGCTTTATGGATAGATTACATTTTATTAACAGTTGAGAGCCCAAATGGACGAACAAATCCCTCAAATGACATCGGTTAACTATTGCCAATGGGTTAGTTCGTTTGCATTTTTAAGAATAGCCTTCAATGTCAATTCTGTATTTTTTTAAATATCCCATTTTTATAACAACAAAACATTTTAATCCACGGAAGCGACCTGGCACGTATTTGGAAAGCGTGTTCCAGCAGGTCTTTAAACGAGGCTTCAAACTACCTAATGCATATCGGTATCAGCAAGTTTATATTTTGTGAGCAAACGTAGATTTGTGCCAGCACTGTAGGGGCCTTTCCACCAGACCTCCCTGACTACTGGATTTGTGTGGAGGACTTGAAGGCTTCCCAGCCATAGACAAGAACCTCTTGTACATTTTATTGCCTTTTTATAGACTCACAGGGCCACACCCCCTACTCCCCCCCAATCAAGACATTGTAACTATATTCTGGCCAAACAAATGAGTAAAGCAACATTTCTATACATCTGTACGCAGCTATATATATTACAACAATGCATGTACTGATAATCGCTTGCATCCCGCACAGAAAGAAGATTTTGTGTCGGTGCGGCGCCAGAAAAAGCTCGACAGCCTAAACGTTTCCCACCTCGTAGGGCAGGCGAGTACTTGACGCTTGTACAAAAGGCAAGGGGCTATGTTGATCAGTGCGCCCGAGCCTGGTCCAATCTTGGAAGCTAAGCGGGATTAGACCCGGATAGTGATTGGATGGGCGACCACCGTGTGTTACAACAGGTGTCGAGGGTGGCCAGTGCCACAAAATCCTATTGTATTGTACGTCTACGCTCCCATTCATTGTTGGACTGTGCTTCTGTGCTCTGCTTCCAACTTTGATGACCCCCCCCCCCCCCACGCTCTCCAGTGTTGTGAATCGTGGTGAAATAACGAACGGGCCCGCACGGCATGTGCAAGGCCTTATTCCAGCAGTGGATCGACAAGGGGCTGTAAATCTACACGATGGCATTTCATGGTGGCATTGCTGTAACATTAGCCTTCGTCGAAATCATCAAAGTGGGAGGACCGCCAGACTGTCGTAAAGCAAATGTGTGGGGGGTGGGGGGGAGAACTTACGTAGGTTCTGGACTGAACTGTTCTTTGTTTTTTTCCTCCCGTCCGCTCGCCTTCTTAAACACCCCCCCCACAGTTTGACAGCAAGAACATTTCTCCAATAGAACGTTCCCTTTCCAAGAGCGATTCCGGCGAAGGGCTCTGCGAGCTGGACACGGCCATGATGCAGGTTATGTCCTTTTAATGCGAGCGCCCCCCCCCCCCCCCCCCCCCCGTACCCCCGCTCCCGTTGATTGCGGCGGCGTCGTCCTGACGCCTGACCGGAGCGTTGGGGGAAACGGCGCTCGCTGACGTTGTCTAACCTCCCTGCAGGGAAGATCGTCCGAGGACATTGCAGCGATGCAGGAGCGCAGACAGAAACGTGCAACTCCTTGCACCCTTAAAGGCCAAGCCCACCAGAGCAAAAACTTTGCGGTACTCTCGCTCGGCCCGATTGCTCACGCTGTTGTACAGCTCTCCGATGTGTTTTCGGGTCGTGCCGCACGTGGCTCTGGTAAAACGATGGCCCCGAGGTTTCGATTCCAAGAGAAAGGGAGCTTCTTCAGGAAGTTCTGAAGGAGCTCTCAAGCACGTGGTACTATCCGAACTACACGCCAGAGGGCTCTTGAGTTGTTGCTTTACGACGGTTTTTTTTTTCCTTCGCACAGCGGCTTCTTCACGTGTGTCCTGTCTGCACGTGCGAGCGGTCGCGTCACGCGGGGCTTATTTTCCCGACACGGTGGAGGGGGCGTTTTTTTTTGCTTCCGCGGTCACGCGTTGCACAAGCCGCGGCGGCGATGGCTTGGGGGGGGGGGGGGGGGTGGTTGCCGTCGCGCTTTCCGCCGACGTCCGGGGCCTTCCCATGGTCAAGGCCGGTGCGTGCTTGTGCCCTGGGAAGGGCAGAGCTGGGCACGGCCAGCTGCCACTTTGCAGTGGCAACAGTGGAGAAAAGTCAATTCTGATGTTGCGCAAGCCGTTTGTTCACTTGTGGGGGGAACGAAAAGGTTGTGGGGGTTTGGGTGCCGAGTAACTCGAGCCGAAACTTTGGGCATCGATTCCTAAATGTGCACAACGGGTAATTTGCTCCGACAATTGTAAAACGCGCTGCAGTTATGTTCTGGCCTGTGATTGCAACTTGCTGCTGTGCGCCGATGCCTTATTTCAGCTGATATGGTTTGCGAGTTTTTTTCCATGTTGCTGTATGGCCCTATTATTTTTCGTCGTAGCGCATTGCTCTCGTATAGTGTGTCCTGCGTAATGTGATGCGCGCGTCACAGCTTGGAGCGCTCAAGTTTTCTTTGTGCATTACAGCATGACCGTATCACCTCCCCCGAACGTGCCCCAATCTCGTGAGATCTAGGAAGCTTAAGCAGGCCTTAGGCCTGGTGGAGAGGCGCTTGGATGGGTTTCCACCATGCACGGACAGGTTTTCATAGAGTTGCGGGCAATGAAGCAAAATCCGTCGTCGTTCTGTACTGTGTTTTCCACACCTCTGCTGCTTACACCAGCCTGCATTGACGGGCATGGTGAATTACGTTCAAATAACTCCCACGGCCCATACACATGGCATGGTGAAGCCCTCGTCCAGCAGTGGGTTAACACAAAGGACTGTGCGCGTGTGAACTTCGACATTCATAGGTGTGCCGCATGCTAACGGCACTTGTATGTATGTTGAACTTCTTTCGCACCGTGCCTAGCCAACCGTGCTAATCGGACGTGCCCGAAGAGGTCTGTACAGGCTACACGGGGGGATCTTTGGTCAGGGTTGAGGCCGGCCTACCTGTGTTGGCAGATGAACCACTCTGCACGTGTGCCCTGTGTAATCCTGTGGCTGTTGTCTCCATTGTTGTCTCTTCAGGACTTGAAGCTTGGTGGAGGCAACGATGCAGACTTGTTTATTTCGCCGTCAGGAATAAGGTGAGGCGGGCGCTGCCACACGTCACGTTTTTTTAGTTTTGCCAACAAATGTGACGTTGAGTTTTGTTGCGCAGTTGCCTTCTGGCGCTTATCATCATCAACCAGGATCAATCCACTGCTGGGTGAAGGTGTTGTTGCCACCTCTCGTGACCCTACGATAAAACAATCCACCTAATACCTGCAAACTAACCGATTTCATCGCTCCCATATCCTCGGTGTACGTACTCTCGGATGCGTCCCATACCTTACCCGCCACTCCGTAATTATTAATCGAACATCGGCTGTCATCCGTCTGATTGATGCGTCCTGCCAAGCCCCATATTACTTTTCTCAATCATACGAATGATGGCATGAAACCTGCCTGTGCCCTCGAATCCACGTGTTGTTCTTTTTCTCAATGTATTTCCAAGCATAAATCTCTCTTGCCTCTTGTATTGCCCTGCACGGCAAGTCTCTCCCTTGAAGGTGAGACTCATGGTCGCGTGTGGCTCTCGCCTGTTTTCTGCGAATGACTTGAGAATCTCGCAGCATGTGCCGGCATTAACGAGGGCAAATATCAGCCGTTAGTGCCAAGAGCCTTAAACTCTCGACCGCCTTGCGACACCACTCGTAAGTTTTAAGATTGAAGACATTTTCACAATTGTTTTGGGGGGGGGGGGGGGGGGGGGGGGGGGGGGGGGGTTTATCGATTCGTCGATGAATATATCAGTACTTTAAGCTCACGGTACAGGCGTCAAATTGTTTCGCGCAAGAGTCTGTTTTTCAATTCGTGTCTGTTGTAAGTAAGGGGTTCTTGTTCTCCCCGTGCAGCAGCTGGAGAGTCTACATTGGCTAAAACATAAACATTTATACTCTTATTGAATCTTGGCTCCAAAAATCATCGCCGGGATGTGATGTAACGTTTCACCTCTTGTCCTGGTTGTTGCCGTGATCCCATTTTTTTGTATTCCTAGCGAATATTTGCTTGGGTACATTTTAACCGGAACTCTTAACTCGGTCGATTCGGCGTATTTCCAACGTTGCCGTATCACCGCTAAAATGTGAACGGGCGAGGTGTTGACAAGTGAGCACACTCAAAAACCCGCGCTACTCTGTCAGCGCCCCGGTGGTTACCGGGCACGTACCAGAACTGTGCCAAAGGGTATCGGTGACGATGTGCGAGCTCGTTTTAATAGTCTTGCTTGCTCATTCATAATCTTTCAGTAGTGATGTCACTGCCCGTTTCACAACTTCCCCAGTGCGTCCGTGACAGACCGTGATGAAACGTTTGGGTCGCTCGCGGCCGGAAGTGGTGGGGGGGGACTCTCCGTGCACTTTGCTCCTGTTCGCTCGCTGTGCGTAACACGTGCCCGTTTTCAGCAATTGGGTTGATTTATGGTTCCCACTTAAAGGGACTTAATGCTTACTTTACTAAATTAATTACATTTTCACAGCCCTTTTGCTAATCAACTGCACAACGATTGCCCTCCTGCACCGTATCATTGGCCATGGTGGTTGTTTGACCATACTTCACCACGCTGGCTCGTGCTAGTTCAAGGTGAGGGGGGGGGGGTCCCAGGACAAGTTCAGATATCGCTCACCGCTAATGTTTGCCTTGGCTCGGATTATAACTCGGGTGGCTCGGGTTTATAGCGCGCTCCGCTCACCACTGTGCTACCGCCTCACCGCACACATTGTGTTATCTTCTTTCGTATACCTATGTATGTATGTTGAACTTTTTTTTGTACCGTGCGTAGCCAACGTTGCTAATTGTAGGTGCGGTATACATGGCTGATTGCCAAATCAGTGTTAGAACTTGGCACGTAATGATGCATCGGTCAGACGGTTTTGTATACTCATCATGGATGCATGCATTCATTAATGTGTATACGAATTGATTATTTTCCAATCGTACACTCCCATGTAATGAGTTCCTGTGACCTCTGCAGCCAATTAGAGGTGCTAAATCGCCACTGTTTAAAAAAATAGAAAACTTTTTAAAAAGTCAATTGAGACCCCCACTCCCCAAAAATATATTGAGAATGCGTTCACTCACAAGGGGCACGAATCGCCGTCACATGTCTAGCGGGAAGCAATTACACCAAGGGTCATCGGTTAGCTTCGTAAGGTCATTTACTATAATTGTTATCATTACTACTACCCGTTCGTTATTACAGCCGGTACCGCGAGACAGGTGAGGCGGAGAACGCAGGTGCAGATTATGGAGACCTCGTCATTGACTTGTAAGAAAATCAAATGAGTGTTAACAGGACCCGTCACTCGATGATGCTGACATTTAAGCATATTTTATGACCATGAGGTAACCCTCGCAAGATGTTTTGCACCGGTTCCATCGTTGTTTGGGATCATCAGCACAGCGTCGTATCCCCTGCCACCAAATGTGGTTAGGGGGTAGGGTGGGACTGCATCAAAACCAGTTCAACCGTATCATACACCTACACAGGTACACAGGATAAACAAGTCTGAGTAGTTCGCTACTCAGATGAGTGTGAGGTGGTGTCATATCCTGTTTGCAACCCTGAGGTAATCGTGGAAATTCCACGTTCGTGTGGCGTGGGCGAGTTGCCCAATAGACCAACCGATGCTGCCGTAAAAAATAAAATAACTTGTTTTGTTCGCATTCACGATCCGCGGACTGCACGCTGTCCAGCGTAGCTGCACATGCCACTCTGCCGGACACACGGTCAATACGGAAGTCACTCTTGGTCTCGGTGGGTGGCTTTATCATCTTCATTATCGTGAGCCGTGGTCTATCCACTGTTGATGAAGGCCTTGCTGAGCCGTCGCCGTCCCTCTCGCGCTGCTGCGATGCCACGGGCTCTCTCCTGCCCAAGAGCCGATCGCGTAGCTCCGTCTCCGCTGGTCTTTCCCTTAAGCGTCTTCCCTCGTTTGGCTGCCAGTCCCGTCACCAGTCTTGTCTGCCGCCTGTCATCCATCGTAGCAATGTTTCCTGGCCAGGCCTACTTGTTTTCCAGTGGATTGACCATGACGATGACGATGATGATGATGGTGGCGGGGCGACCTCACCGAGCTCTCCCGTCTCTACAGCGCCACTCGACGGCGCCCAATCCGCGGCTGCGCCCAGGACGGCTGGGGCGGCTTCTCCCCGGACCCGGCGTCCAGATCGTCGCTCGGCCTCGGCGCCTCCCCCGTCTCCCGCCCCCGAGGGCAGGGCCCCATCGCGGGACCCGTCCACGAGGCGGCCGCTTCCGCCGGGCCGCTGGCGGCCTCCGTGCCCGTCTGGGCGCGGTTGGTCGCCTTCGTGGTGGCGTGCGCGTTCATCGCGCTCGTGTACTACGCCTTCGAGGAGAACGTCCAGCTCTCCGGCCCCTTCGAGGGGGCGGCCGACGCGGCAACGGTGGCTGCTGCGGACGGCGGGAACGATGGCGGCGGAGTGACGATGGCAGAGTGAATGTCGCCCCCCCCCCCCCCCGTTCATCCTCCTGACCCCCCCACCCCTCCTGTGCTCCGCCGTTTAGAAGGGGCTGTGAGAGGAGTGGGGGGGGGGGGAGGTCGCTTTGAGATGGAAGTCTCGGTATCGAGGGAGGCCCGAGGCCAAGCAACCTCAAACAACTACATTTGACAACTTCAATAAAGTAGTAACCGGCTTCGTTCAGTGTTAACGTTATACTTAACATAAAAAAGCTGCATCGTTGTGGGGTTTTTGTTAATATCCACGTACACAAGGCAAATGCACATGCCTCTTGCATGTTCACAGGTTTGCTCTCTGCACTCGACCTGTTGTGTACCACGACTGATCATATTTGGCGTCGACATTTCAGAAGCGGGCAGCCTTCACCCTTCCCCTCTCCCCCCTTGTTGCTCTGGAATCAGCTGGCTTCTAAGCGCCAATTGCCTCTCCTTGTGCTGCTGCGAACGAACCAGGTGTGAGGCTGTGTGCTTGGCTGTGTGTGTGCAGCTCCACAGGGGCCTTGCAGCGCTGTATGCAGTCGAGGCTTAACAAATCGCATCGATCTGCCAATATTGATCCTTAAGCTTGCGGCACATGCACAGAAGCGGCATGCATAAACAATCAATGTTTTTCAATTTGTATTTTATGTAATGGGTTCACGTGACACCCCCTCCTCTCACCGCCTAGCAGCCACCAGTGGCCGCTACATTCACCAAAGTGCAAAGATATCGATTAATTTCATCGTTGGAGTCCTATGCCACCGCAAATACCGCAGAGTAGCTCGGGGGGGGGGGGGGGTACCGTAGGAGTCCATTCCCAATCCTTACAAGTAGCGCTGCGAATCGATGCAGAATCGCAGACGGGCTTGGGAGAAGAAAATCCGGGCCTTTCCCCCGCCTTGATTTTCCACTGGTGGCGGCTTGCCGAACCCATTCAACGCTTAATCCCACCGAGCTCCGGAGAAAGATCACGTTTCTGCGAAGTGCAGTGCTGCACCGGTTCTGCAGTGCTTGAGTGGGACGTTTGTAGCCAGGGCCTGTGAAGTGTGTTCGTCGACTTGTTGATTGTGAGAAAGCGCCGTGTTGTTTTGGAAGAGTCCTCCGGTGTTCTGGCAGCCAGTGGGTCTCGTACATCCGAGCAGCAGTTCGTGTGCCAGGTTTGCGAACGTGGTTAATTGGAGGAAGCACATTACTGTATTTATTTTGGCAGTGGTAGGTTTTTGTATGTTTCATAGTTATTTCTTTGGATGTAGTTTTCATTGTAGCTGTGTGCTTCAGTGCTTGATAACATTTGGTAAAGGTTTCACAGGGTTGCTGGTTCATTTTTCTCAATTGATCCAACACTGCAATTATCATTTGTAGTTACATTTTTTCGTCGAATTCAGCTCCATCACCGTTACCTACATTGACCTGGTTATTGGAGCAGGACGGTGGCTTAATACTGTTATAACTTATAGAGAGAGTGGAGCGCATATTCATAATTTACAACAATGACATTGTTTATGTGCTCCCATTTCATTCCATAATGCACCGCTCATAATGAAATGTGCTTTTATGTACCACCTGCTTCATCGCACTGACTGCTAAGCGTCAATACCTGCGTCGTTGTGTGTCGATTGTTACTCGTCGTATGCGACCGGTGAGCATGACTTGCCCCACGAGGTGCAAGTGTAAAACAATAATCCTAAATTTAAATGACTTGAAGTTGTCATCAACTCCGTTACACCTGGACTGGGTGGAGTTCAAAGTCGGGCTTCTCTGAACAAAACAACATCCACCTTTGGTGCTGAATGCAGGTGATACAATACGGGTAAAGAATGCCTCCTACCCCTTTATTTCCTATGAGTATATTCATAGCTTCAAAGACGGGGGGGTATAGGCAATTTCTGCCCCGTGCGATGTTAAACCAATTAATGGGCGTTTTAAAATATTAAGGCTGTACTTTTGGTGGTAGCTTGTTTGTGTTGATGTTGTCTGATGCCTTTTTCGATGCTTTTTGTTGTCACCGAATCCTAAATAATTTTAGATTCTTCGTACCTAGTAACTTTAGGGAGTGCGCACACACAGACACACGAGTGGAGTTGTCACAATTTGAGCCATACATTTCAACGCAGTATTGTTTGATATTTTGAACTTAATAAATTGTACGCAGTTAATGTTTGAGTTGAGACGACGCCACATTTTTTTGTCTCGCACTTGCATTTTAATCTGTGATCAAATCGCCGAATGTGCCCGATATTTTTCAGTTTCCCCAGAAGCCAAAGCAGAACTGCGCCTGGATAATGCTTTTGGGTGGGAGAAATCCGGACACAGCAGGTGTTATAGGCTACTGCGACGCTACGTTATGGACAACAGAGGGCAGTGCATCATCACCAGGATCCACAGGGGCACATGGGTAGTTACAATCGGGGAGATCGCCTTTTTTTGGGCAGTACAGTCGAGGAATCCTATTTATTCTGTACCACATTTCTGTGCCCTGCATTCACCAACTCGCAATGAGCCAGCGGTGGTGAAGTGTGGCCAATTAACGCCCACGACCCACGCGGTGGCATGGGCCCTCATTCAGCATTGGATTGACAATCGGGATGTGCATCCGATTTGTCTTCAATTGCGAATCATTCCACGGCGTGGAATATTTGTTTTCAAAAGGGTGCCTGGCCTACGTGCGCGACGTGGTAACCCGCGACTGACGAAGCCCCTCCCCCTGTATTTTAATGCAAATTTAAATATGGGTGTGACGCACTCCATCTTTATTTTTTGGGTGTGCTACGTGGAACTTATTTTTGTATGCAAAAAAAAAGATTGTTGGGTGATGGAGGCTTGTGAATGGACGAGACGAACTTTGTTTAACCTATAACTACCACGTGGCCTAAAACACAAATACACACCCTTGTATTGACTACGAAAACGTATCAATCGTTCGAACGCGACGAATCGGAACACTTAAAACGCATTACACACAGGCTGGTGGTGGTGGTTGTCATCGGTAAATAAATTTATTGTTGCGATTTAACGCACAGTAGTAACAAGACTAGAGATGCTGGCAAGTATACAACGATACGACCAGGTATTACAATGCAACCAGGTGTTATCCCCGGGGGCACATTCACAACACTCGCTGCCTTCTATTAGATGCGACACGCACAAGTGGCGTCAGCTCTCAAGTGTGCAGGCGGTGCAACTGTACCGGGGCCCAGATTCCGTAGCTGCAGGGGCAAAGGGGAGGGAGGGGGGGGGTGTCACTAGGGCCCATGCTCACCACTATACACCATTGGTATCAATGCCTCCAATTTGCTTCAAGTATTAGATATCGGTAAACAGCGACGGTTTTTTTGTTGTAAACCTATATCACATCTGCACATCGGGTATTAAAAGAAAGCAGCCGTTTAAAAGTGAGTATTAAAACTATTGTACATATGTAATGGTCAATTGAGGTAGACATGCTAATCTAGTCGTGTTAACCTGTGACAATTGTTCATCCAGCGCTCGGAGGACAACAGTCGTCGACTACGCGTTCGTCACAATCGTGCCTTGATAGAAAAAATTAATGTGAAACCCGCAGAGAGAAACACAAAAAAATGTAAGACAAGGTGTGGGACTTTTTTTGATTCAAAGCTTTCGTTTCCCTTCAACGTGACTTTACCGAAAGAGCTAAGAATAAGGTGTGGGACATCATGAAATGGGCTCGATTCCCATCTTGACTAAACGTGGTGATTAATATAGACATCAACCCGGTTTAAAAGTCAATAGATTCCATGGCTTGTGCGAGTAAAAACTGTTAGAAATGTGTGCTTCTAAAAAAAAAAACCTCCAGGATTAAATGTATACGTCCTTAATATTCTGTCGAATAAATTCACTTAGGTGGCAGTGATAAGAGTTTTGCTACTACGCGTGATCTAAAGTACAAATCAATCCTATCGCAGACGTGATCGTTCAGAACATCCCTGTGACGTCACCTGCTCCACGTGGTAATATTAATCCAATTGGAGTATTAATCGGGCTGCTCGCGTGAAATCAGTAGTGACCGCTAAACAAATCAAATGATAATTCCATTTTGGGGACAACGGTAAAAGTTATTCAACTTCATCAAAATACAATAATTAAGATTCGCCCTAAATCGCATAAATTCCTCCTCGGTCTTCATTGGAAACCTTGTGGATGGGCAAGTTTCCACCAACACGTGAATCGGCCTTCACAAGTAGCGAGGTCTCAACTCGCGAAATGTCTTTGGTGAATTGCCAGCAAAAACTCTGCGCCTTCGTACAACGAAGGCCCATTGTGCGAGACGTCGCCTATTACAATATATATTTTCAGGGCAGTATTATTGACGAATGCGATAGTCTTTGCTATCAGTCTTGAGATGCGATTCCATTACAACATATTAGACCATTGCAAATGCTACAAGTGGGATGGACACTTGTCCACAACGGGCATGCATCCAACGATATCCATACACCACTTGTCAATGCAAATCCATACGGCGCAATAAAGTTATGTTACGACCCTTCACGAATGCACTGCGAAAATACATGGTCATTTTTAGCCCTATGTCAATCCCCTGCTGGATGAATGTCTTCCAATGTCGCGTCAGTCGTGTGAGTTGTTTGGCCAATACTTCAGTGCACCGTTGCCAAAGCAGCATCACGAAAAGCACTTTTGAGCTGCTGACAGACTAACTAACTGCACGTTGTGTACACACGCAGCAGCACCATCAGCAGCCTCCCCACCCCGCCTGCGCGATTCACCGAGGCAGCAGGAACCTTCGTGTTCCCCATGCTGCAAGACACGGTTTCCACCACCCCCCCCCCCCCCCCCCCCAGTTTGCAGTATTTGTAGATTTTATTAACTCGGGACACACGGCTTCAAAAGTCCGTGGGACCTCTTCGCCTTTCACATTCAGGTCTCAAACACCTTGGTGATTGCGTTGACCGGCTATGGCCCCGATGATGAGCACCAACATACACGAAATCCGCATTAAAAAGAAAACGCGTTACGTTGTAACAACAACAACTCGACTAAACGTACTGACCTGCAGGGCTCATTAGCCGCAAAGTTAACGCTTTGAGTGCAAAGTTCATGTTTTGTACTTGCGACACTCTAGATTAGCTCTCTAGATCTTCCTCACCCCCAGGCCCTTCCACCAGCAGTGGCGTGAGCAAATCATGGCAGGGCTGCACCTTTACATGTTTTTTCACGATACGATACCGTACTATAGATGTCAGGTAGTTAGTTGACATGCATCGCCACTCAGACGAGGACCATAACACTGCACAGCGCAATGCGACTAAGTTGACCTACGTGTAGTGAAATAAGAATAGTAATAAAAACATTAGTAATGTCCTTCCACGATCCGTTTAACCACGAAATCCTGAATATAAAGCCTCCTTTTCAGGAGGTAGCTGCATTGGGATGTTTGGCCAAAGTCTTCACGAGTCCAGCATATTACTGGATGTAAAAGAGCTTCATAGCTCATCGGATTTCTCCAGGATAAATAAATATTCTCATAATTCTGCTTGGCTTCGTGCGCATGGACACCGGAATTTACACCACTTGTGCAAACGATGGGATGACACAAAACTCCGCACAGATATATTCAAGTAATCATTACTGAAATTCCATCTCCACACTACCTCGCGGCCCCGAGATACAACGCCTGACATTCCCAGGCAGTCAGGCAGGCAAGTCGGTCACCGGTATCGCACAATATCAAAAACACTCGAACCGCGCGGAAACCTGCTTAGCTTCTAAAGACCCAGAGGCATTTCTGGGTTATTTCTTCATTTAAAAAAACATACAAAGAGCCAACTTCGAGTGGCCTCTCTCGGCCAGTAACGTGGGCCCCCTCACTAGGCTCGAGTCCTGTGGGAGGCGCGGGTTGACACTGGCCCGATCGCCTCCCCGCCTCGCAACAGCAGCGTGGCGCTCCCTCCGCCGTGATTCATGAGCCACGGCAGCACGGCACGTGGCTCCCGTCTCCTCTTCGGCCTCTCTCGCCTGTCCACCTCCTCCTCCCTCTCGCCGCCGCCGTCGTTCCTCCTCTGGGTGGCTCTGTCGGCCAGGCTCAGCAGCAGGGTGATGAGGGAGACGACGGCGCCGATGAGGTAGATCTTGAAGACGCTCGACTTCATCTTCCACAGCGGGAAGGCCATTGTTGTTGGTGGAAGGAGCAACTCGCGCTCCACCCCCTCCACTCGCCTCTTGGCGGCTTTCCTCGCGACAGCAGTGGCCTCTCGCCGTCTGTCGACCTGAAGGTAGATGAATGTCACGTTTCAAGCCATTAAAACAAAGACAAAGATCCCCCGCATAGCCTTAACAGACTGTAGGGGCAAGTGCTGTTAGCGAGTAGCACCTATGAAGGCCGGAACGGTACACGAGGGGGTGGGTGGCCAGCACCACGCCCGACCGCCTTTGTTTCCCCAGTGGCGATGTTTACTACACACCGCACCAGGTACTCGTTTGAGGCTGAGTCGACCTAGGGGAGGCCCAGGACCGGTTCAGATAATCGCTATCACCGGTGTTGGCCGTGAGCGGGAATCGAACCCGGGTCGCCAGGTTGATAGCGCAGTGCGCTAACCACGACATTTAAACGCGCGAGCATTTCTTGATATCACTGACATCTGCCGTGATCGGCCCACTGCTGATTTAAGGTCTGCCTAAACCGTGGTGCACGATCTGCAACACCGTGTCCCGTTAGTGGGGTAACACGGTGTGTGTATATATAGATCACGGGGAGGGGGTAGTTGTTTAGCCATACTTCACCACGTAGGTCAATGTGGCTTTGGTGTGGCTGAGATTCGAATTGGGGAAGCGGCGTTGTGGGGCAGCACGCGAATCGCTGAGCCACTGCTCCCCCTTACAAAAATCACTGATCAGTCCATCGTGGGCTCTTTTATAATCACCTCCATCGTGGGCTCTTTTATAATCACCGGCTTCGTGACGTTATTTATTGAGGACCATCGCCGTCTCGTAATCACCGAGTGATGCATTGCGGCTCTTGAAATGTTTCGGGTTTTTTTTGTTTTACCGAATTCGACAAAAGTAAATAGCTCTTCTTGACCTATCTGAAGATAAAACCAACGACTCTTAGACCCAATCACTCCGTCATTATTCACGTTGCTTACAAAATCCGAGCTTTGTCAAGCAGCCCCCCCCCCCACCACTTTTTATTGGGATTGTTTTAAACATCGGCACCTCCTCGTGGAATCACTCACGGCCTTCAGCAGACTGTTGAGACGAGCGCTGTTCGCGACTTGCGGACCATCACAGCACGCGAGGAGGCGGCCGTCCTTCGCCGTCCCCCCGCAGTGCTGATGTTTACACGCCCAGCCAGGGTGTTATTTACTGCCGAGTTAACCCTACGGAGAGACCCAGACATCGGCTCTGCCACCACTTGCCATTGCGTGAGCCCGCGATTCCTGCCCGGATCGCAGGCTTCGTCCCGCTGTGTGCTAACCACTGCGCCACCGCTCCCCCACACTGAACGCCAGATCACACGCACGCACCCGCGCGTCGCATCCTACCTCGAGGACTTGAGCAGCTCAAGTGAAGGGCAGGCCCAGTTCAGTAGGCACACAGACACGGAGGGCTCTCGTCCGTAGCGGCGTGCAGGGAGCAGTGAGTAACCGATGCCTCTTCCCGTGCTGCTTTTATAGCGCGGCGCTGGGATGACTCCGCACATCACTGGGCGGAGCCCCCTGAGGCCACCCCCGCTCTCCCCGCCTGCAATTGTAACACCCCACCCCCTCCCTCCATCGGTGCACGGAGGACGTGACGGGTCGACCACGATGCCTCCACGTGCAGGACACGCCACCCCAGATCACGGGGCAACCCCCTCGCTACTAACCCCCGGCCCCGCCACCATCACGAGCGACTGTCGAACATCCAGCAGCAGCAACGCGCGCCTGTGTGCTGACCCTGGTGATCGCCGTGGCCCACGTGCCTATGGCCTTTGACGCGACAGCGGTGAACCTTCGCAAGTTATGCTGCGTTAGCAAAATGCGATTTTAACTTCGGCAGTGTTGTTTGTCGCTGGCTGCTCGGCGGTTTTTTCTGTTGTTGCTAATTATGTTCAGTGGTCAGCTTCAGTAATTTAATAAAAGGATTGGCTTGGTTGTATGTAAGTATGTTTGTTTAACTTATTTTGCACCGTGCGTAGCCAACCGCGCTAATCTGGGGTTCGGGGGAAGGACAACAACTTAAGCACGAAGAGCAGTTCTAAAGAAACACATTTTTAATCTAGATTATTTTAAAGTGCATAACTCCATTGGCTTCCTAATATCCGAAAGAAGAGCGTTCCAGACGGCCGCAGAAGAGCATCTGAAAGCGCGCGATGCGGCGACCGTCTTTGTTCGATGGTTTAGCCACAAGCCGCTGCGAGGATTGCCGGAGTTCACGTGATGGTGCATGCTCCTTGACAAGATCGGCAAGGTGCTGTGGTTCATTTGTGGCAAGCACTTTGTGTGCAATGAGTGCGACCTCATAGCTTGGATGTTACTTGGACGGGATACTGCCTGGGAATAGCAGGTGCTGTAGGCTTGTGGCGGCGAGGTAGCCAGGCTAATGCAGCACATTGAGCCTTGAATCTATCTGTGCGGAGCTTTTGAGTGTCACCCCCTCGTGTACGGCGTGGTGGTGGGCTGTTTCTTGCTACTCCCAGCTCCCTCTCCCACGCGGCCACACTCTCCTTGTTAACGAGATTTTTTTTCCAAATATCCCAAAGCGGGACACTCCTGAAGAAGGGTAGTCAGCCTCTTTAGATGAATGAACGATACAAAGACAGATGCCATTTGTTTCATTGAGCGTGATTTCGATACATATTTCAAATGTGTACAGATACTTGCATACATTGAGCTGCAATAGACACGTGTTTGATGATAGGCGCCTGACTGTTGACGAGACTCAGAAGGTCCAAATGTGGTCCAGAGGTTTTTTTGTTGTTTAACTAAACAAATACCGTTTGGTAATATTGGTTCTGGAAAGCCAATCGGGCAGATGGAATTAAACAAACATTGGAATTATATTACATGCACGTATATATGTGGATGGTGATATCGGGTGACCAGAAGGATGTCAACATTTTCGTGACTCAAATTCCACCAGTTTCGACGTCGTATCCCGGTCAATAAACCTTTCCCCCTCCCCCCCAATAACTCCTAAACACACCCACAATCTTGCTCGCGTGGCCTTGGGAAGCAAGCAAAGACGTCATAAAGATGATGTGAGCATTGTGGCTCCTCAATAGAGACCGTATCTATGAAGATTCACAATCTCACGCAAACACTGATGTGGCCTGTAGTTGTTTTTGTATTTTATTTGTGGCCCATTAAAAGTCGCCCATCGACTGCGCACCTAACGGCAACTATCCATTTGCTGCGTCAGTGGACTTGTTACGCATACAATAACAGGTTTTCATGAAGAAGACCAGTCGGCCGAAACGTCTAAACCGTGTTTCTCCCTATGAGTGACAGTATACAAAACCTACCATTCGGAATGTGTTGTTTTTTATAATTTCCCTGTTCTTGGTTTATTTAGTAAAGTCACGTAGAAGGGAAACAATAAAATAATACAAATATAAAACAATACAATTCTCACGACGTTTCGATTGCAACACAAGCAATCATCATCAGGTGTGTTGCAATCGAAACGTCGTGAGAATTGTATTGTTTCATATTTGTATTATTTTATTATTTCCCTTCTACGTGACCTTACCGAAAGAACCAAGAATATGAATCCCTGCAGTCACGGAAGCTTTAAATCGAAATTTACCTGTTGTTTTATATTTGTAAATAATACACAAGAGGCAGAGTTCGTTGTGAACGCGTGCAGAACAATAAAGGGCATCAAACGCGGTGTGAATGTAGAGCCGTTGTTTCAATCCACTGCTGGATGAGTGTTGTCCTATATGATGAATTAGATCTATCGTGATGATGAATAAGACAATGATGGGAATATTGATTAGGAATTATATGATGAAAAATATAATAATGAACACGTTATTACGATTTTGAATGATATACTATGATGAAAAGTATGAACGTATTTCGAATGTGCTTACGATGAGATATTGTGATGATGGCCATATTCATTGCGAACACCATGATGAAGATGTATTATATATTACGAAGAATACGATGACGATTAATGATACATATGATGGTGATTGGCGTAATACCCATTGACAATTATGCGAATGTTCACGATGACCGTGTTGGTGATGATGATGATGAGCATTCTCCCTGTCGCGTTGAAGCTCAGCGCGATGACGCGTGGCCCCATCGTGCACGGCTAGCTGCTGGCGATGGCTGACCGATGGTGGCAGTGGCTCTTCGGCGTTCGGGTGGAGGAGGGGCCGCACTGGCTTGGGAAACTAGGGGAAAGGTTAGCTCGCTGGGAGGCGTGGGGGAAGGGGAAGACTGCAGGGCAGATGGAACCGCCTCGTAATGACCCAAATAACCCCCTCTCCTGGCCCACTTCTCCCCCCTCCCTACCCATTCCGGAGGGCTCCGTCTAAACTCACCCGGGCGTTTTGCGCGTGAGTGTGTGTCAGTGTTTGCGCGCGGGTTTGGCTGTGGGAGGGTTTGAGACGCGGCCAGCGCTCTGGCTGTGAAATGATCGCAGTCACCTTTGTCCTAGATTCCTCCGGGCTGCTGGGGTAGTGTGTGTGTGTGGTGGTGGTGGGGGGGGGGAGTCATTAGTGGGTGGGTAAGCGTCTTGAAACCGGCGAAAACCGCTTCGCATTTAGAGGCTCCGTGGATATTTTTTGCCCTGATGAGTTTGAATGGCGAGGACTCCTCGTTTAAATTGCCATTGTGTAATGGGTCTTCTGATGCCACTGACAACACATTAATATTTCAATGCAAAAAAACCCACCCCCACTCACTTAGCCACGACCCAATGTGATCATTCCTTAGGCTATTGCACGCAACGTCTTGAGATGTGACTGCATTACGGAATATTACATCATTGCAAATGCTACAAGTGGGAAAGACGTAACATTGTCCACAACGGGCATGCATCCAGCGATACACATACACCGCTTGTCAATGCAACCCATAGCGGTGCAATAAAGTGATGCTATAACCCTTTAATGACTCCACTGCGAAAATAATAAACGGTAACTTATAGCCCTACGTCAATCCCCTTGCTGGATGAACGTCTCCCGATGTCGCGTCAGTCGCGAGAGTTGCTCGGCCCGTATTTCACCAACGCTGGCGAGTGCGCATTGGTGAAGGGAGAGAGATGCCCAGGAGCGGTCACGATATCACTCGCCCGTGTTAGTAATAGCCGTGGTTGGGAATCGAACTCGGGTTTGTAGGCATTTGCAGGTTCTCATAGGTTCCAAGTGCAGCAGCGCGCTAACCACTGCGCGTTTGTTCTCCACCGCTGAGTGCAATACGTAAAGGACACTTGTAGTCTTAAAATGTACATATTTAATATATGTAAACACTTACTAAATATATAGATCAAATCATATCATTGTACTTATACTGCTATAACGTCAATTTTTTCCAGTGATATCAGCAATTGGTGGTTAGCCGATAGCAATGCATAGCAAATAAAAGCATCATTTTTTTTTTTAAACAGAGAGGAGCCGGGGGAGTCTGGAGACTGGCGACAGTCATCACGTCGACAACAAGCCCACAGACAATGCACATAGAAAGACAAAGATCCCCCAGATAGTCTTGTATAGACTGATGGATAGGGTTGCTAGCTCTGACTGGAGCTATTCCCGGAAACCTATGCAAATTATTATTAACGCGTTATCTAAAAACATAACATTAAAATATCTCGCATTGCTTTCAATAGGCACTGGAAAATGGATGCCAATTCAGGTAGAGACTCCTGACCGGTCCGGGAGGGTTGGCAACCCTCTGATGGGGCGGATTGCTGTTAGAGAGCACCTATTAAGTGATGTGGCCCGCAACCACGCCCGACCGCCTTTGTCTCTCTAAGAAATATCGAACTGGGGAGGAAGCGTTTATAGCGCAGTGCGCTAACCGACGTGCCACCACTCCCTTGAACGCAATTGTCTGAAAATGTTTTATTTATTCCCGCTTGCATACAAAATTGCACAGATTTGTCAACTTCATCTCCCCACACGTTCCATCGGATGCTTCTATTGGGACAATCAACCCTTTGTCATCGCTTAAAGCCTTTAACAGACTATAATAATAATAGGATTTCCCCCCTTTCTTCTGGCAACAAAACTGAAACCTTTTTACAAGGAATCATGTGTGCATTAACCACAATATTTGTGATAAAAATGCAAACAAAAAACACACTGATAATATATTAATTGTCTTTGAAACAATGATAGTGCATTGTCTTTGAGCTGTTCGCCTTTTGGCGTCCTCTGGCCTAGCACCAATTGAGACGAGGCTCACAAGAAAGCCGTCTCTGGTGTGAACCAATCAGTTTCAAGGACAACGCATATATTATCAGTGTGTTTTTTGTTTGCATTTTTATCACAAATATTGTGGTTAATGCACACGTGATTCCTTGTAAAAAGGTTTCAGTTTTGTTTCCAGAAAAAAGGGGGAAAATCTTATTATATTTTGGTACTGGCAAAGGAAGTCTAATGATCCTTTAACAGACTGTTGGGACAAGCGAGCACCTATTGTGGAAATCACCAGCACACGGGGGGGGCCCTCTGCCCCCCCTCGCCCCCCCTCGC